TCTACGCAGAACCGAGAAGTGCATCCCACGCATCGACAAGGTCCAAAGGAGATCCTACCATGCCACTGTGCTGCCGTCGCGCGTGTCCACGGCCTCGCCCGAATTCTTGGCCAAATCCGAAGCTATGGACGCGTTGGTGAAGGACCTCGAGAGCAAGATGGCGAGAGCGCGGCTGGGGGGAGGATCCAAAACCGCCGAGAAGTTCCGAAGTCGAGGCAAAAAGCTGCCCAGGGAACGGTGCGTCGTCGCGCCACTCCCCTCACACTCAAAAGCCGGTGTGGTGACCAGTTCGCGCGCAGGTTATCGCTGCTGCTCGACCCGCACACGCCTTTCCTGGAGCTTTCGCCTCTGGCGGCGCACGACGTGTATCCGGGTCAAGATGTCCCCGGAGCGGGTCTCATCACAGGTATCGGACGTGTGCGCGGTCGCGAATGCATGATCATCGTGAACGACCCTACCGTCAAGGGCGGCGCGTACTATCCTCTCACTGTCAAGAAGCAGCTGCGTGCACAGGAGATTGCGCGGGAGCATCATCTGCCTTGCATTTACGTCGGTGAGTGCACAGCCGTCGTACCCAGTGCAGAGCCCATAGCTGACAGCGCTGTTACAGTCGAGTCTGGTGGTACGTCTTACTGTACACTCTGATCCCACCATGAAAATCTCGGAAAACAGGAGCGGCGCTCCCACACCAAGCCAACGTCTTTCCAGACAAGGAGCATTTTGGGAGGATCTTCTACAACATGGCGCAGATGTCCGCATCGGGCATCCCGCAAATCGCGTCTATTCACGGAATCTCCGTCGCTGGTGGTGCCTACGTGCCAGCCATGGCAGACGAGAATATCATCGTGCGCAACCAGGGCCGGATCTTCCTCGCGGGACCTCCATTGGTGAAAGCCGCAACGGGAGAAGAGGTCGACGAAGAGACCCTCGGAGGCGGAATGATGCATTCTAGCGAGAGCGGTGTGACTGACCATCTGGCAAACGATGACGAGCATGCGGTCAGTGCTGCAGTAACACATACTCTTCCGCCGACTCAAAGCGGATGATCAGCTTTCCATAACCAGAGACGTGATGGGTGACCTCGGCCGTGCGGCCGGTGTTGCAGGACTTCCATCAGCTGAACCTGAAGACCCACTGTACTCTGCGTCCGAACTGGGCGGGATCGTTGGCACCGACGTCCGGCAGGCATTCGACATGCGGGATGTTATCGCGCGCATTGTGGACGGCAGCCGGTTCCGGGAATTCAAGAAAGAGTACGGGACGACCATGCTGACTGTATGCGTTTTTGGCTGTGCTTGAATGCAGGCTGATCGGTGCAGGGTTTCGCTCACATCCACGGCTATGAGGTGGGCATCTGCGCCAACAACGGGATCTTGTTCTCGCCCTCGGCCTTGAAGGCAACGCACTTCATTGAGTTGTGCTCACAACGGGGGATCCCGCTGCTGTTCCTCGTGAACGTCACCGGCTACATGGTCGGGTCCAAGGCTGAGCGAGGAGGGATCGCCAAAGACGGTGCGTGAGACTCCGCGTTCACTCAACCACCGAGCTCACATCCGTCCAGGAGCAAAGATGGTCCGTGCTGTGGCCTGTGCGGACGTCCCCAAATTGACTGTCATCGTCGGCGGCTCGTTCGGCGCCGGGAACTATGGTGCGTAGACCATTGCACTCGATGTGTTGGGTTCTGAAAGCAATCAACAGGAATGGCCGGTCGAGCCGTATGCATCTGGACTTTCTCGAGTGTCTCTACTGATCATCATTTGGCAGTATTCGCCGCGATTTTTGTGGATGTGGCCGGTAGGTCTCTATTCAGACACAAGGAAACATGCGCTCACCGAACACAGAACGCGAAAATCTCTGTCATGGGCTCCTCACAGCTGTCGCAGGTCATGACGAGCGTCTCAAAGTGGGACCTCTTTGATTATCTTGGACTCTCTCTGACCCCCAATCGCAGAGATCCCTCACAGCACGCGTCTTTGCAATCCGAGATCGAGCACCAGTCCACGGCCCTGTACTCTACCGCGCGACTGTGGGACGACGGCATCATCCGACCTGAAGACACCCGAGATGCTGTCGGGCTGGCGCTTGGACTGGCTTCTCGCAAGTCCGGAAGGCAGGAGACTGGCGGCAAAGGTTTTGGTGTATTCAGAATGTAACAAAAACATGTGCGATCTCAGGACTCGTGGTATAATATGGATCCTCTCAACGCCTAGATCACGAATGATCAGATTCAGCAAGCCCCGGAGCTCTTGCTTACCTCGAACCCAATAATAAGTGCTTCCTCCTCGAAAGCATTCGCCGCGACACCAGTCGAGGACAAGAAAGAACGGAGCCTGGATTCAGCCCAATGGGACATCCCAATCAGATGAGCAAGTTCGGTGACTCCCGTGCCTCGAAGAGTAGGCGCCCGGTGGATCATACTAGGCCTGAGGTCGGAGAGGAATTCTTCGATTGAATAGCTGAGATGTGCCTCCATCTCGAATCTGGGTGATGACGATAGTGGCTCCAAGACCTCGTCCTCGTCGTTCTTCTCCTCATCTCTGCAAAAGGGCTCGCACGCAGAGCCAACTTCGGTGCTCGACCCAGCGGACGACGCTTCCCAGTTCGGTGTCGATGCCCGGAAGTTCTGGTGAACTCCGGGTGAGCCGAGGCGTCGGATGAGCACGCTCGCTCACACATAAGGACACACCTTAGCATCTTCCGCAGCGAGGTCCTCTGAGTTTGCATAGACCAAACTCGCAGCATAGGCCTTCAAGGTCTGAACTCGATCATTCAGAACCGCCTCGCCCTTGACCTGGTGGCGATCGAATAGTCCGGGAAAGTCTCGCTTCAGCTGCGGCATGTCACTTCTTGTGTCTCTGCGGCAGAACACCGCAATATATTACCTGCTTCACCAACTTATGGAGGTTCTCAGGCTGATCGAAAGGTGGCCGAAGGAGGTCCATGCAACTATCGACGCGTTTCCGGATGTGAGCGGCCACGGGCTCGAATATTTGCGGTCTGTCCGTCAGGTTGAGGGCGGCGCAGAGAGCAGTAGCGGTCTTGGAGAATCACGACACCGAGCGACGAGTCATGAATGCCCAACTCACGTCCTGGCATTTACGACCTAGGAGGGTGCTCAGTGATTTCGTGCGATGCTGCGTTGCTTGCTACCAACTGTGGGAGTGCTGTTTCGAGGCCATCGTCGTGCATAAGAACAAAGCACGAGTGATAACGGCGATTGAACATTCAGATCATTGGCCCTGATACGACCCTGTGCGACTTCCGTACGGTACATTTTAGGGTCGCATTCATGTAAATCGGGACCGAACAATCGGAAGCGCCTAAAATGCCTGTTTTGGGTCGGCTGGAAGTGGCATTCGACTGGGGGGAGGGAAGTGAACGATGCTGGTCCCTTGGCGATACAGCAACTTTTTATATCACAGATACTAGTCTTCTGTTACGACTTCTATGCCCTGGTCTCGAGCCATTTGCAGCCCGATCGCCTCTTTTGCTTGCGCGAATTGGATCAGGGCATTCAAGATCGCTCTCTGACCTGTGCTGTGGTCAGAAACGGGCCCCAAGAGAGGTTCATACATGATTACACACATACCTTCAAGATAGTGGGTGACCATCACGCGAACGTCCTCTCTCATACCCTCCGCCTCGGGAGCAGGCGGTAACTTCTCCGCCAAAGTCCAAACCATCTCCTCAAACGCCTCTGCTGCATTGAGATAATCCTCGTACGTCTCCCCCGACTCGGCTTCATCCTTGACCCGCTCAAGCACAGTCGCCCAGACGTCCTCTGCGCCGCGGGCGCCAAGGCCGACTTCCCACCGCTTCCCGCCCATGCCACCGATCTTGAGCACGATGGTGTCATCGGGGTTGTCCTCGAGTGTGAACCCGTAGCCCAGAATCAGCTCCGAGTTAGGCTTGGCGCCGTAGTTGTTGAACAGCTCCGCGCCTTCTGCGGTCGGGGTGTGCAGGACTAATGAGATGCTTGACGCGTGCTCGTCGCCGGAGTACGATTGTACCCACGACACCGGTACCCCGCGCGCGTGATTGAGGGAGTCAATCCCCGGAAGGAGGATCGGCTCTGAGTTCTCATCGGATGTGAGAGGCGAGCCGGGAGACAGGGATCGGGATAAGAGGGTTGACGGAAACGCGCGTGAAGAGAGATGAGTCGCAGCAGTCAGAAAGCGTTCCCTGCGATGGTCGATATACGGTATAGGATGCAGTCACAAAAGACAAACCAGGTCAGCTCTATTCCCCACTGGTGATTGATGCGAGAGATCTCAGTCCGGCATTCATCCCATTCTGCTCGCCAATCCTGTTCACCTGGACAGCACGAGCATCAGCCGAGCCATCGGGAGAGAAGACGACCCACGGTCTGCAGTCGCTCCAAACAGATTCGAGCCTTTCAATGCGCCCAACTCATCGGATGTGAAATGCAAAGTCGTCCGCAGCTTGTCCCTGGCGGGCAACGACTTGATGTAAGGGAAATGAAGCAGATGAGAGCTGCGAGAAGCCACAAATCAGGCGCCCGTTATACAGCTTATGAAACAGGAACATGCCTGAGCTCCGTGCCATCCGCGATGATCGAGTGGAAGCAAAGATAGGACGAGATGAGCTGCCTGGCAGACCAGTTCTCCAACGCTGCACTCGGGCCGAGGATCTTCCCGAGATTTTCTAGAGCAAGCTCTTTGGTGATCGCGAGCGAGAACGGGCACGCCACGATCTGGCTGTCGGGAGGAAGCGCCGTCGCGGCCACGACCGCGAATCCCGAGGCGACTTGGGGCGGCAGCAGTCGTCGCATCAATCACACTGTTTCCCCGCCTGCGCGTCGTCCCGAGATCTCACCTTGCTTCAGGTGAACTTGAGGATGAAACGATCCGCCATTGGTCTCGAGCCAGTTTTGGAGGTCTCCGAAGATCTCTTCGGAGGACATGATGAATGGCCGCGTCGATGTGAAAGATGGCACAGCCACCTGTCGCTTCTTCACAGCCGACCATGAGTGTGTACATCGCATCTCGAAATGAACCAACTACACAAATGATGAGGACGCGGATGAGGACGAGGATTCTTATGTTCCGTCATTGGTTTGGAATGGCAAAGTGCTGAGGCTGCCTGGGATGGGAATTGTTGAGGGATACATGGTGGCGGCGGCATACCCGATGCGAAACGGTTCGAGTACAACGTAATTGAGACCGAGGCCGGCTCGAACGAAGGTAGGCATGAGGGGTGGTCAGAAAGCATGTTCCAGTGTTCGCGACTGGTTTTTGGGGTGACGAGGACACCCCGGTTGATAACAAGCGAATATGGTGAGCGCGTATCTCGTCGCCTAATTGCATAGTCTCTGTGCTACTGCTGCCTGCACATTGCATGGGCGGCAAAGTCTGAAGATCTTGCGTTTTGATGGAACTGTTCATTAACCTCCTTCTTGTTCTCAACACGTTTTAGCAAGGTTGATCGCACGAGGCAGGCCACTTCAAGAACACAAGCATGCAGCGCAGCGGAGACAAGCCCATCTCATACCTACTCTAAATCCATGCTCTTGTCCTGGATCGTCGTCGGCACTGGTCTGCTCGTCCGCACAGTCGTCGCCCATGGTTGGGTCGGCCAAATCACTATCGCTGGAACGGTGTATCAGGGAAACGGACTCGGGACCACCGGTGGACCCTCGGTCATCCGCCAAGTCGACACCAACTCCCCCGTCACGTCTGTCTCTGATTCGAATCTGTCGTGCGGACCGCACGCGCAGCCCGCATCACAGATCGCCAACGCCAACCCGGGCGATGCGATCGCGGTGGATTGGGTTTCCACGGAGGGACCCTGGTTCCATGACGTCGGCCCGCTCCTGACGTATCTCGCCAACTGCGGGTCCCAGACGTGTGATCAGTTCGACGCGTCGCAGGCGCAGTGGTTCAAGATCGAGGAGGCGGGGAGGGATGCGTCCGGTTGGGCGCAGGCTCAGCTGAGTGCGTGCCTATCTCTATTCGTGGTCCATTCACTCATCCATTCGTTCGCCATGACCAGACTCGGGCGCGCCTGCAACACTGAACCTTCCTTCGAACCTCGCAGCAGGGAACTACCTTCTGCGCCACGAGATAATCGCGCTGCAGAACGGCGGCAGCCAGGGTGGTGCTGAATTCTACGCGAGCTGCAGCCAGCTGAAGGTCGGCGGCTCGGGCACTGGGGCCCCGACGAGCAGCGAGCTGGTCAAGTTCCCCGGGGCGTATTCAGCGACAGATCCTGGCATTCTAGTCGATGTGCGTGGATTGATTGTCTCGTTAGTTCACGTATTTCTCGGACTGACCCACGTTCAAGGTGTACACGAATACAGGTGCTCCTTATAGCTTCCCTGGACCCCCGATCGCGGCTTTTGCGGGTGGATCCCCTTCGCCGCCTGCGACCCCAACAACCCAACCTGGGCTCAGTGCGACGACACTACCGGGCGAGCCGCAAACCTCTGGTTCCGGCGGAATCGCGACTCAATCTGCCCCTGCAGCTTCTCAGTTACCTGGGATGTGTCGCTTACGGAGGAAGGTGCAGAGCGAACAAATTTCGACAGTCAGGCGATATCAGCGAGCCTTGAGATCGCTGTTCTTTTGAGTTGCGCCCAAGCTTTGAAAGGATATATGGTGTTGAACACCTCACCTACTTATTGTATATATGTATGTCCTTGCCAAAAATATGTAAATGTATGAGCTTCGCAGCGCTTATAAACAAAAGCTAGGTACCACAAAAAGATGAGAGAGAGAATGTTATCGGTTTTATCGGCGATATGGGCCGTTTCTTATGTCATCACTAGCTCTTCGTCTCCGTCTCCCATGAGGTCCCTGCGTCTGCTTTCAGTAGCGCGCGGACTGTATCTTGGACGCACCGGAACATTAAAACTAGGGCCCTATCGAAGGAAACTGCATGCGACCCCACTCATCCGAGCCCAATCGGAAAGTTCTGGCGCAACAGCAAGTTCCGGAGCAACTCATTCCAATGCGAATGGTACTGGGAAACGTTTCCTGTTTGATACCCACCATTCACGCTCCCTCAGCCCCCTTTCCTCGATATCGGACACTCGTCAAGGAAGGGACACTGCGAGGCGATGACCACCAAACGCGCATCATCCAGAAACTGCAAGACCTGCACGATAAATTAGTGGGATACGATCCACCCCGCGTCTCCCCCTCCCCCACCTCATCATCGGGATCGTCACTCGTGCGCTTTCAATACTACATCTCGGAACGTTTGTCATTATCCCTGCAGCGCAGTTCTCTCGCCTCCTGGGCCGCACGTCGTCCCCGGAACCTGCTGCTCCGCCCGCAGACGCCCCGAAAGGGTTGTACCTCTATGGAGACGTGGGCACCGGAAAAACGATGCTGATGGACCTTTTCTACTCGACACTGCCTCCGGAGATCACGCGCAAGCGCAGGGTGCACTTCCACGCGTTCATGATCGACGTGCACAAGCGCATCCACGCCGTGAAAGCGCGCAAGGGCAGCAGTGGCGACCCTATACTGCCTGTTGCGCGGGACCTGGCGAACGAGGCGTCCGTTCTCTGCTTCGATGAGTTCCAGGTGCGTTGCATCTGTCTCGCGCGCGCCCTGTTTTCTCTCTGATTGATCCCCCGGCAGGTGACTGACATCGCAGACGCCATGATCCTGCGCCGGCTGTTGGAGAGTTTGTTGAACTTTGGGGTCGTTTGCGTCATCACGTCCAAGTGGGTTTACCGTCCCGCTCGGCAAGTTGTACCGCCACTCACGCTCCGAGCAGTCGGCATCCCGACGACCTTTACAAGAACGGAATCCAGCGATCGAGTTTTATTCCTGCCATAGAACTGCTGAAATCGCAGTTTGAGGTCACCGACTTGGACTCGGGCACAGGTCCGTGCAGCCCTGGCGCGCTTCCGATGGTCAGCTCATCTTGCTCAGATTACCGGCGAATGGCACGAGTGCCGTCCTCTGTCAAGCCGTACCATCATCCGCTTTCTCCGGAAACCGCACAGACCATGGCATCAATCTTTGATTCTCTGCACTCCGAAGAAGACCCCGTGGTGCGCGACCGCAAACTTACGATCTGGGGCCGCACGCTCCTCGTGCCCGAATCGACGTCGACCGTCGCCAAGTTCACGTTCCAACAACTCTGCGAGAACCCGCTGAGCGCCGCGGACTACATCGAGATCACGCGTGTCTTCGGGACCATCTTTCTGCTCGATGTGTGGAAGATCGGGGTCGACCGGAAGGATCTGGCGCGGCGGTTCATCACATTCATCGATGGTCTGTGAACGTGTCGCTTGCTGCATTCTCCCTGTCCGTGCTCGATCGTCTGATATGTCTCCCGCAGCATGTTACGAGAGCAAGACGCGGCTGTTCATCTCGTCCGAAGTGCCGATATACCAGGTCTTCTCTGGGGATGCCAAATCTGGGGAGGTGACAGCGGAGATGCGAGAAACAATGGAAGAGCTGGTACGCCGCCGCCGCCGACATATCATATCAACCACCATCCGGACCGCTTACGATCTCCTTTACAGGGACTGACGGCAGATCTGCTCAAGAGCTCCATGTTCACGGGGGAGGAGGAGATCTTTGCATTTGCGAGGGCATGCTCACGGCTGGTCCAGATGGAGAGCAAGGAGTGGGTCGAGAGCGCGGGCACGTCCGCGGTCGGCATCAAGTCTACATAGATCTAGAAGGACTTCAAGATCTAGAGAGAGCGCATGCATACCTAATAATACCCACCATTAATCAGAGATTCACTCAAATTTTCAGACTGAGTTGGGTGGGACCCAATCACTTCGTGATCCACAACGATGTCAAAGTCCCGGTGCAAAAAGTCCCATGGTATCTAGCCAATAAACAGATGTAAGCTACCGGTGAAGCCCTGGTATAAGTAATACAATGAATGATGCAGTTGAGATCTTGTAAGCGAGTGTCGAGGTATCACATTAACGAGATCCTAGAAGATACTTGTATGGTTCCGAGGTTTCGCAGGACTGCAGACATCAACATCAACGTTAACATCCGCCGTGGTACTACAAACCCATCAGTTTCCAAAATGCAGAGAGAGGAAGCAACCAGCAAGCGCACTAATGAATTCCGAGGCTTGTCCCACTGCCAGGTAGTGAGATTGGGATCTGCACCAGATTCAGTTGAGCGACGGGTCATGTGAGCTGATGGGAGATAACACACTGGTAAAGGCAACCATATGTCGGTCGATGTAATCTTTGGTCGGATAATCCTTCGGATCGCATCCCAGATTGGTCTCCCCGTCGCGCTGGTAGATCCGCACATAGTCCACCCGCATTTCTGCGGGGAAGACCATGGTCGTCAGATCCGGTGTCCCCCAGTTCGCTGTGCTCGAGTCAGCAAACAAGACATGAAGACTGGAGTCATCACTACTCACGCGAAGTGCCCAGGTTAAGAATAAGAGACATTGGCTTGGAGGGACAACACCAATCAGTCTCAATCATAGGACGATCAAGCACACACACCTCGACGGGGATCAGCCGCTGTCCGATCTTGGAATCCACATCGGGTCCTACGGCACTGGCACCCATACTGATGCTCTCCGTGCCATTGACCTGCCACGTGATGAACCCAGTGGAAGGATCCTTTGGGTCACTCCAGTATTCAAACCCATATGTGATGAAATCGGCCCCGCTGCCCTGGAACCCGGTCCCTGGCACCTCAGTCAACCCGCTGACAGCCTGCTGGACGCCGCTGCCTCTGTAGTTGTTCGCCCGCGAGATACTGGAGTTGAAGACTTGCCAAGACGCCGTCGTTGTATTAACGTATTGATAGTTCGCGTTGAATGGCGCGAATTGAGCCGATTGGGAGACGACCTGGCCGGCCACAGCTATCTTGTTCCTCTCGGCTTCCAGGATATCAATTTCGGGTGCACCGCGGCCGACAGTGACATCAGGACCCGGATGGTCGGACCCGGGGCAAGAGCAAGCAGAAAGCTTTTGGCCGCTCAGCCAGCTCAGCTCGAACTTGTATTTTCCGGAGCAGGCAGGACAGTTGAGAGCTGCAGGCGGGCCGGACTTATCCGCCAACGTCTGATTCGGAAACGTGCCGAGGTCACAGGTGTTATACTGGGTTTCTGTCAACCAAAATGCTGACTGTCGGACAGCTTGGAAACTCACGGTATACGGCCATGTTCCGTCGGTGCTTGCGGTATATCCTGGCCGGGCAAGATTCCCCATGGTCCACACACCCGGCCAGTAGCCCGCAGCATTGGCGTTCGGCCCTGGGAGCGTGAGTGACACTTCCATGTAACCTCTGACCAAAAGGTAAGCTTGCGCCAACGGATGCCGAGTTCGGATCGCACCTGGTGAAACACATTTTGTTCCAGCTCTGTAGCATTCCGCTGCGATAGGTCTGATTGTGGTTTTCCTCCACGGTGAAAGGCGCCGTCGAACCTGGACATCGGTGAATACTAGACTGGTAAAGCACGGCACAGGATCGCACCAACGCTCTGCCTGGGATCTGTCGTCGACGTCGAGTCCATGGTGATGATCAAACTACCGTCGCGAGTGACGATCTGTGACGGGTCGTACCACTCCAGGTCGTTGGTGTTTCCGTACCACAAGTCCACGGCCTCCCAGTACGGATCGTCGCCGGGGTAGAACGTCCGCCCGTCAGCATTGAACTCATCCGAGAACACCAGCGTGTACGGCTTCCCATCGAAGCCCGTCCGTGTATGCGCCGATTTCGGCGTATCGGGGTCCACCAGCTGTGGCATGTTCGGTTGCACGGCGACTTGCCCCGTCCCGTTAACCCGCGCGTTCGAGTCGAGGAGCCTGATTAGCGGCGAATTGCGGACATAGGAGATCACGGGGTAGCTTATGAACAGCGCTAGCAGGGCTAGTATAACCAATATCAGCATCCCCAAGTTGGCAATGCCACGCCACGGAAACGAGTGCCGGTGCTGCTTGGACGAACGCGGCGATTGATACCCGTCCTTCATCTTCGTGCCGTGTGCCGGATCGAGCACCAAGTCCTCGTCGTCCAGCGGGTCCAGTTCGTCCGCGGCTGGATCGTACGCGTACGGCACGAGACCGCGCGTCGACTGGTGGTCAGACGGGTACTTTGAGTCCGTCGCCATCGTCGACGTGGACGCAAACGACGCGATACTGTTCCTGTGGCCCGCGCCGCCCATGGGGCGTGGCGGCACTAGCAGGCTCGCCCGGTCCGATTCGTCCGCCAAGCGGTAGAGCACCATGCTCCCGCGCGATGACGCCGTGCCGTTCAGCATGCTTTCGCGCGAGAAGGGGTACGGCCCGGGCCCCATGACGCCCGTTTCGTCAGGCGACGCAGCGAAACGCCCGAAGTTCATGCTGCTCCCCCGCGATGTGGGGCGTGAGGACGAGGCGTGGCGGGTGGGATACGGCGGGGTGCTTGCTCCTGGGGTTGTGGGACTCGAGGGATTCAAAGGAGAGGAAACGAAGGACGACGAGCGCGATGCTTGGGTGCTGCTGCCGCCGACTTCAGACAGAAAGGGTGTCGCCTGCGTTGGGGAGAGTGGAAGCATCTGATGGGTCTCCGGATGCGTCGGGGTGCGAGGCGACGATGGCTCGGACGCCATGGCTGTAATGTGAGAGTCGGAGGGAGAAGGAGAAGAGAGGGTAACTACAAAGCCAAAACGGAAAAGCGGGAGATTGTCCAGGCGTGACCTCGGCGTTCGGTCCCCGTCCGGTGATCGACGATTATTGATGGCTCGTGTGCGCTGCCACCGCTGAAAACACGACCAACGGCGCGTCAGCCGCTCGCGCTCCTGCCGCGCCGATATTCAACGCTCCGATCCCCAAGGCAGATTGACACAACCAGTCAAGTGCCTACGATGCTCAAGCATCAGTGACTCATGGGAACCCCGCGGGGTTTGCCGGCCCTGTGTGCCTGTCTGACTCACTGCGCAAACTTCAACTTTACAGGCACAGCGACTGTCCGCATCAGACGGGACAGCTTCCATTGTAGATGGCACAATCCTAAAACTTGATTCTACGAAAATAGAAACCCTAACATCTCCTAAAGATCCCATTTCTCATTTCATCCTCCCTGATTGTAAGTTGAGTGGTCAAAGCACTGGAATATTCAGGTAAAATGCGCACCGATACTCGAACATCAAATGAGAGCCGGCGAATAAGCATACACAGGCGCCCAGTAGGAATCGTATTCCTGCTGTTGGTCAGACGGATCCGTGTCCAGGAAATCCAAGGAACGCACCTTCTCCCGTTCCAAACAATTGTTGAACGAAGAACTTCATCCCATCAAGACCGAGCACAAAGCCAACCAAATTGGCCGCCATCAACATGAGGATGTTGAACACAGCACCCATCGCACACACATGTCTGTACCAAGGCTCGTGTCCATACTTGCACCCTCGTCAGCGAAGATGAGATCACAGAATACTGGCCACACACTTTCGACTGCGGTAAAATGTACCGCGCTATCACCTCAGGCACCACGAAAAGGCTGGCCAGCCACCCCCAAGCCAACAGTCGGAATGTAAGATCGTGCCACAGCGCAACGAACGTAAAGACAAGTAGCGTATTCAAAATCACATTATTCGTTCCCCCGGCCGGGACGTAGATGTACCTGGTATGCAGGTTAATGAGAGAGAGCCACCAACGAATCGATACACACCGGATAATCCAAAGATTGTAGCTGCGGTGCCAGCTGCGCCAGAAACCGAACGTCGAGTAGTTATTTGCCATGCATCGGATCATGTTTTCAGGAGGATCGACCCCAGCTGCTAGCGCCCAAAGCCGGAAGAACCGCCAGATATTCATGAGCTAGAGCCTGCGTGAGCACAAGACCGGCGTAAGGGACATCTCCCCACCTTGAGCCAGACAATCATGAGATTCCAGAACCCAATCATGGCAATCTGGGCGGGCGAGTCCCCATTCCAAGCCTTGGTGTCTTTGATGGCGACTACATACATGTAGTGCAGAACGAATTCCATCGTCAGCATAGCAAACAGAAACCGCAGCAAATATCGCGCTACAGTCTGGCCAGTGATAGCAAGAGGTTTCCTGTGCTTTAACACCGTCAGATAACACATCAGAGTGGAAAAACATTCTACTACTCCACTCACCTGCCAGATGTAGTCGTTGTACGTCATAATGGGACCAGCCAAGTACAACGGCGGATACAAGGCGTAGGAGGTGTAGTTGACGTATGAGTACATCGTAGATGGGTGGGAAACACTCTGCCTCTGTCGGTCGTCGAGCTGACCCTACACATATGGTCAGAAGCAGGCACAGCGGAGCGAGGGATGGCACACCTCAGGAGTACTTGTTGTCTCCTTGCAAGCCCAGTAATAGTCCATGTTGAAGGAAATCAGCCTCAACATAGTTATATTGAAGCTGATATGCCATCGCGGATATATCCCCTCCCACTCGTCCTGTAATCTGTCAGCTAAAGCGGTGGGACGAGTAAGAAGAAAGGCACCAAGAACGCGAGGGGCGGAACGATCGCGGCAAACTTGTATCCATTGCATCGATCGTTGAGAAATAGCACGCCAACGTTGTATACCCAGCTGGCGACAGGTCCTATCATCGAGTTCCCAAAACTCGTAGCGATCCAGTAGTTCAGACTCAGAATAGGGATAATCTTGAGAGCACTGGCGCCGTGCAGAGCGAACAGCATGATCATAGACGCAACAAAGTTGAATCGAAGCAGGAACATGTTGTCTCCTGGTGGTGAGGTCGAGGCGTGGATCCGCATCCTGACCCGTCTTGCGACGACAAACAGTACGGCAGCAAGAGCCAGCGGGATGAAGTTGTTTCTAAACCCGCGATATTGGGTGTCGCTGTTGTCCTAGAGTTGTTGCTCAATCGTCAAACGCGTCTATGGATCAAGGACGTACGACGGGGCGACCGAACATCCATCCCGGCGAAAGCCTTCTGGAGAAAATAGGATAGTTGGGATGCGTAGCTAAAGTAGATATCAGGTTTCTGGAACACAGAGAAGGCTAGCGCTGGACGGACGAAGGCTGAGTTGGATGGGGATCCAAGCCATTATGACCACGATGACCATCGCAAAAACCGTGTACGCCCTGAACTCTGGAGTGCCCCATCTCGAGCGCGTCCCATTTTGAGGTGCGGTGCTCGTCCGGCTGCGCGATGAGGGGGTTGGGATGTGCACGGTAAGGTCTATGAGACGCATGTGTTTCGGTGGGACAGGATCGAGGTCGAAGGGCGCTGGTATCGAATTGGATAGTTGGCTCATAGATATCAGTTATAGTTCCACAAAAGGGCAGGCCTGCATGCCAGGGAAAGAACAAAGTGGTGGATTGAGAGTGCGGAATGACAAGTAACTTCGCTGTGATGTATTGACGCGACGACATTCTAGTCACGTGGTATATCATCAAATCACGACCTCAGCCGCAACTTTGCGCGAACCCATTGAAGCCGCTGCAACTTGTATTCTTATCTCATTCATACTGACGGTCATGGTGCGTCACCACGTTTACTCCTGTGATTCTAGTCCTCAACTGAACGTATCAGAGTCTTGCCTTCGTCCACGCGCATGACTGTGCAGAACGTGCGCGTTTCTCAAACTGCATGTGCTCGATGATCTCTCACAGCAGCCCCGCTAGCCCACTCCGACGCGATCTGGGGCGCGTCATGGACTGCACTCGACACTGTCGTCTCCGTCTCCGCTGATGGCTCGATCAAGCAGTGGAACTCCTCGACCGGCCAGCGGCATCCCGCGAACGCAGAGTTCCCTCCCCCCCACACTCTAGCGCTCGTCTCCCTCTCCGTCGCCCCGGATGGCACACGCGCACTGTACAACAGCATAGAAGGACTGACGGCGCTCTGGGATCTGACGAATGGGCAGGTGGCGGCCAAGTTCGAGAGCTATGCGCGTGGAACGGAGGGCGCGGAGCCATGCAAGTGTATTCGTCCGCACTGGACTCTACAATGGAACTGAATCATCCCAGCATGGTCCGTTTCGCTTCACCCGCAAGGCGAGACCTATGCGGCGACGAGTAGCTCAGGGAATGTATCGATTTATTCTGCGAATCCCGAGACGTTTGGAAAGCGGGTTGCATCGCTCGCGTCGGGGCGGTCCAAGTTCGGGATGAAATGTAAACACGTACGTCGGGAGGGATCAACCGAGAGGTGCTTGTTCTGATCCCTCGTTCAGAGTCCTGACGGAAAACGCGTCGCACTCTCAACGGAGGCGGGCCAGATTTACATCTTCGATCTCGAAGCTGGCGCGCTTTCTGCGACCTACACGTCGCATGCACTCGCTGTTCGAGCACTGTCCTGGTCGGCGGACTCCAGCGTAAGTGCATTCCGCTGTCACTATGGTCCCAACTCATTCCTGTGTGACAGTTGTTGTTGAGCGGATCAGACGACAAGCGTCTCGTGCTGCACGACGTGCGGACATCACAAGGTGGAACAGTGGCCTCATTTACGGGCCACTCTTCGTGGGTGCTGAGCACAGATATATCCCAAGATGGAAAGCTTGGGCTATCGGGGTGAGGAGCAGATTCCCTGATCTTTGCTTAACTCATGCTCACGATTGCAGATCGGCGGACAAGTCGATCAAAGTGTGGGATATTGGTGCAAGAGCAGCGGTCTCTACAGTCCAGGACACAGGCGAGGTGTGGTCTGTCTCCTGGCGACCAAAACCCTCTGCTGGAGGCGCCGGTGCCTTCATCAGTGGTGGACAGGACGGTGTTGTGAGATGGTGGCGCGGCGCAGGTGTCACGGTCTGATAGCACGAGTACGAAATACAACAAAAAGCAGGACTAAACGAGGAGGTCAAGCCTCAGTTTCTTGACCGCCGTGCAATAAGTGCGGCGGCACTAGTTCAACTGCGAGCTCCAATCAAGGCGTCTTCAAATTGAAAGTTTTGATGACTACGCACGGGGAAATTCTGCGCCGAAGGTGTTCATGTACTCTTCCTGCAGGCGGTCGAATTCAGCATCCGAAGGCGACATGCCCAAGTCCGCCTCAAGCCACTCGGACGACCGACACCCAAAGACAAGCTGCATCGAACGCTCGAACTCATCGTCGATCTCCTGCCGCAGAGTCTCGAACGTCGTGGGATCCAACTGCAGCATGTTCTGGCCGTCGGGAGAATCGAGGAGGTCCCCGGTGTGTGCGAACGCGCGGGGACTGCTGCTGCCGCTGCCGTACATGAGCGTGTCCACGGACGTGAGCAGTTCGAATAATTCGCGGTCGAATGGAATGCCCGTATCGAGCTCGTCGGGAGGAAACATGTCGGCATCGACAGTCACCGGCGACCCCGGGATATCCATATCGGGCAAAGGCAACATGCCCATCCGCGGGCCGTCTGGGATAGTTGGCGAGGGTGATGGTAAAGGTGAATTATTTGCAGACGATGTGGAAGCGGGCGGTTGTTCCACAGGCGATTCAATAACAGCGAGCGACGAAGGCGTTGACGACATTGCCAATGGGGCTTGTTGCGACTGGTGGGATGCAGACATCGCATCTTCATTTTAAAGTATCCACAAAACAGACGGGTGTGCAAAAATGCAGGGCCGCGACCCCATATCGATCATAGGACAAGAAGAACAAAAGGGTGTGGAAGCCAAGGTCGTGTTTTGGCCCATACAATAATAGCTCTGATTCTGATCGGTTCATAATAGCCGAGAAGATTCTTTGAGGGTCCCAGGAGATATGAAGGGGAAGGACAAAAGCAGACAAGGGCACCAGTTTCCAAGCAAGACAGTAGCATGAAACGACGCCAATCACTCGCGTTGATGCACAGCCACAGGTGATCAGGTGGAAAGCCTGCTGAGAAGCGCATTGATCATGAGCTGGTCAAGAGCTCGCGCCACTGGACCGAATACCACACGTATGGTGCGCGTTGTGCTTTGGTTGCGTGTAGATGGATGGTCTCGATGTCTCAAGCGAAGAATGATGATTGCCTAGCTCGCTCACAATGAGACGTCGCTACAACCTACCCTTGAGGGCAGTCCCAGACAGCCAATCCAAAACCGCACGCCCGACTTTGCCCCCATCTCCGCGTCCATTCTCCCATGCTCCGCTGCTCATCTTCTCACGCCAGCCCTTCAGGGGATCACTCGGCTCGCCGTCGTCCAGATAAGCCGGCGGCTCTGAGTCCACTGTTACATCTTGGAACAGGACCCAATGTCCTGTATCGGGAAGCGGGATTTCCGTGAGCCGCGTGATGAAACGGCGCTGGAGCTTCAGAGCGGCGGGAGCGAGGGTCGCGTCCAGGGTCCCGTACAGGGACAGCACATCAAGGTCGGCCGGGAACTCGGAGGACATGTGCCCGGCCTCCTCCTCCTGGTATCTGAGATGCGTGGTGCGGTAGTAGTTGGTCGGACCCGTCATACCGCGAGCGCTGAATCCGGCCTCGTACGCGCGAAACGCGTCGCCCTTGAGGATGCATGCTTGCAGCTGCTTCGGGACCGCCTTTTCTGCAAGGAATTTTGGCAGGGAATCGCTGGCCGCTGTCCACGACGCCATCGTTTCGGAGGACGAGAATATAAGGGACAGAAACTTGGACATCTACTTGAAAGATTCATCGAAGAGTAGCTCAAAGCGGTGTTGACACTGACATTGGCCTCGATGGTCGGCGCGGCGACTGGCGAGGCGAGATACAACTGGTACGCAAGATTGGGTGCACGCGCTACAACATCGGGCAAGGTGACTGGCGCAGGAGGGTGTGGCGTAAAGGGGACACTCATACTTTGCATAGTTCAGTCAGCGAGAATACAGGAAGTAGGGCGAGACGCACAGAACCAACGCCTCGACGCGTTCACGGTGCCACAGTGCGAATCGGCCAGCAGTGTACGACCCCCAGTCGTGCCCGATGACGATAGCGCGCTCCACGGACAGAGCAGTGAGCAACGCAGCAAGGTCGTCCGCCAAGCGCTTCGTCGTGTACTGCGCGGGGTCGACAGGAGCATCTGAACCGCCGTACCCGAGCATGTCGGGCACGATGACGCGATAGCCGGCGCGCGCCCACGGCCCAATCTGGTGTCGATACCCAAATCCCACTGTGTATGCGATGAGACACGACACACGACGAGCTGCGTCTTCATTTACAGTCGGGGAAGCCGTGGAAGCAGATCATGGCTTTGCGCGCTGTTGGGTTGGCATCGACGTAGGCCCAGGTGTGCCCGCTGAGCAGTGTTATCTTGGGCATGAGGTCGAGACTGCAGAGGGCAAACGACGGCGACAGGAATAAAGGTCGGGTTCCGGCATCTTGTTCCAACCGGTTCTGTTGGCCCCAAAGACGCACAATCAACGCCTGAGGGCTAGAAAAGGAAAGTGTCACGGTCACAAGACCATGATCGGTGTTTTGAACCGAGACCTGGCAAGCAGAATTGTAGCGTGGTGCTGCATACTTGATTCCTGATTCTTATTTTGAAAGATACATATGGCGGAAAATAAAATGTTGTACTGAGGTCTCGATCGGGAGCTCTTTGAATGTTCGATAAATGACACTAACATTTCAGCGACGTTTCGCGAAAAAAGCATCATGCAGATGATCGTCGAAGGCAATGATCCAAAGAAAATGCATTTGACGACAAAAGCACTGCTGTCTCTGATAGCTCGTTCCGGAAAGCACCATAGCTGCAAAGACGCAGTCTCTGGGTCTAGCTCGAGTGATGGAGCTGAGGAGTTTCATTTGCCACTCAAACGTGTGTTTTCGATGGGGAGCAATGACGCTGGTGACAAGCAAGTGAACGGGTTGCGTCGAATCCAACAGGAACCGCGCAAATAATGTTTAACCGAGCGTCTACTGGCTCCATAATTTATAAAGAACGCCCCCAATAAGCAAGTAAACACCAAACAGCGTTCACGTAAGTCTGTGCTGGGTTCCCAGACGCACAGACTATCAGGCAGAGGCAGTCGAGCTTGATTGGCGGCGAGCAAACGGAGGCACGGAACAAGTGAAACCAGCAGCGATCGGGAGCAAATGCAAGACAGAACGATGCCGGTGTTCAAGAGCTTGCAATGTGGAACACGACATACCCAGAGATCAACACCGCATGAAATTGGAGAAACCAAGGCGGTTTCGTAGGTAGAACAACCAATATGTGTCATTACACTTGGATCTACCATATTGGCGGCCCAGCTGAGACAGCCGGTAATCTACTCACCACTATATCTGCCGTGAACTTCGCTGCCATACTGAGTAAGCCACCGCGAAAAAGCCGCTGAGTCTCCCCAATTTGCTCCTGCGGGTCATATAATAGCAACGACCTCGTTACGGATGTCTGTCAGTGTCATGCTGCATGAGAGGGGGGAGGAGAAACAAAGAGAAAGGCTGTTCGACGTTGTTTTCGCTTGATTGGTCGGTCATCCACTCTTGACCACAACCTCGATGCCCGCAAGACGCAGACCCCGAGGACGACGAACCGGCCACGCAGATCTTGACGAGGATGATGATGTCGTGCGGGCAGCGCCGAGCGATTCGGAGGACGACTCGACGCACGGCTCCTCGACCGATTCTGACTCGGATGATGATGACGGCTCCGCATCCCACCACCACAGCCCCAACACCTCCCACAGCCCCGGCGCAGACGAAAAACCCACAGCGCCGTTCTTCTCTGGGACCTCAACCGCATGGGCGGACATGGTCGAGGATACCGAGGGGCTGCCGGTCATATCTTTTGGGGAGCTCGATGAGTCGGCCATCCGCAAGGTCCAGGACGATCGTGGGAAAGACGCCGACAAACAGGAGCCTGAGCAGGGGGCTGAGGAGGACCGTGACGACGAGGATGGTGAGCAGCCTGTTGCGTCCTCGTCGCGGCCGTCCCCCGGCTCCCGAGGTCCTTTCGTAAGCAGAGCCGCCGGCCAGACTGCCCGACAGGCATACCAGTCCCGCCTCGAGAGCGATCCGTCGTTCGTCCCGGTCGTGGGTGAATTCTGGGGCCACGACGATCGTCTCCTCGACAAAGATCTCCGCAGTCTGAGTGGATGGTGGCGAGGGCGTTGGCAGACCCGCGGGCGCGCAAGGGGGGGATTCGCCTTCCGGGGCAGAGGCGGGCCCTTCAATCGCCCCGCACTCAGCGCTCCCGAGTCCGAGCCCCAGCCGAACTCGCCTGTGGACCGTGCTTGGACGCATGATGGCTTCGAGGAGATGCGACGTCGGGAGGAGACTTTTCGGCCCCGAGGCGGGGCAGCTCCCGGGGAAACGTGCCGGTCGCTCGGGGGGCTGCTGCACTCCGCGGCCGTGGTGTGCCGTTGAACCGCACTGTGCCCGGCCGCATCTGGTACACGATGAAACCGGAGTACATGTGGACCAAGCAGCATGACGCTTTTCTCTATTCTGAGCCTTCTCTCAAGCCACGGCCTGGGCAGTCCGCCGGAATTCGTGTCCATCTTCCAGGGAAGTCTTCAACGGTAGTTCGGCTCGTTTCGCGGCCTGTCAAGTCCACGCGCTCGAAGCCGGCTGCTTTGGATGAGGAGTATGGCTATGCTGTGCGCTTACCCTCAGTCCGGGACAACGCACCCGGTGTCTCTGCGCCTGCTGTTGAGCCATCGAAGCCGGTGCCGACAACTGGTCTGGAACCAGACGAGGATGGGTGGGTGCGGCCGGATGCTGCTGCTGCTGCGATCGCATTGGCAGTTATGTCGTCGCCGCCTTCACTTCCGCCGCAGGCTCTACCCGCTCCGATCCCCCAAACGCATGCAGCGCTGGTTGCTCCGCCAGGATTCTATCCTTTCGCTGCACCGACATCATTCGCATTTCCTGCAATGCCAGCTTACGCATCTCCTCCTCCCCATGCCGGATATGCCGCTGCTCAGCCTACGCCTCCGCCGGGCTTCGCAACGCACACACCGCCGCCGCAGTTTGGAACCCCGCCGCCGCCGCAGTTTGGGACTCCGCCTGGGTTCAGCGCGTCATTACCGCCGGGTGTTGCACTGGATGTGAACGGGATGCCGTACGAGATGTCGAGCGGTCGCCACGTCATGCTCCAGCCGCAGGTGCCGGTTTACGCGTCCTACCACCATCACACGCCGTCCATGAGCATGGGCGGCCCGGATCCATCGCTGTTCTCGTTCCCTCGCAACTCGCGCATCGAGATCCGCGATCCGAGGGCGCCCAAGCACCCGCTCTCGCCGCTTTCCGCGGCTGATCCGGCCGGGAAACTGCGCTCCAGTGCGTCGGCGTTCGTGCCGTCGCACTCGGCCTCGCCGTCGCTCGCCGGTGGGGACTTCCAGCTGCCGTTCGACGGCATGCAGCCGCCGCCTCCGCCGACGTCGCAGGGCGGGTACGACGCGTATGGGAACTACGTGCCGTCCCAGTTCTTCTACAACGGCTACTACCCTCCCCCTCCTCCCCCTCCGGACGGCGCCGTGTATTACTAATCCCGCACGCAGGCCAGTGACTGGCTGCTGTTGGGTCTGTCTGTCTGGGAGGGAGGGAGGACGGCCCGTCCGGTCCGGCGCTGCTGGCTTGCGTTTCGCATCTGTTTCTTCCATTTCCGGGTGTGTGTGCCAGCCTCTCCTGCTCGTGTTGTGTGGACTCCCAAGCTGATTGATGGCCCGCAGTTGTCGCAGCTTTTTTGCCTTGTTTTTGTTCTTTGATGGGGTGTACTTAATAAGGCGCGCAAACTATAATGTTGTCCTCGTTGTCTCTCTACTACTACATATTGCTTTCTCGTTCCAATGTCACGCAATCAAATTTACCATTTTTATCCTAACGATGAGCCGCACGATCAGAGTAATAGTCTGGAGAGTATTTTGATAGGTTGTCGGATGTCGCTCACACGACTCGTTCCGAGCAAGCATACGAATAGTAAGTAGAGCAATGTGAGATTACAGAAGAGAGTGCATTATATCAAAAAGAGTCCGTACCATGCTCAGATCAAAGTCCATCCGCCCTACCCCAGCACCACCAACGCCGCCCCAAGCCCCATACACAGCGCGACGACCACCAAATGCGGCACGAGGAGCCGCCCGGCGCCACTCGGCTTGCGGCCGCGGCTCGTGCCCGCCTCCATAAAGTTCGCGCCGGCCTGTCCATTCGACGTCGCGAGGACCGTGGGATTGAGCGTGGCGGTGTTCACCGTCTTGGTGAGCGCGGTCGTCGGGAACGTCTGCACGGTCTGGTACGACGCGGGGTCCGCCGCGATGTCCGTCAGGAACACGAGCGCGAAGCCCGGCGCGGGGACCTTGATGTTGCAGGTGTTGTCCCCGTTGCAGGTCACCGTCTGCACCTGCTCGGTCCCTTGCATGCGGCCGTCCGAGGCAAATGCCGAGCCGAAGGTCTGTTCTGAGGTCAGCGACGGCAGCGCAGCGGGCATGATCGCTTTACCTGGCCGGCCCAAGTGATGTTGTCTTGTGTCGATACCGACGGCGCCAAAAGATATCTGGCGGGAGTGATTAGTTGGATTCATCATTCTCCAAATTATGTATATATATATATTTATGCACGCACTTGACTTTGACCTGCGCAGGCGTTCCGTTCGCTTGCCCCGTGCTGCCGCCCCCGATGGCAAAGGACATGGTGTAGTCGCTGGCCCCGCTCGGATCCGAGACATAGTTGAACAGCGCCAACCGGGCGAGAACACCGCCGTCGTAGATCGCGTATGCAGGCGTGTAGATGTTGTTGCTGTTCGTCTGCAGGTCGATGATCTGCGACTGGTTCGACTTGCCGAACGCTTCAGCAATGACCAGAACTGAATAGTAGACTGCCCCGATCGTCCATGAGTGGAAGGCGGTCTCATTCGTTGGAGGGGCTACATGTAGTTGGCAACCAGCGGCAATATAACGACTTCATCTGACTTACGGGTGAACGGCTAAGAACGGAACACTTAATGAGGAATGAAAACAAAGTGACAGCAAAGGAGACGCACATTGTAGTAAACCCCTTGACCACCAACATGCAACAGGGCATTCGTAAAGTTGCTATAAGCCAGTTGGAGACCATAGTCCACCGCCCACAGACTGGCCCCAAACGAGTCACTGATGCCAGGGAATCCTCCGCACGAGGCGGTATTAGTCTCGACCATCACAAAAGGCAGTTTGAAGGTTTGGGCCAGAGCAGTGCTGGGTGTCGTGTCACATCGACCATAGAAGGACAGAGAACAACAACAGCGTCAACGCACCTGGTGAGGTAGTTCGCAGCAATCGCCTGCCCGGACGTGTGATTCAGATAATCGGAGAAAACATCCTGAGGGACAATCGCGTTCGGAGCAGACGGCCCGCCAAACTCGGCAGCACAGTTGTTGTCAGGATAGCTAACGACCATTATTTCGTTCAGCAGTGGAGCTGTCATATCGCGGACAAGACGCACAAAGACATGGACAGAGCACCCAAGCTCTGCTGGAAGTCCTGGATGAAGTTCGTGTCCCAGACCGACTGCGGCTGCCACTGCCCCGACAGACTGGGGCCCATGAGCTTGCCATTCACGACAGGCACTTTCGAGTCAGCACGCAGGGCCGTGTCCACCACACCGAAATCCGCCGAGTAGTTAGCAGGGCCGTACCCTTGCGGCCGGTGCTGATGCCTGATGGGGAATAAGCCGAGCTTGAAGTTAAACCAGACATCCCGGAACCCACAGCGCATATTGGTCAGGCTCGTTGCCAACCTGAGAAGTCAGTTATGCATAAAAGCGAAAGGGCAAGCTGAGACTGTCACGTGCCTGGAAGGTAATGAGACGGTCGCCCAAAATAGCCTCCCCGACTTCGGCAATCTGCAGGCGGAGATTGGTAGTATCGTTCAGTGGAATACCTGTCATCGAATGAGCACCCGAGCGTCCCACACCCCGAATCACGCACCCAGATACCATTCCACGTTCACCAGCGACGAGACATTGGCCAGCATGTAGAGCACATCCGGCGTGTACAAAAGTATCGGTGTTTTCGTCTGTAGTAGACATCTAGTATCAGCGGGAAGCGACTAGGACGACGACGCACAGGATTGGTCGAGATCTGCGATTCCTTCCCTAGCATCTTTCCACTGGGCAGACTGGGCTCTAGCACCGCATAGTCCTGCGTGTTTCCTCCGACCCGGATCCGCACAGACCCAGCGCGCGCTTGGACGTTCGCCATGAGATTGAGGAACGGCACCATCAGCCGCGTACTGCGAGACGCCATGTTTCAGTCCACTGTTGCTACTACACCCCGCGGTGTAATGCAACGCATCAACGAACCTGTTTGAGCCCACTGCAGCGGGCATCAGTCCCCGCAGAGCAACAGCAGACAGTAAGTCACGCACAGACTTGGTTGATGACCGAGAACTCGACCGAGAAACCCATGAAGTGCCCGGACTGGGGTATCGATAACCCCGGCACGGGCGCGCTGCTGAGCTGCTGGAAGAATGACGTCGGGGGTGCCGGCGTGGGAACGGGCGGCGCAATGAGCGTCGTCGGATCAAACGCAGGGAGACCCGTATACGACGCGGAGGCGGAGGCGGACGCCGACGCCGTGGTCGTCGTCATCTTGCCCAGCGGAATCTGTCCGTAGACCGTGATTTTGGCGCATACTGGCAGAGAGAAGAGAAGGAGAGTGGGAAAAAGGGAGGCGGCCAGCCACATTCGCGGCGGATCGGTGGGGGGGAGGGAAGGGGAAAGGAAGAGGAAGAAGAAGTAGACGGGAGTCTGCGACCGCTAGAGACCGTGAGTGAAAACATATAAGCGGTGTCAAGCCGATGACACACACACACCACTTGTCTCCCTTGCATAGCCGCCGCCCGATGCATCGCTTCTCCGGCGTTGCAAGAGCGTTCGTTCGCTCGTTCATGGTTGCGCTGAGCGCTCAGCCCGCGCACAAGTCATAGCCCATTTCCTCCACCTGGCCCGGCGAGTTCGGCCCGAGGTGGATATCCACGCCAGGCGCGTGTCGAGGAATGAGATCTGATCGCTTGCGTCTCCCCCCCAAAGTCGTCTCATCAGGTCCGGTCCGAAATTCCAAGACGACAGCAAGCTGGAATCCAACTGCCCATCCAGACCTGCAGATCTCCAGCCAACCTCTCTCCGACTAGTACACGCTCCAAATAAGATCCTCGCCGAACACACTCGTCACTGATGCCGCCAGCAACGTTGGAACGAGTCCTCCCGAGTAAGCTCGACTTCGTGCTCACTGCCAGACAGGACCCGATTCGAAGGCGCGCGTGAACACGAGGCTATTGCCACTGCCACTGTCGAGCAGCCAGATTCTCGGACACACACATACGGCCGCGCCGGATATGTTGGCTGTTTTAGGAAGCAGCCAGCCGTGTTCAGAGCGGAGATCCGCTGTAATTTCGGAATGAGGTCTGAGGCTTCAATAACGGCTCTATAGTCGTGGGGGAAGGAAGAAGAGAGGGTGCCCTTGAATCGGTCCCGAAGCTCCTGTTCTTCGGCATCGCGCGCGTTTATACGTACAACAGGGAACAATTAGCCTTAGTGACTGACGTACATATAGTACATGTTCAAATGAGAAATGTCAGGACAAGCGACATCGTCATTGCCGAATCAACACACTACGCTCGCTGATGCCGACAAACTAGGAGAACTACCCTCAACCAAGACAAACGGGAGAGTGAACTCAAGTCTTCCTCCCCAAACCAATCGGCGCTCTCCTTGGCTTCTGGCTCTGCTGCGACAGCATTGACGACTGACTTTGCGGCGACAAAATCCCGCTCCCAACAATCGACCCTCTCGCCCGTGGGTTCAACGGCGAAAGCGCACCCGGGCCTCTCGTCGTGGGCGCTGATCCCGGTCCTGGTCCCGGTCCTGGCATCGGCGAGGACCCAATCTCACCAGTCACCCGCCGGCGTGTGCCAGGCCGCGCACTCGTCGACCGGCCCACGCGCTCTTCGCGGTCGGTTTTCTCCGAGTCTGAGAGCGTGGAGGAGAACATGGAGGTGTCGGCGCCCATCGCTTGCCGCCGCGCCTTCTCGTGTCGCGACTGCACAGACCGGAAGTGCAGCAGCAACTCCTGCCACTTGATTTCGTCCCGCCCACCGATTTTCGAGCGCGAGGCTATGGCTGACATCGTCCTGAACAAACCATCAATTCAGTGCTTCCTCAATGTCCACGTGGTGTACTCACGACTTTGGTGCAATGTGAAGGAATCCGGCCGAATTGACTGCATTGAGCCGATTGCGAAGGGAAACAAACGCAGAACTCTGCGGCAAGAGCATCAACAGGCCGTACAGGCACTTGAAGAGATAAGGATAGCGTTCGGGCTCTAGCAGCTGCAGGCGGATGTCTACAAAAGTGTCAGATTGTATGCATCCCTCTTCTGTAGAACACTTGCATGTAAAAACCGGCGACTCTATTAGCTGGACGAGTTTATCCACTTGCACAAGCATTGGAACGGTGATCTCGAGATCAGCACTGCGGACTGTGTCAGTTGCCGGCGACTGGAACACAACACGGACGACTGACAAAATAGATAACAGATTTGAGGCATGCTCATAGGCCTGTGCCAAAAGACAGAGTGAAAAGACAGAGACGGCGTTGTGGCACCAAGAACGGTACAGTGTGGTAAACAGCGCCTGTCCGTCTTGCTGTTCAAGAGTCAGCTCCTGGCACGTGTTGTAGAGAAAAGCACTTACCCTAGTCTCCAGACTCTTTAGTCGTTTACGGAAATCGGACAATTCGGGTGATGTAATCAGTATAAGATTCAGCTTCTGCACGATGACGCTCGCAAACTCAAGGTCCTGAAGATGGCTAAGTCCCAATGAGAATGAATAGATAGAGAAAACGTCACCTCCTCCTTCTCTAATATCTCTGCAAACGTCCGATAGATCCGCTCCGTGTTCAGATTCAAACAGAGTTGTCGAATGATCAGACTGCCCCGGGTCTCGAGCAGCCTCCGGTCCGTGCTGAATAGCTCCAGCAGATTCATCATGAATGCTTTGAAGTAGGTCTCTTCAGAGCTGGACGAGATTTGAGCCAGCAGCTGCAGATCATGTTTGATGACCTAGAGCGCTGTCAGTGCCTTGAAATTTACACTTAAAGATTTTCATGTCACCTCTTCGGAGCTATCTGAGAGGGTCTTTAGTAACGCCGGGAATGTCCCGTCGTCCATAGCAAGAATCTACACAGAATCAGCGAAGACGTCGAACCAGTTCACACGACGACACGCACCTTCCTCGGAGCCTTCTGATGAAGCATGATCAACCACTTGAGCGCAGCAACACGCGTCTCCTCAAACTCGCTCAGGAACTGGATCGTCAGCTCATTTACCGTCGCCTGGTAGTCGAACGGATCCGCCTCCTCAGGCGATGCTGCATACGGGATGTTGATGCTGTTCTGACCCGTTTGGCTCGTGAACGAAACTGGAGAGTGGGGTCGACTCGTGGTCCCCGCGTTGGGCAAAGGAGGTGGCCCCATGTCCGACAAACGAGGCTGATCGACGCCGGAGAGATTGGTTCGGGACCTGACGGGAACGATCGTCGGGTGATCCGCCGGGAGATCGACATCGACCGATGACTGTTTGGATGGAGAGGAGGTTCCTGTGGGTGTTGGCGATCCGGGAAGACGGGGCACGGCAGTGGCTGTTGGCCGGGGGGCAGGGTCCGAGGGAGACGGCAAGGCTTGTATAACGTTCAGCAAGAGTTTATTGGTCTGCAGGGCAGCGGACTGAATCATTGTCACATGATGGGCAAGATTCGGCAGGATGGCAGGGATGAGTCGGGGTGTGAACGGGACCATGACTTCGCTTGTGAAGGTCAGGAATTCAGCAAGCCATCGCAGCGCTGTAGATTGCTGAATTTCGTCGTCTTCTTATGTGTGAGAATTGCTTCAAAGAGAAGAGACGTTTGACTCACGTTCACCATCCAGTTGTTGTATCAAGATCTCAATAATAGCATCATAGTCGATTCGCACTCCTTGGCCAGGAATCCAAGCTGGAGAGCGTCAGAGTGGATAACAGGGTGCATAGAGCAACATACCGCCAGTATCCCGATATTCAACTTCACTGGGCCCGTCATCTCTTAAGGGTGCGATGTCATCTCCGTATGCAGAGCTCCCGTCATTCTCCGCGATGAACACCGCGCGCTCGCTCTGGTCCACGCTGAAATCTGGTAGCCGAGACTCATCGACGCCAGATTCCGAATGCCTGATGGAAGAGCTGTCGTGCAGAGACTTTGCCTTCTCCTCTGTACGTTTGCGAACGACGGTGACGTCACGGATCTCCCGGACGAAGTCTGCCAGCAATGTTTCAGTCGCGACTCGGACGTCCTCAGTGGGGTCTGAGAGGTACTTCCTGCGAAGCGGATTCAGGGGAGCGGACGTAGCAGGAAACGGTGATGACTCACAACAAGCCGTCCAAGAATTCCGGCAGGTACGCGATGAACTCCAGCTCAGGCACCGAGTCAAGAACATTGATCCAGGAGACGAGGTAGCTTCGCGTGAATGGGCTGACGACATAGATTCGGTCACGCAGGAGGGGCACGAAATGGGCCAAGGAGAACGCCTTGCGCAGGCCCTCCTCGTTGCCCCGCAGCACACCATCGGGGTACGGGACAAGCACGCCGTGCGCTTCGTCACGAGCCCGTTCGGTTTCGGGGTATAGCGGTATATAGACGGAGGCGGATTCGGCAACGATGTCTTTGAGGAGCCGATCAAGCAGTTCAGCGCCATTCTTCACAGACAGTTCGGAGTCGGCGGCAAGCTGGCGGCCGTGGCTCAGGAATCGACTCGGGACTAGGCAGGGCTACGCACCTTGCTCAAAGCATCGAAGATCTCGTTAAAATACACCAAAACCTCCCCCTTTGACACCTTGGCGATATTGTACAGACATTCGGCTGAAAAGTACCGGATGCGGTTCTCCGTGTCGACAAAGCAGTCGAGTAGCGGATGCACGAACTTCTCCATATACGGCGCGACGTCGACCCCGAGAGCTATTGCCGTGCCGGCCAATCCAATAAGCCCGCCATTGCGCATATGCAAGGCATTTGAGGTGTTGCTAAACATTTCCACCAATTGGTCGATAATCTGGCTTATCCTGCGATGGTCGTTCTGCTGCTGACATTCTCGAATCTGTCTGAAGTCAAGTCTGAGGTCACTTCTGAACGCTCGGCAGTCGGGCGCACGCACTTTTCGAGATCGAGCGCTGCTGCTTTGCGTTTCTCGTAAATCTTGTCAACCAACTGCTTGGCGATTGAGGACTCTGTGGGCTAGGTCAGGCGGTTGAGGCGTGATCCCAGTGCGCCACGTACCCATTGCCGGCGGAAGAACGCAGCATGCAAGCTTGATGCAGGTTCCAGAAAGACGCGTCTGGGTGGCTGTGCGGCGTATCTCGTGCGCCGGCCAATGTCCGAATCCATCCCGCCCTCCTCATTTGCGGACACGAGCTTTATGCTATCCAAACCTGGTGTCTTTCTACCGCACTCGCTCACATCCTTGGACTCTGGCCCGAATCTCCGCCACGGTGGACGTGACGATGAATACCACGTTGCATTATATGACATACAATGTGGATGGTGATCGTCTCCGAAAATGTCTAAATTCACCGACGCTACTGGGTGTTGTCCGCATGCTGGATTATTCGGCCGTTTCTACTCTGCTATTTTCTTGGTCCAGACACCTCATGGCACACAACCACATCATGTCAACGTAACTGAAGCCTCTTCCCCGGCTGGACGATTTTCCCTCATTAGTTCTCCCTAACGAGCTGCTTCATGAGCAAGGACCTGCAAGACCTTGGATCAGCGGGACCCGGAATGTCATGTACTTATAAGTATGGCTGGCCGAGCATCGCCGATTCGCCGCGGCCGCCTACCTGCACGCAATTCCAAGTTTAAACGACGCGTCTTTGTGGCTGTGTCTCTTATCTCCTCTACTCAGGCACACCATGTTCCTCAGCTCGGTCGCTACAGGTGCTGTCCTGCTGGTCACCAGCTTCCAGCCGTCTCTGTTCGACTCCTGTCTATCGGAGTCGTTCTATGGCAACTTCATCGACAGTCAGACGACCCAGAGCGTCTTCCTGCCGGACGAGGCGTGCCTGCAATCGTGGCTCGATGTGACGCGTGCTCCTTCAGCCTCCATTTCCCAGGCGCAGAGGGACATTCAACAACTCGTATGGGTGGAGCAGGAGGCCGTTGATGCTGCGCTGTTGGCTACCGCTGTGTCCGCTCGTAGCGAGTTCGACGCCTTCCTTGACCGGCTCCGAGCGGGCGGAGCCGTACGTCGCGACCAGACCGTTTTGACTGTTCCGACGACCGGTGGCGAATTTGAGGTCCTGTACCAAACCCCCACCGCAGCCTTGCTGTCCGTGAGCCCCGCCCAGGGCTACATGGTCGACACCATCCTTCCTCGCTTCTGGAAATCCACGCTTGTCCCCACCGCGGCCGTCAAATACATCCCCGTCCCCGACTCTGCCATTGAGCATGCCAAGAATGTTCTTTCGACTCTCAGCTTCAACCCCGAGGTCGCGGGAATCGTCGACAGTATCTCGGTCCCGCAGATGATCAAAGACATCCGCTTCCTCACCGGGGAGGACGAAGAGTCGCCTATCATGTCTCGCCACTCCTTCTCTGACGGCTCGCGCACCGCCGCAAGCTGGCTGAAGGTACGTGCTCTGTTGATGTCTACGTGTCTCTTCTTAACCCAATCCTTAGGATCGCTTCGAGGAGACGGGGGCCACGTGCGAGCTGCAGGACTTCCTGATCGGCTTTACTCCGAACGTCGTCTGGTAAGAGTGGCTTTCTTATATACGTACATTCAGTGTACTCATGCCTGCAGTGCCTACCCGTCTCTCGTCAACACGACTGCTACAGTGCTATTGAGTGCTCACTACGATTCTCGCGGGTCTTTCGGCAGCACGCGGGCACCCGGTGGGGATGACGACGGCTCAGGAACCATGGCGATTCTCGCCATCGCTCGCACCATTGCCCGCAAGGACATCAAGTTCCACAGCAATGTCCAGATTGTGGCCTTCGGCGGAGAAGAGCAGGGCTTGCTCGGATCCAAGGCCTATGCGAAGAAGATGCGGGCTGCTGATGCGAACATTACGGTGATGATCCAGGCGGATATGCTGGCGTACCACGCTGCGGGTGAGCCTGCTCAGCTCGGGTTGCCTCTCAGGTAGGTCTCTTTCTTCGACTCCACTCGTCATCTCATCTCGCATGCAGCATCGGCACCCCGGAAATTGCGCAGCTCGTGGCCAATGTTTCGAAGATCTACAGTCCTGAATTGCGCGTTGGTGTCACAGCTGTGAGTCGTCTATTGAGCACCATCTGGAGTTGGAAGTGACGATCTTCAGGCTTGCTGCAGTGATCATCAGGTGTGTTCAACAATCACTCTGTGACGCCAGTTCTTGTCTAAATGAATATCAGTCCTTCTGGGAGCAGGGATTCCCGTCCACCCAAGTCTTTGAGCGAGCGGGTCCCATCGTTGACCCGATGTATCACAACAGTGGTATGCATTGCTGTCTTCTTACATCCCGAGTCCTTACAGTCCTCCTCGCAGGCGATTTGAGCGAACGAGACAACTACGACTTTGATCAGGTCAAGTCGATCGCCAAGGTCCAGCTTGCAACGCTCTTACATTCAGCCGGCTACGAGTTGTAGACTCATGAAGCCACTAGATAGGTAACCTACTTATTTAATCGAGCCGATAATGGATTTTTGGTAATCTTGCTGTCGAATAGTTGTATCACGGAGACCCGTTTGCGTTCTGTCAGGACAGGTTTCTTGAATCTTTTCGAAATCCGGCTAGCTCAAAACATCTGCCCCAAATAAGACAAATGCAGAGCTCGAGTTTGATTCGTCGGTAAACCCCCGATCTTCCTCTGCTGCTGAGGTGATGAGTGGTCTCATCGTTGCTGTGACTCTGGCGCGGCTCGCAATTGGTTCAACACCGTCATAGCTTGAATGAAGACCGGTCGGATCTCATTGACTTCCATCGAGCAAAGGTTGGTCAACTAAAACAAGGTTCACGCATGGAACGGAAAGCAGAAGTCACTCACCCCGAGCGAAGAATAATCGAGGTGTTCCAGTCCAGCCCTAGCCTTGGCCTGCCTCGCCTCCCGCAGGTCCTTCAGCAGCGTTCGTATCTTATCGGAGTTCGGAATGTCGTCCGATGCGCTGCAGGACCGGCTAAGCATCGTGAGCGGCGGCGGAACGGCGACCCTACGCACACATCGAGAAGAACATGTGAAATCTCCGCGAATCGAAACGGCAACTTGGTGAACTCTTTCTGCGTCGTCTCTTGCGTCAGCTTCTCCTGCAGATATTCTGGGGACCCTGTCACGAGGGGGATCGAACCGCGTCTGACGAGCAAAGCGCACCGATGGTCAGCCATTCAGGCGCTACGATGTGGCATTTCCTCTTTTGTTTGAGATTCACGGCCATCCATATCGGGACGCTCGATCTGTGGGGAGGCCGCAAAGGCCCGTAAGCGCCCTGGAGGTACATAAAGCGGCGTTGCCCGTGCACAAAGAGGTGCATGACGCACAGCGATGAATGCGGTTTTCTCCATCACTATGAGGGGGACGATCTGCACGAGCTCCTGACAGGCGATGAGTTCGAGCTCCGGTGGCGTCAGAGCTGGGCGGAGCGAGGATGGCAGGGACATGATGAGTGTTTAGGTGAGAGTAAGACGCGTCGAATTGATGCTGCATCAACGCGTCGTGTCACTTGCCTGTGACACCGAACGTGTCCTCCAGGCTCTGGTGTCCCATCTCCAGCCCAATGTTCCGACGTGCCCTGTACTGGCTACACTCTAAAATTGTTCAGCGCGCCGAGCGCTTCCTCCTCCGTGTCCTAGCATCGGGGCCCATACCCAAGCATGTTGCCTTCGTGATGGACGGCAACCGCCGCCACGCACGGCGAAAACACCAAGCCGCAATCGAGGGACACAGCGAGGGATTCGTCGCCCTCCTCAGGGTGCGTGGCTGCAGTATCAATCCTGCCTGATTCAGTGAATGATCAAGCCAGACAGGTGCTCGAAGCATGCTTGAGGCTCAGAATCCGCTGCGTCTCGGTATACGCTTTCGCGCTCGACAATTTCCGGCGCACACCCGAGGAGATTGACGGGCTGATGCACCTTGCACACGAAAAGCTGCTGGAGATGGCCAAGCATGGGTACGCCACCGCCTATGCGATCTATCCTGGCGACCGTTCCTACCACTAAATGGCGTAGCAAGATCTTGGAAGAGTACGGCGTGCGACTGAACGTACTCGGCCGAACATCATTGCTTCCTGAATACGTGCAAGAAGCTATCCGGACGGTGGAAAGCGTGACGCGGAATAACAACAAATAAGCGGTTTCATCGTGCGTGCGGCCGCCAGCTCATCCCGCTCCACAGCGATCCTCAACATATGCATGCCTTATTCCTCACAGGACGAGATGGCCGGGGCTGTGAAGCTGGCTGTGGCCGCTGCTCTCGACAAATCAGACGCAGACGGCATCGACATCTGCGAAGCCGACATCGAAGCGCACCTGATGACATCGCAAGCGCGCAGCCCGCCGCTCGAGATATTGGTACGAACGAGCGGGGTGAAGCGTTTAAGTGACTACCTTCTTTGGCAGGTGCGATGTGATCATTGGTCTTTGAACACTCGCTCATCTCTCACATCCAAGTGTTGTGAGGACACTCAAATACACTTCACACAGAAAAACTGGCCGGAATTTGGACTGCTCGATTTTGCTCCGATACTGCTGGACTACCAGCGCCAAGTTTGGGGTCGCGGGGTCGCAAAGTATCAATTTTGAGCCTAGATCACTGGTAGAATACACGATCACGTGAGTCATTGATCGTCAAATTAAGCTAAGTTCTCAAGTTCGCATCCTTTCCGCAGGCTGGTTGCAATCTGCCTATCTGACTTTTATCATACAAATGTAGATAAGTTATAATACATGCCGTACATCGACCCAAAAGTCCTATCTTCCAAGCAAAGCGCGTCTGCGCTTGATTGCGCGACGGATCTCCATCAAATCGTTATCAATTTCGACCTCTTTGCACTCTGCAGACGCTAGGAGTTGCACTATACTTTCCGCAGGCGGATTATCCTGTTTCGTGGAGTTGCCGGTGCGTCTAGGCTTCTTTCGAGCATTGCTGGCTGCTGCTGCCCGCGAGGCTGAACCGGCGCCGGAAGCCATGAGCGCGAGAGGGAACGGTGATGGAATTTCGTCTACTGAGAGCGAGTGCGGATGCACCAACGGGACAGCGGTGGGGATGCCAGAGTCTGCTGCATCTCCGGGAGGAGGGGAGGAGCCCAGCTTGTTTCGTAGCTTACGAGTGACGTGGGAACGTGACTTATCCAGAGACGCGTCTGGGCGGGTTACGAATCAATGGGAGCTGGAGGAGTGATACAAAATGGCGGACTTACCTCCAGCTATACCCTCGCTATCTTTCTCCTCCCGCGCCCGTCGACGACCCTCTCCTATCCCTTCAAGGAGGCGCTGTCGAACCCTGTCGTGCCCGATACGCCACTCTTTCTGCACGCTCTGTTGCTCCTCCTCAAAAGCCATATGTGCGAGGTGGATCGCGTTCTTCTCCTCCAGCTCGAGTTGCACCAGTTGCGCTGAACGCTCGAGTGATAGTGGAAAGAGTCTCAGTTCAAAAGCCGGAACGGTATCTGGACGGGAGGATAGTAGAACGGAGAGCTGTTGGAGCTGGCTGCTGCTGCTGCTCTCGAGGTGTGTGCGCGAGCTGCTGGAATTGAGTCAGCTGTGGATCTTGGCAGGGGGATTCATGAGACCTACCCGTCTCCAGATTCGTTCCCCGGCCTGGTGGACGCAGCTCTACGCCTTTTTTTGTGATTCTCCTCAGCGGCTACTGGTATGAGCCGATGAGACGGCGTGGATCAGTACGAGCGCGGAAGGATGCATACCTTGAACGTGCAAGCTGGAGCTGGCAGCAGCATTTTCTTGGCTCTTTCCCATGAGCTAATTCCCTTCTGATGTTCTGTGCAACGGAAAGGCGCCGATTGAGGGTCGAGTGGATTGTAGGCCTCGCAATCTGGCCAAGAACAAAGGAAGTGATCGACTCATCGCATCAGCGATCTCGATCCAATGATCGATCAAATCAATCGGCAAAGCCGGCATGTTGAAGTTTACATTCTAGGAAGATGCGTCTCGGTTCCGTCTGTTTATCCACATTTGATACTGCGTCCATAGAAACTAACTTCCAAGTGATTTGATTGAGACGGCAAGCTCCCAACAGACATAAATTCTCCTCGTTTTAATCTCGTTCACGACTTCGCGCGCCCATCGTTGTGTTTGTTCGTTGTCGTATCCTCCCCTGGATACCATGGACGGAGTACAAGCTGATACAAACTCCTGAAATATTGTGAGTAGAGGCATTCAGAATTAATGCTCTCATTTAACGCAACCAGAGAGTTCCTGAGTGCCACATCACCCAATTCCGCTCCGTATTCCGAGTCGCCGCTGCCATTCCAGCCGTTAGGACAGAAGTAAACTTCGTAGAACAGACAAGGATCGACGAGAAATAAGTCGGCAGGGATGTAGTCGGTGCCGATGTTTTTTCGAAAAGCACACATCCACCCGGCTAGCCAAGACCCTTGCGAGCTGAGTGTATCGAGTGCGCTGTCGGTAGCGGGAAAGAGCGGATCCATCTTAGTTTTATGTTCATCGAACACCGTCTCCCCGAGGTCGCTGGCAATCATAACACCACCTCGGAGATAGTGAGAAACCTAAATTCGAATATTCTCGGTGTTTCTCACCGGGGACAAGAAGCTTCTGGGCACGTTCGACGACTGATTTGGGGTCTTTCCACTGTAAATTTTTATGGGAGTCGATTAGTACTAGAATACGATGCGCGCGCCGCTCACATGCGCCAAAATTGACTGTGCATGGACCAGACTATAGCCACTAGGACAAATCGGTATTTCCTTTGAGATATCTAGCTGCATGAATCTGGAGAAATGAATTGACTCGAATTGTTGGCCAAGGCGGATACGCACTCAAAGTTCGGCGGGGCATTTCTGTCATATTACGGTCCAAACAATCCAAGTCCAAGAATCTGCTAGAAGCTCACCGGAACGCGTGCTTGGAAATGTCGACGCCGATAACGCGCGCCTGAGGATACAATTTGGCCATGGAAATAGCCCTGATGCACATGACCATCTGATCAGCGTGTGGCCAGAATTCTCAGGCTCAGCGTCGCACCAATGACCAGAGCCGCATCCCAAATCAACAATGACGGGCGTCGGTCGAGTCATCAAGACATCGATTGTCTCTTTCTGGGAGGGAGGATAGAGCCCGCCGACTAGTCTTGTCCACATCTCGTGCTGCATGGCCAGCCTCTGCACAAGCCTCTGAATCGAACAGGACAGTGTGGGGGGGCGAGAAGAACGCACAGCGGCTTCGACATCGTCCACTGGAAGTTGATAGTCCTCGAGTTAACTCAGTACGTTTCTACGGTGCACGAGCAAACGGAAGTAAGTACCATGAAGCAGATGATGAGCAAGTGGTTGGGGTACCTTCTGGGCATCAAGGGTAATTAATATCCTATGAGTGCCTTTCTATCGCCTACCTACGGCCCGATCCTTCTTGGAACTGAGCACCAAGAATCCAAATAGGGCAAGCCCGAGTGGCAAACTTCCGAGGGCACCAATGTGGCTGTACCAGGAACAGTGAAACGTCGCCGTTTTTGTGTCGCAACAACAGCCTGAGAGCTCCCCATTCCAGATTTTAAAAGGTACAATGACAACGCGAGAGCATACGAAAGCGAGAGTAAGATCTGTTTACGGGCCAGGTATGGTCGGCCGCACCGGCGAGATGCTCATAGCACCGAGAGATTCACCCAGACCGAGACCTTCCGACGACGCCCGGGAATCTGTCACTGTGGGTATATCCATTCCCGCCCGATCTTCCAAGCCGTCATCCTCCTCCTCCTCCTCCTCGTCATCCTCGTCCTCGTCGAGGGACACGGAGCTCCACTCTCGGTATATGCTCTGGATGTATGTACCCGATTTCGCAAGCTTGTAGGGATCGAAGGGGAAGAACGTGTTGAGCTCGGCGGTGATGCCGCTGCTAAGCAGGGCGGCGGAAAATCGCATCGCGGAAGCACTCGTCAGCAGTCCACTAGGCTGGCGGTCCGCGCTGCTTGCCGAGTACTCGGAGCGCCGGTTAGCGTCCATTATCGTGTAGCAGTACACGAAATCAGTCGCTTGTGCAATGTGGGCGAATTGATGCACGACGTTTGTGGAACAGATCTGGCCGGAAGTTCAAATAGACACCGATAGGAGTGCGTACGGCCACGCACCTTGAGTGGGTTCAACACCGAATGCACCACTCTCTGCACCACATCCAGCTCTGGGATCCACTTCTTGCCGGGCTTCCCGACAAGATCCTCCGCATCGAGATCCTCTGCGTCTTCCAGCAGGTCTCTCCAGCGGAAGCAGAAGATGAGGAACACCGCTTGCGCGATCGCATAGAAAACGCCGTTCTGCGCAGAGATGGTCGAGCCACTCGATACAGACGCGCCCACCCGCAGCATCTCCTCGACCGCATCTACATGCGAACGCATGAAGTCGCACAGCACACCCACAACGCGTCGCGTCGCTGCACGATCAACGAAGTTGCCCCTGCTGACAAAGCTGCCGATGTAAGCAGCCGCGGCTGCTCGTGTGACCGCGGGCACAGCCGTTTGGAACAGCGCCCGGTCGACAAGCAAGCCCAGGAAGATGTCCGCAAACTCCGGTGAAAACGATGTGTAGAAAAACACGAGGAATTGTGTGTATCTCGACTTGAATGTCGGTAGGATCAGTCGGTCGAAGATGGATAGCAGGCTCTGGAACTGCGCATGGACTGTCGGGGGTGGCGGACGAGGTATAACCTGAATGATAGGATCTGAGGTAGGAAACTCCAGTGGCGACATCAGGGGCGAAGAGGAAGACGGGGTAAGAGGCGGTAATGGTGGTAGATCGGGCGGAAGTTTAGTAGATGGAGTAGGATCATTCGGAGAGACAGTTTCTTGCACCCGCTGGAAGTGTTCGAACGTCAAAGAGAGGATAGCATCCAGCTTCTTGACCATCTCCTGAATGTGGCTCATATCAGAGTGCGTTTCCGGTTCGTCTCCAATGGACGAGACATCGCTCATGTCGTCCTCATAGTCGTCATCATCATCCGAGTCGGATGCGTCAGAATCGTCTCCCTCCTGGCCCAGAACGGTGTCAAACGGATCAAGCTCGAATAAGTCCTGGTCCTGTTCCGTCTGCTCCTCGATCTCTTCCAGCTCTACTTGAATCTCTACCTGCAATGCGCGTCAAGCCAGAAACGGGCGCCCAAGTAGGAGCCACCTACATCTATCTGTATAGCCCGATCGATGATGGTGGACAAAATCTTGTCACTGAGTTCCGGGCAGTAGGACGAGATGCGCAACAGATTGCGGATATAGGTGGACTGCGAAGCCTGGCTTTGCCGCTTATGAGGAAAGCTCTGCACAATCAACGGCTGCAGAGTCGAAGGAAGCGTCGGAATGAGGGTCAACAGATGTCGGAGGAGGGTGTGCAACCGATCATAGATGACACGTCGGGTCAACGGCGCAGACGACCCCTCCGGTGTGTTGTTATCCAATGCTTGGAGGCCCGATTCTAAGACATATTGATGAGGCCGAGGAGGAGTAGAATGCTGTGAAGGGCGGACGCACGATAGGTTAATCCATGTGTGATCTTGCTGAGAACGAGAGACAGATACTCGGGCCGCGCACTCAGGAGCATCCCGATGAAAACGGTATACGCCCTGACCGTCGCCGCATCCATGGTCGTCCACGGGAACCCGACGACCGCCTGAACGAGGGTGGCGTGTGACTTCTCCAACCGGGACACCACGTGCGACAGCGCCGAGATCCAGAGCCGGAGCTGCGCAGGCTGGATCTGAGCGTTCTTCGCATTGAACTGGTTCACCAGTTCCTCGTACGGCTCGCTCGTTCCCTAGCGCACCCATCAGCAAAATTTTCCGCCGCGATCACGATCGCGGGAACGCACATTAGCTTTCTGGAGAAGCGCGTTGTTGACGAAGGCCAGGTGCAGGTCCTTGCGGTACTTCTCGTCCTGCTTCACGCGCGAGTTTGTGGCGATCGGCCGGCGGATGACGACAGGAGAGGATGACGCCGACGACGACGCTTTGTGCGAGGGGGTCGGCCGCTTCGGGAAGGAATCGAGCCCGGGCTTCGCTGGCTGAACCTCCATGTACTTGATGGAGGCGGGGGCGGCTTTTCGTGTGCGTCGTTGGTTGTATTGGGAGAGCGTTGAGTGGGGGTCCATTGACTCGTGCGGGCCACTTCGCGGCCCCGCGTAAGTATTGTAGCAGAAAGGGAAGAAAACGTCAATCAGAGAATCAATCAGGCGTCGATGGCAAGCGCAGGCAAACAAGAGTGCAATGACAGCAGCAACCACCACCTTTGCCACGGCGCACAGGCAGTATGTGCAGTCGCTGTATAGACGGCGTTTGAAGAACTCCCTGGACTGGACGATTCGCCGCGATGAATGGCGCAGGAAAGCCATGGTCATCCGGGCTGAGTTTGAAATAAACCGGTACGCGCGCACTGGCTGTCCTGCAACAACTGAGGTCAGCTAATAACGTCTATAGAGACGTGACGGATGCGAGAGAGCTGGCGCAGGTTTTTGAGCAGGCAGAGGCCAAACTGGCGGCGTGGAAACACCCTGATCCTTACATCCGTGAGTGTGCAGTGGGATCTCCGAGTCCTCGTGCTTATCCCGCTTCACAGCCATGTCTGCTCCCGGAGGTATCAAATGGTGAGCCTCCCATTTCTCCAGTGTACTTTGCATGATTCTCATTCTACGACAGGGAACGCAACTTGCCCGTATGCGCGTTCCGTGCTTTCCCGCATGACCGCACTCACGACCATTTCGCAGCCACCGACGGAAAGCCCGTACGCCCACGATCCCCCTACTCAGTACGAACCGATTCGGCGCTCGTGGAACCCGTTCGCATAAACAACAACGCTATCGTAGCTGCACAAGCAAAGATCCTTTGTATCCCATTCGTGACTACTAAGCGATCTAATTCTTCTCCGACGTCTCCCGTCTCTTGTTGATGGACGCTGCCACTGGGTTCCGCTCCTGGAATATCACATCCAGCTCTTCTCTGTGCATGCTGTGAATAAGAGGAATGGCGGTCGGTCGGTCGACACTTACAATGTGCGGCCTTTGGTCTCCACCGCGAAGAGCCAGACGACCAGTGTCTGTACCGCATCAAACGCTGCTGGAACTAGGAAGTACCGCCAGCCGATGTTTTTGTAAGCAATGGAGCCGCCGAAGGTGTTGCACAGAGCTCCTGCGCTTTGTATGGCGGCAAATCTATATCATGCTCGATGATCATCTGCAGGGCTGTGCAGTGCGGGCGACTCACAAGACGAGCCCTTTCGATCTATGCGCATAAGTCAAGCATTCAGACGGATAAATCCCCTGCAGCGGCATGTATGTCGTATTGAGCGCAAAGGAGAGAAATACTGCGACAAATCAGTCGACTTGCGACAGAGGACGAGGCGTCCGCCTACAGAAGAACGCTATAGCGGCTTCAGTCATCTTGTGCGCCGTGAACACTGCTTTTTGTGAGTGCGCGTAGCAAGGGCTGCCGTCGCGGACAAACCTCCGGTCAAGACGAGGGCCGCCGCGCACACAGCGCTGCCCCACAGCCAAAGCGTACGGCGGCCAACTGAAATTCCAGTGAGCGCCTCCGAGAAGCCACTGCGGACTACTGCTTACTTTTGTCGGCGAGGATAGCGCCGATCAGCGCGCCGGCAGCACCGATGGCGCTGGCGGTGAAGGAAAGCACCAGACGTTCGTTCTGAGTATTGACTGTGCCGCGCGTCAGTTCCAATCAGCGGGAGACTCCACCACCAGGTTGCGCTCACCTCCCGCAAGGTGCAGCGCCACTGTCGAGAAATAGCTGGGCGTCTGTGAGTGGATGGGTGTGATGGAATCAACTATAGTGCGTACAAGATACCCGGACCAGACAGCAGGCAGCACAACCCGAGCCACAGCGTGATCAGCATCCGATACCTCGAGCCCCGCGAGTTGAACAGGCTTGAATAGTCCCACAGCCGTTTCTTCGCCTCCGGCTTGATGTGCTCCTGCAGCTCCTGGAACTCCAAGAGAACGACGGGCGCATTTTCATCGCCGTCTGCTGCGTGGTACCGCGCGAGCACCCTGCGCGCCTCGTCCGCGCGCCCGGCGGACATGAGCCAGCGGGGCGACTGTCAAATGCCGCACGTCAAAATCAGGGGATCGCGCGGTGCGAGCGGCCACTTGCCTCGGGGATGAAGAACACGCCGAACAAGATGACGAGGCTGGGGATGAATTGGACGGCCAGCGGAAGGCGCCACGAGAGACTGGATCGGAGACGGCCGGTGCCGATGACCAGGCCGGAGCTGGTCATGGTGCCGATGAAAGTGAATGCTAAAACAGGACTTCAATCGGTGCAGCGACATGTGCATAGCGGATGCTAACCATTAGAACTGAGGCATGAATGGATCAGCGATCATCTTGACCCATCATGCATTGTAAAAACTCACATTCCGGCGAGCCGGCCCCGCCACTGAGAACCTGTGAGCAGGGAAAGGTATTGCAAAGCAGCGCTCACTTGAGGTGGTGACATTTCCGCAACATATGCGGGTCTACAGCGAGTGGCTTCAGCGATCTTCGGCGCGCGAGAGAGAAAATATGGCACGGACGCAGCTGCATGACTGATCGTACTCCCAAATCCGACCAAGAAGCGCCCGACCAATAAGGATGTAATGTTTTGCGCGCTCGTGACTACAGCGACTCCCTGCGAGAAGATGAGTATTGGCGTTTTAATCGAGATAGCACCTACGGTCAAGATAACAACGCTTGCACAAAACTGCAATGCGAGAGATGAGCCAACGATCATTGAGGGTGGCGAGCCGTCTACCATTCCCGCACGGCGTCCGAACCGATCTGCGATCGGGGCAGCCACGGCCAAGGCGGGGATGCATCCCAGTGAGAACATGCTGTTACATGTGAGCGAAGAGTCCATACGCCCGGTGGGTGGCTTCCGCACCTGATCAGTACACCAGCGACGATTCCTAAGGCACTGAGAGGGGTATAATCAGCTCGGACATGAACGATGGCTCACCCTGGCCTCCGCCGCTAGCCCCACCCTGCAGCCCAAAGTAATGTATGAATTGGCTTATCGCAACGTCAGTCCATCAGGCAAATGCAACAGTGGGTGGCTCAGCACATACATCAATCCGTTGACCGAGCCGATGACTGGAGAATCCATGTCAGAGGGCAGCGCTGCGAGAGCAGCGCGCACGGACCACTCGTGTCGAAGCCAAAGCTGAGGGACCCCATGAACGCCACGGTCAGCACAAGATACAGCCTTAGTGCAGTCCGACTGGTCGCGCTCAGCCGCGGACCCGCAGAAAGCGCCGCTGCGAGCTCGGGGTCGAGGATATGATCGACACTGCCGTGAGCGGGTGCAGAGATTTCCGTCCGGGAGTCTTCAGTGTCTGTGTGCTGTTTTTCCGACATGGTGCGGAGGAGTGGGAGGAAATGCAGCCTCGGCCGAGTTAAATGACGAATAGGTGAAGCGATTATATGCCGTTTCGGGTTCTGCCTGCTGCCAATCGAGGATAAAGAGGGGCGCATGCGTTCATACAGGGCAATTAGGGCTAGCTTCCAGTGAGACGAGAAAGCTCGGAGGGGCCTAGTAGGCTGGCATTCTGTCAACGAATGTTATCACTGGCTCCACCCCACAGCACGAATGAAAAGATGGGCATCTCGGCCAGCGATAGACCTGGGCCTAAACAAGAGAAAAACTCTTCAAGAGCAAGGCGCACACAGGTGGGCTGCGAGTTGGATCTTGGAAGAGTCGTAACCACTGGCCAATCAGGCATTGTCATTCGTGTTCTCACGGTTTGATTTCTACAATCTCGTCGAAATTAGATAATCGATTTCACTTAGACAGAGCTGAGAGCTGAGCGCCAGAGCGCCGTCTGCGAGTCCAGAACCGGAGAAACTCGGAGAATTAGCGTGGTGGAGTGCACTTCGCATCAGAATCAGATTCGCGTGCGAAGTGCTCAGAGTGATCGCGCCACATGAGGAGAGTTCCGGATCCTCGCGGCTATGTGTGCATTGTCCATGTCGGCTGGCATCTTGCATAAAACCCGCGCCGACGGCCAAACCAATCAACCCCGGCCCACGGGCCCGAGCAAGACAAGGCCGGACGGACCGGCTCCCTGCTTGCATCGATTACAGCGCCCGATCCCATTGGTCGGCTCGGTGTCCAGCGGCAAAGATGACGCCAGAAGTATGGAGGCCTGGAGAGCCCTGCTGATAACCGAGAATAAGCGACGTTGATGGCTGATGGTCGGATGTGGGACCCCGGAAACTGTGCTTCGTCTAGCAATGTGACTCGTGCACTGTCAGTTTCGAGCAGCCAGATGTAAAATGAGTACGATGTATCAGCACACTGATGAAGAGAAGATAGTGTACAGATATTAGGATCATCTACTCAGACCAGAGCCTTCAGTCCAAAAAACCGACAATAATCCGAGCACTTGTGCTCCTCTCTGAACGCCGTGAACAACTTCCCAATGTTGCCACCACCAAACATGAGCTTATTTGCGTCTTTAGGTAGGTCCCTGGGTGCAAAAATTGATATAACACGACGCGCGGAGTCTGTGGAATGGCTCATGGAGTTGTCATGATTTGAGGGTTAGACAGGAGCATTGCGGAGCCTTGGAGAGCGTGAGCTTAAGATCTTGGAGTCGGGAGCGAGAACGTACCTTGGTAATCTGACAGGAATACTAAACCACCCGTCTTTTCGTAGTGTATGTGTTGACTGAAGCAAAGAAAGACCGCAATGTGGTAAAGCTTGTGTTCGGGACCAAGGTATGGCACCGGCGCAGACCCCCGGTTTCGAGGATATTCTGGACACCGGTGTGAACAATGGCTGGTACGATCCAGGTGTTCTTCTGCAAGCGTACATATTCATTGTCACCACACAAACATCTGATTTATTGCCTGGCAGTCTTGTCTTCCGCTGGGTGTTCATTCCGTGGCTCCAGGCCGAGTTGGACGCATATCGCAATCACATCAACATGACAGCAAAACGACACGATTGTAACAAGATTCTCCCTCATGGTGTCCCCCAACATATGATGGAGTTTCCGGAGGAGTATGCAATCCTTGACTTCAAGGTGCGTTTATCCAATGTGATCATAATACTGCTGACCGGAAAGTAATTGGCAGATCAAAGTCAAACCGGAGCATATTAGCACTGTCCGAAACCAATATGCGTCTCCGGACCACGACATCTTCAATCTAGTTCCCCCTGATTTCGAAGCATACATTGGTGAGTTCTACACTGACCTTGGCTCACCCTCTGTCAATCGGAACACATGTTGGGATGTGTATTGGCAACTGCTTCATCACTTTGAGCGATTCGATGAAACTCACCATGTTCCTACAACCGTCGATGACCTCTGGGGCTTTGCCTTGACTCAGGCAGAAAACGAGTATCGGGACGAGATTCCACCAATTCCTAATCTACGGCCGCTTCGTGGAGGGGATGACATTGTGGGTCGAGACGGAGCGTACTACATGGGTGGTGTGAATGGTGGAGATGGGCTTGGTACATCTCAATCTGGGTCTTATCAAACTGCTTCACCTGTGAGTGACTGACAATTTCAGATTTGGAACAGAATGCAGCGCTTTGCCGCCTCATTGATCATGTCGAGCCGGTTGTTCCAGGCGCATCCGACGGTCCTAGCTCAGAAGAGGATGTATTTGCGTGGTTTTCCGACAAGGAGGAAGCAAACGAGCTCAATGTTCCTGATGAGTGGTAGTTTGCAATTACTACTTTACTACTTCCGAGTATTGTTTGTTCCGGCACAAGTGACCTGGCCTGTAGTCTAAGTCGTCATAATATTTGTGCACTATCTGTTCCGGTGACACACTGATGAGCAGTGATGCGCCCTAGCCCTGAAATCAATCTATCACGTGCACTGAAAGATCTCAATGGATTTGTCAGCGAGCTCGTCAAGGTTGTTGCACGTGATCATTCTGATCAATCTATCACGTGCACTGAAAGATCTCAATGGATTTGTCAGCGAGCTCGTCAAGGTTGTTGCACGTGATCATTCTGATCATCACTGGATGCCTCCAGCTCAATTTACTTATCTCCTTTTGATTTGATTCACACTTAGTATAAAATACCTGTAGTACAGTACAAGAAAAACAAGAAATCTTCTTCACCCACCCTCTAGAGTCTAAAGTCACTTTCCAAGCGCTTTCTATCTTGCCTTTTCGACGCCCACTACCTTGTTATCTCCCCAACAGCTCTCCAAAACTCCTATTTTGTCAAATCTCTATCGCTTATCTCTCGATTCCGATTCTCTGTCTACGACATGTATACTGTACTTCAAGGTTGAGAAACAAAAGCCAGTATTCGGGGTCCCACATCCGACCATCAGCCATCAACGTCGCTTATTCTCGGTTATCAGCAGGGCTCTCCAGGCCTCCATACAGAAGCTCGAAGCAGCCCCGAGCTGGGTTTGTCACACGGTCCGGCGAGGGTGTGAGAGCATACGCACCTGTCAAGCTCGCGTGTGTGGCAATTTGACAAGCGAGGCCAAGCATTTCATTTCTGCACACGAAGCGAGGAGCTCGAACAATGAAGAAAAAATCACAACAATTCTGCTCTATGATACAGCAGTCGTACAACGAATACAGAGACACAGACACAGGCACAGACTATTACACACGGCTACACGCAAGACATCAAGTGGCATCTTCGCTGACTTCCCCTTCTTCTTTCGCATTCCTCATCGCGAATTCGTGGATGGGCATCATGGGCTCCTCGACGACGGCATCAACCTGGCTCGCAGCGGGCACCGACGCAGTCGTCTCCTCGCTCGCGCTGGCGGTCGAGTCCCGGCGCCGCACGCTCGAGCGCGTCGATCTCCGCTCGGGGCGCGTGATCTCCTCGGCTTCCTCGGTCGGCTCCCGCGTCATAGCAGACTCGGCTAACAGCCCCGTCGACTCATCATCGCCCGACTCATCAGCCCCAAGCGACGCAGCGGCACCGCGCGTCGGCCGCGTCCGCTTCGCAGGGTACGTCGCATCGTCCTCAGCGTCCTTGCGCTTGCGCTTCCCGTTGACCCCATTCACGACGCCCGCCCCCGCCGCAGCCGCCGCCCCGCGCCGCTTCCTCGGGCTGGGCTTCTCCTTGATCTCGAGCGCGGCGGCAGCGGCGATGGCACCGACGTTCGGCAGCGAGGGCGCCGGCGAGGCGCTCCCGTCCTCGCCCTCCCGATCGACGGCCGTGTCGCGCATTTTCGCCACCGGGCGGCGCGAGCGGGCCGACGAGCGCCGGCTGGCGTCGACGATGAGCTCGTCGATGGGCGTGATCACCGGCTCCGGGTCGGGGTGGCCGAAATGGGAGGGTGGCAATAAGGGGAGCGACATCGCCAGAGGGCCCATGGGGTGGTACAGAGGCAGGGGAGGGTCCATAGGGTACCGCTTGCGAGGTACGCCGCTCGCTCGTACAATTATGTTGGGGCTAGAAACTGAGGATTTCGAGCACGAGGCGACGGGGATGGGGGCGAGATTGTGCGAGAGCTTGGACAGTGGCTTCGTCACCCCATTGGCTTTGTCGGCTGACGGGGACTGATATGTGACGAGTGGCTTGCGCCTGCGTGGCGTGAGGGGTGGTGTTTTCATGCTGAGTACGTCCATGTCTGTGGAGGACATGTTTCAGAGCCTTTGCGCGAGGTGGTTGGAGTAGACGCACGCACCAGGTGTATACCTCCTTCGGTGTTTGCTCTGTGCGGTGCCGAGAATGGAGATGGGCGGTCGAGGAAAGGCGAGAAGAGCGTGTCGGAAATGACAACGTTGACGTTGGACGTTGACTCTCGGTGCACGCGGGTCAGTGCAGATACTGGGCAGTTTAGAGCGTCTGAGAAGCTTTTTGTGTGTGATAATTCCAAATTCGGCAGAAGCCTGGGTTAGGGTTCTTTCCGTGCTTTCGGCAACCACGAACAAAGCCACCTCTTAGCCGGCTCTGCGTCTATTACGGCGCTCGCCCATGCCAAAACGTGTGTACATCGATGGCACGCGCCCACAACTTTATTCGACTGCGAATGCATAGCACGGGGAGAGGGCGGACTGGGCGCTCCGCTGGGCGTCTACCGAGGCCCATATGAGCTCCGTTCCGGATTTTTTTTCATCGTTCTAATCCATCAGGATCATGTTCGCCCGTCGGCTTATCATCATCCTCTGCGCTTTTACCATCTTCCGTACCCCGGTGCCTGTCTCGGCCAGTCAATATCGTTGGTCCAAAACCCTTGCCCTGACGCCCGTCGTCGGGGATTCCGATGTCCAAAATCCACTCCTCGACGTCAGTGACGCTTTGTAGAGCCCCTCTGAGGACATCGGGCAAGATCTCCCCGACGTCGCTCCCCCCCCCCCCCGACTTGGAACGCGCCCTTTTCGCCTTGGTCTCTGAGGGCCAGGTGATCGACTCGATGATCTCGGCAGTTTACGCACGCGAGGAAGACAGGGAACAGGCGCTGCTGGTGCCCAAGGCGAAAGCGGAGGCGTCGTTCGTGACTTTGGGGAAGTAGCATGGAATGAAAGAAGAGAGCTCAATGGCATTGGGATCGATTCTGGACTCTCGTGAAGATGCTGTTCAGGATATCAAGTGCGTCCCGCCGCCCAAGTGGACTTCCGTCGCTCATATCTTCTTCAGGCTGCTGGGCAAAAGACTTCCCTGAGCAGAGTGTCCGAGTGGTCCTCAAATTCCTGGGATTCGGGGTGAAAGGGCCTATGAAAGGTACACCCACCGTGTCTCCAACGACGCTTGCCGCTTATTCGATGACAGGGTCGTTTGCATCTTGGGCGTAAGCGCTGTTCTTTGGCGGCTACGTACCTGGAAAGAGTTGGTTCTCCCTGCTGCAGAAAATGGCGATGACAGGCATGGTACCCTGGTGGCTCAAAGTCTTGTTGCGTATCGTTTTCTGAGACCATTCAGTCTTGTATCAGTAGAATACCTAGCTAAATTTCTCGGGATGTAATTCTGAGACGGCTCGGGGTTTTGGACCCTCGTCTGGCTGACTGGTAGATTCTGAAAGTTTAGCCGTCTCCATTATCCGCGCCTAGATGCAAGAAAAGTACGTATGTTAGAGACTGAAGTGATAGCGAGGCTCGACTGACCTGCGACTGGGGAATGTACTCAGACTGCTCCACGCTGATCACACTGGATCTGTTCGCCTGTAACACCGGTGGTGCTCCTTGTTTCTGGAGCCGAGAATAGACCGCCAGGCTACTGAATATACTTCGCACATCGGATATCGCGGCAGGAGGGGAAGTAGCAAGAAATCGTCCAGCCGCGACGTCGGGTGGACAACGACACGTGATCGCGTCAACCGGGCTTACCGAACCAAATAAAGGGGCAAACAAAATTCGAAAAATCTGTCAGATCTTCCTTCCTTCTCAGTCCCCTTGCCAGCTCATGGTAAGTCCCTGCTCTGTGTACCTTTCGCGCCTCTGGGCCTCTTGCACGATGAGCCTATATATAATTCAGTTATCCCTGTCTTAATCTCCTTGTCGATATTTCGAATTTCTGACTTTTCCTGCTCTTGTAACTTTTGGGACGATGAGCTAACTATTTCTCCTCTCCAGGCGCGACGGGTGGTGGTGTTCCGGGGCTATGGGGGAGTCGTGGCCGGTGCGTGCAGGGAGCTAGTTCTTTGACCAGCCACGTATCCCTCCTTCCGGCCGCTCCTTCGTCTGTAACACAACGCTCGTCATTACCAATGTAAAATTTGATACTACAACGATATGTCCCCCTAGGCACCGCTGTACTTGACGACGAACAGTCCACGCTCGATAGAGTTGACGACGATGTAACCGCTCGTAAAGTACGGATACACGCTCCACGATCCATCGAAAGTCGCCTCTCCTCCGACATCGTCGTCCTCGGGGTGCACTGGAAACGGATGAGCTGCATCGCAAAAAGACGGAAGCATTGCGCACCATCGAAGAACGCGACCTCCTTGAACGAACCGCCGGTCGGGTCTTTGGCAACACTGCTCACGTCCACAATGCGCAGACCGCTTCCATAGTTGCTCTCGTACGCCCAGCCGTTCTGCCCATCAGACGATCAGCACAGTGTACATACTCTTCCCTAAAGAGGGACACGCACGTGGACGTAAAGATTGTGGTCGATGGACTTGACCGGGGACGAGTAGTGGCCGGTGAGAACAGGCTTCGCCAGGTCCTTGATGTCCCAGATATAGGTGACCGTGTGCGAGTTGTTGGCCCATCCGCGCTGGTACACCTCATCCAGCTCGTCGTCAAGCAGGAGATACGACTGGTCCTTCTCGTCCACGACCCAGCCCTGGTGCGAGTAGCTGACGCCGTAGTAGGGGGTCGTCGAGATGATCTCGGGCGCGAACGGGGATGTGATGTTGTAGATCGTGAAAGAATCCTCGTTGAACGCGTAGCAGACGTCAGTTCCGACGTATTCCGTGTGCGGTCCGTAGTAGGTCAGGCACTGAGCGCTGCGGGAGTTCGGTCATATTTCGAAGGCAAGCCTGGTGACGCACTCATGGACGTAACCATCAGCTGCGGCGCATCCTGCAGCGGTCGGTTTCGTGGGCTCGGTAACATCAATGAAGATGAGACCGGCAGCACAAGGTCTATCGGGATGATATGAGCATTGAGGAGATGCGATGATACATCTATCATCTCTCACCCGTCTCTCGGAATAGAGCCAACAGCGACGACAAGATTCTTGCTCTCGTGCGCCACGATATTGTGCGACGCACCGAGAGGCAGCGAATCATAGTGGGCAGCCATATCAGTCTCGAGGCTGAACACCTTGGGGGCAGCGACCAACGAAGCATCGAGGAGCTGGAGGAAGCTTCCCTGTCAAGTTCACCATACTATCGATCGGGATTCGAACGCACCTTGGTCAAGTCGAACACCTGCACACCGTGCCCGAGCGCCTCACTGCCGATGTAAGCATGGTCCCCAACAACCTTGATATCGCGCCATGTGCTGTTAAAAGTCTGCGTGTCCAGCCGACCGAGATACGTGATCTTGCCGCTTGGGAGAACCTCGACGAACGCCGTCCCATCCGTCTGACCCACAAGCGCAAACTCGCGCCCCTCGTGCGTCCATCCCCAGATATCGTTTCCGAACTCGGTCGCACTGCCGAGCTCGGCATGAGGTGTGAAGGAGTAGAGGTCGAGATTGTTGCACGCGAATGTGTTGCCTTCCTCGCTTCCGGCGTATCCGTCGACACAGGGCTCGAATCCGAGCGCGTGCATCCCGGCCGCGAGATTCCCGTTCGCGCGATCGGCCTTCATCTGCTCGAAGGATCCCTCGACGAGGTTCATCATCATCATGTGCACCTCGCCGGATGCGTAGGCGTCAGAATCGGCGAGCGGGACGTGCATGAACACGGCTTCTTCGCCGCGGTTGGAGATGTCATCGCTCGGCAGGGCGTAGACAAGCGGGAGGAGAGCAAGGAATGCGGTCGTGAGCTTCACCATCGTAGCAGGTAAGGAGGGGAGGAAGGAGACGGAGAATCGAGATCCAGCTCTTATCTCGTTCGTTATAGTAAGCTGTTATCGCGACATGTGCGCCGCAATTGGCATCATCTGCATGAGTGCTGCGCTTACTCTATATATGTTTTGATGGCCAACGCCGCGGCAGCTGTGAATGGGAGTCCAGCATCGGTCGTTGCGGTCAGAGATGCCCCGGGCAAGCCAACGTTGACCAATGCGTTATTCGTTTGCCTCCTATCTAAATGCCGATCAGGCGCATCACAGCGACAGCGGAGCTTGAGGCCTGGGGTCCCTCGTACGCATCTACAAAAGCAGGAGTGATGTCAGTGTTGAAGTGCCAGTGGTTACAGACAAGTTCATGAACTATGCATGACTCGGAAGGTATTGATCGCTGCGAGATAGCTGTCAAATTCGCTTTGATGATGCTTGACTTTCACACTTGAAGCCAAACTTACGCGCTTTTCTTTAACTTTCTGCTGCTACTCATGCCGTCTTTCAGAAACTCTGTCCTAGTCTCCTGTATACAGCAATTAATTCTTCTGGCCCACACACAATCGACGCTGTGTCAATCCATTGCCAGCAATAACCAACCTTTGAGATTCTGCTTATCCTACTCATCTGCCCTTCGCACGCGATCACATATCCGGCACGGACACGCAAGCTTCCTACGTGCCCTCAGGCATATGGAACATACTCACGGATGTGATGGCTTGAAACTTTGAAGCAGCACTTTGTTCTTGTCAAGCGACCACAAGCGGATGCCCTCAATGAATCCTTTGGGCGCTCCGTAGGCGCATGTCCACGCCTCCAGTGTGGACCGCACGTAATTTTGCACTTGCTCGGCTCTTTAAGCGCCATTTAGCGCTGCGATGGTGACGTGGGGGCGTCAGTCCGGATGAAGAGAGTCTCGGCAACTGAGCACTCTGGATCAGCTCCTTGCGAACTCTTTCTTTTCGTGATGCTCACTAGTTCCTGATCTCGAGCCATATATCTTGGAATTCTCCGACTGGAGCAATCGTAAAAGCGACGAACGACTTGGCGAACAGAGCTTTGGGGACCATCCTTCCGAAGGTGAACTCGCAAGCACCACAGTGAGCTTTCAGCCGGTTGAGACAGACTTGAAGCCGGGCCAATTCTCCAGGCTTCAATTTCAGGAAAGATGCCAGAGAAATGTGTGCTGAAGAAGATTTGTACGAACCGTACTTTGCGCGGAGGGCGTCAATGTGATCGTGGAGTGCGTCTCTGCGCCATCGTAAGGTCAAAGAGTAGCTCATAGAAAGATGGTGTGCGATGTGGGCTTTGAATCGAAGTGCCGTCTTCGACCTCAAGCAAACTTCGTGCTTCATCGCCTGACATTTGAGCGCTTGAGCGATTATGTACACAGATTGGGCGCCTATCCTCACATGACTTCGTGGACCGCATTCAACCCATCTTGCATCTTCCCTTCTACCCCTTCGCACAATGGTACGCTACCCACTCAGACTTGCTGCGCTCACCCTCGTCGCCTCGTCCGCCGTCCACGCTTTTGACTGGGACTTGGGAACTGTTGTCCCCGAGTTCCTCTCGAACATCCAGGTCCCCAGCTGCCCCGCTCACGTCGCGACGCGTCCAGACGCTCTCAGCCAAATAAGCGCGACTTTGGAGTGCCTCGGGCTGCCCAATCCGGAAACAGTGGCCGCACAGGTCAACGACCTGACAGAGCACGTCAAACTAGTTGTCCAGCACGCATCGGCTTTGATGCCCAGCTATACTGGTGACAAAGGACCACCCCAGGGACCTCCAATTATTACGTAAAATGGCTTCGAGGCCCCCTCCGGAGGCCATCAAACCACCCCCTACCCCCCTGATCGGAGGCCATCCTGGAGGCGCCTTCCTAATTGGGACGCTGCCTGGCCATTTGTCCACTGCCTGTATGGTAGGCTAGGGATTGGCCTGAGTGCTGATATATGCTGTAGTAGTCAGTATAAAGCCTCAGACAATGTCTTACCTCTCAAAAGCATGTATTTCTTGCTTGCAAATGGCAGACCACTGGGTGCACAAAATTCGGGATCTGAGTACGTGAGCACTCCTCAGGTGCATAGAGCAACAGTATATGTATTAATTCAAGATTGAGCATGAGGTAGCTGTGCCCACATGCAAAAAATGAGATGTTGCTGAAGGGATGGTTTATGGCCTCCACGACCTCCCAGGGGCAGAAAAAAAGGTGTTGGGTAGCTCACAGGCCCTTGAATTCCGCTTCAATAGATCAATTTGATGCTTATGCTTTGTCAAAACAACAGCCCAGGATATAAATTAGATGCTGGTGCAGTGGCAGAACTAGCCTCCACCGCCTCCAGGGCTGGGGACCAAAAGCGGTTATTGTAGATTCAGCCACATAAACCATATTTCTGATGTTGTTTGTCCTAGTCAGAATTTCTGGGTATTCCAGAGAGACAGGTGGCTACATAGATCAGATGCTAGCAGCAATAGCAGAACTGGCCTCCATGGCCTCCACAGCCAGTGACCAAAAGCGGTTTTTTGGGTTCAGCCACATAAGCCATGTCTATGAAGTTGAAGGTCTTTATTATAATTACAAGGGTCCTTTAGTTAGATGTCTCACCACGTGAATCAGATGCTGGAGCAAATGGCAGAACTGGCCTCTACCGCCTCCACAGGTTATTACTTGAAGAGTCTGGATGAGATGACAATGTAACAGATAGATGTTCTCATAGATAACTATGTTCTGCTATTTATACCTCTGCATGCTAGTTTGATTGCAATAAAATGTTGAATTCAGAGAATGGGGGACCCTGGAGGCACTGGAGGCGCATGCAAGATCCAATCAATATCATCAATGCTATCAATGCCATCAATAGCATCAAGAGCATCACCGATCATTGGTAGATTGATCAGCCAATCAAATCATGAATAAAGATCGAACATCTAGTATATTCATTCCTGAGAGACACAGACTAGATGTATGCTCATACTGAAAGTGGACTAGTGGTCCCAGGACATGCCCCAGTGACATATTGCATCCTTGTCTCAAGAACATATGATTGAAATTCGGAGTTTGCAAATGAACTGAAAGTCAACTGAAGATGAGTGGTACAGTGGAGTACTGTGACAATCAACCCAAAAACAAAGTCGAAAAGAGAAGTGAATTCGAGGACTGGAGAATACAACCAGGTAGCTACAGTATTTATACCCAAATCCAGTCTGAGTCATATCTACAACTAATGAGTCATAAGACTATGTACCGCATGGAACGCTGGTCATGGGTTGTACTAGAACCTTCCGGAGCATATGTCGCGCAGCCTCGAATCGATGAAGATAATCCCTGGAACCCCTAGTCCGGACCGTCTGATGCCGTGATCCGTGATAAGATAAGTCGTGCCAAGATAAGATAAGATCGTCGGTGATAAGATGAAAAAGTGGCCGAACTATGACATTACCCCCTCTCTAGGGTCGATGTCCTCATCGACTAGGCCAATGGGTAAGAAGACGTTCTCGTAAGGGTCGAAGAGCTGTCGTTGGGGATATGGAAGGCGCTCGTCCCTGGGCTTGTAGCGATGAATGAGATAGTCCCAGTGTCCAGCTTCGAGCGTTGGCAGGAGGCGAATGCGTGTGTCCGGATTTGATTGTTTCCTCTGCCAGTCTCTCAGGACGTCCTTCGCGTGGGTAAGGTGACGCGATGGTTCCCAGGTGTTCTCGCTGTGCGGCCATCCCTTCCATTTGACCAAGTACTGTTTTCCTCGGCCGACTTTTCGCTCTTTCACGATTTCTTCGACTTCCCACTCCTCTGCTCCTCCGATCATCTTGGCCACGGGTCTCTTCTCTCGGCGATGGGGGGGTGGTTCGTGATAGGGTGTCAACAGTGACTCATTGAACACCGGGTGTCTTCGGTCCGTGTCCGGCAAATTCAGCTTCCATGCAGCCGCTCCAACCTTCTCCAGTATCTCGTATGGCCCCAATCTCTTGTCGCTCATCTTCTTCGAAGGCCTGTCCGTCTCGATATTGTCCCCCTCTATGTACACCTTCATCCCCACCTTCAACTCCGGAACTTCTTTTCTTTGTTTATCGTAGTATTTTTTCATTTTTTCTTTTGCTTTTTCCAATGCTGCTTTTGCTTCGTCTTGTATTTCTTTGATTCTTTTTACAAATTCCTCCGCCGACTCGTTCCTTGATTCCATCCGCTGCTCCACTCCCTTCCATGGGTGATATCCGTGATTAGCATAGAACGGCGACATTTTGGTAGACGTGTTCATTTTGTCGTTGTATGCGAACTCCGCCATTCCCAGCCACTCCGACCAGTCCGTCTGATGGTAGTTGACGTAAATGCGGAGATAGTGTTCGATCTCCTGATTCATACGCTCCGTCTGCCCATCCGTGATGGGGTGATATGCGGTCCCCGGATTCATTTCCACGCCCAACATCCGATTCGTTTCCTTCATAAAGCCCTTGATGTATCGGGAGTCCCTGTCGGTGATGATTTTGCGGGGGATCCCGTGATAGCGGAAGATTCGGTCCCTGGTTAACCGTGCTACTCCTTCGCTGCTGATGTCAGTACTAATTGGTTCGACATGGATCATTTTGGTGAAGGTGTCACACCACACATGAATTGCGTCATACCCGTTACTGACCGGCAGGGGTCCGATCTGATCCATGGAGATGATTTCCCACGGCGCGTTTGGAACTGCATGCGGGTGCAAACTCCCTGTCCTGGCTCTTCTGGTCTTGGTCCGCTGGCACGCCTCGCACGTCTGGATGTATTTCCGAATTTGGTTTCCCATCCTTGGCCACCAGTAGTTCCTTTCCACCATCTCCTGCGTTCGGTTGATCCCAGCGTGTCCGACCAAAGGTGTGTCATGGTGTAGTCCGATGATCTTGTCTCGTAGCTCCTCATTCCTCGGCACGTAGAGCTTCCCATGGTACGTGATGAGCCCATCTTCCTTTTTCCATCCGACGAGTGACTTCTCCAAGGCCGCTTTGACGCTTCCATCAATTGATCGAGTAGCCTTGATCTCATCGATTAGCTGCTGATCTTGCCCCTCGAATGTGACTTCTTGTGACCGGAAGAATTCGGGTTTCAGCAGAGTGATATCCTTGTTGTCGTTCTTGCCCTGATCGTGATCCGCTCGTCGAGATAAGAGATCCGCCTTGCGGTTGAGTGCGCCAGGCCGGTGTCGTAAGGTGAAATCGAATTCTGCTAATTCTGTGATCCATCGTGCTTGTCGTCGGTTGAGCTTTTGTGGCTTCCGGAAGTATTCGAGGTTCTGATGATCAGTGAAGATCTCAAACGTTTTTGTGGCCCCCAAGAGTAGCTGCCTCCATTCGTCGAGCGATAACATGATTGCAAGCATTTCCTTGTCGTAGATCTCGTAATTTCGCTCGGTTTCCGTCAATGCATGCGAAATGAATGCAATTGGGCGCCAAATGCCGTCTTGGTTTTGGCTCAAAACAGATCCTGTTGCCCCTTCCGAAGCATCGGCTTCCAGACGATATTGACCGGTGTCATTTGGCAGTGCTAAGACGGCATCCTCCGCGATTCTCTTCTTTAACCCCTCAAACGCCGCATGTTCATCCGGACCCCATGACCATCCTGCCTTCCCTGTCAGCCGCGTCAACGGCTTGGCGACCTCCGCATATCCCCGAACAAAACGTCGATAGAAGTTTGTGAATCCGAGAAAGGCTTGGACTTGTTTGACGCTCTTTGGTTCCGGCCATTCCATCACGCCCTTGATCTTGACAGGGTCCATCCGCATCGAGTTGTGTCCAATGATTACACCCAGGTATTCGATTTCCGTGCGTTCGAACTCGCACTTTTCCGGCTTCAGGTATAATTTGTGCTTTTGGAGTAACTCGAGTACCCGTTTGGTGATTCGTCGATGTTCATCCAGATTTTCTGTGAAGATTAGTATGTCATCCAGATAAACTACCACATGTCCCTCGTTGATCAGTTCCCGGAGTATGTCGTTCATCATGTTTTGGAACGTTGCCGGAGAATTCGTGAGACCAAAGAACATAACTAAGGGCTCGTACAGCCCTCGGTTCGTGCGGAATGCAGCCTTCCACTCGTCGCCCTCTTTGATCCGTACATTGTTATATCCCCACCGGATGTCTAGCTTGGTGAAGAACTTGGCGCCGCACAGGTTGTGGACCAGTTCAGAAATCAGCGGTAGCGGGTACCGATTTCGGATCGTCATCTCATTCAGCTTCCGGTAATCTTGAACAGGCCGTAACGAGCCATCCTTCTTCTTGACAAAGAAGAATGCCGATGCCATGGGTGATTTTGATGGCCTGATCCGTCCGCTGGCTAGGTTCTCTTGTAGGAACTCGTCGAGTTTGACCTGCTCGTTTCTCGATAAGGGGTACACCTTGCAGTCCACTGCTTTGGAGCCTGGTTTGAGCTCGATCGCATGATCCCATGCCCGTCGGTCCGGTAGCGAATCGAATGATTCCTTGGCGAATACTTTGACGAATTCCCGGTATTGATCCGGAATTTTCCCTTCGGTCATCCTCTCCTTCTCTTTTTCCGCTTCTTCTGCGAATTTCTGCGCCGGCGTTTCCTTCAACCGTAGATCCACCTCCTTCCCAAAGTCGATCAGCAGGATTGACTCTCCCTCTTCCAGATCCGGTGCACCCGCGTCCAGGTCAATTGCATCCATGTCGATCATCGCTTGGTGCTCCTCGTGACCCCTCATTTGACACTGCTCTGGGCATCGGCTGAACCTCATTGTCTGCTCCTGCCAATCCACCTCGGGGTTGTGTTCCGTCAGCCAATCCAGGCCGATGAAGATCCGGGCTTTTCCCAGACACGTCAGAAGGAACGTGCGTGTCTCCACATGAGGACCGATTCTCATTCTCAAGTCGACGTAGTGCGTGATCCGACCGCTGATGTTCTCGGTGTTGTCGGCGTTACGAGCCACAATGGGTTGCGGAAGCTCTTGAATATCCAGCTTTTCTGCCCGTGCGTAGTCGGTGTCGATGCAGCAGGTACTGCAGCCACTATCGAGCAGCGCCTTGACTCCACGCGTTTTCCCTGAGTCCAGGCCCGTGATCTGGACATATACGTCCATCGAATGCCTCTTTCTTTCGGCTTGGTAACTGCGCAATTCCTGCGCCAAGCTGCTGGGCTGGGGGCCCTTCTGTTTCTCGGCCGCCAATTTCCTCTGGATGGCATCTGGCACCCTGGTGCGTTTGGGTGCTTCTGGAACCTCGATTTTGGCAGATTCCTTGGGCGCTTCCTCCTTTTCCAAGGATCGAGCCTTCGGAGCGATGCTCCCCTTTTCGGTCTTTGTTGACGTGGTTCCTTCTCCACGAGCCATAAATACGTAGGAGTCCAAAATTAATTTATCTGCAGCTTTCTGATCTTTTTTATCTTGTAAGTATTTTCTATTTAGAGCTATCCTTTCCTGGCGTTCTTTTTCCATCTTGGCAATAAGGAAATCGTGAATATTTGTACGTAGTGAGTCTGAGATCGTGTATGTAGATGAAATATTGTCCGTATCTTTAATCGAAACAAGTACAGAAAATCGTCCATAGTCCGGACGCTCCACCTCCTTGGCTAGAGGAGTGGAGCGCTTCAAAAACCCTTCTCGCGCAGCTTCTCGGCAATCTCCTTCAGGAACTCGTTGTCCTTGTCCCCGTTCTCGATTTCTTCCAGCATTGTGGCCCGATTGAAGAACGTGCGCTTCTTCTTGGGCTCCGGGCAGTTCCGCGCAATGTGTCCGGGCTGCTGACAGTTGTAGCAGATGATATTGCGGCCGCGGGCGTGGGTACGATCGATTTCCATCGGAACCGGTTCGTTGGCAGCGGGTCGGACCGGAGCGGGTGTGGGCGCCACTGGTGCCGTTTGGGGACGGAACTGGGGAGGTGGTCGTTGTGTGGGGTGCCCATACGACGCTTTGCGCAGCTGGTCACGCAGAGCATTGGCTTCGATGTTGATGCACCAGGCTTTGAACGCTCCATAGGCCTTGGGCAGAGGGACACCGGTGTTGTAGAGACGGCTGGCGATCTCGCTGCTGAGTCCGCGCTCCAGGAACTCGATGAGGATATTATCCTGGTCCCCCTTCTTGTATTCGCCTTTGTCGTCGGTGGTGTCAACCACATTGTAGCCTGCATCCGCGGCCAACATCTCAAAGTCGGAGATGTAGTCCGCGAAGGACCGTTTGTTTTGACGCAGGGCCATAAGCCGAGCAGCGGCGACTTGTTCCGCATTGGAGTCCCCGAACGCCCTCTGAAACTCCTCCAGGAAGTTCTTTGATGTGACTCCTGCCTTCAGTCCCTGGAAGCCATCGAAGTTGTGCTGCTTCCAGTTCATCGCCCATCTCGAGGCAGCGCAGCTCGTGCCGTTCTCGTTACGGAGGTAGGAGAGGACAAAGAGGATTTTGGTCTCATCTTGTGAGAACTCCGATCGATAGGCACCGATGTAAGTGGTGCACGCGTCCACAAAGCCCAGGTATTTGGACTTGTCGCCATCAAAGTAGGGGGGTTGGCGGCGAGGGTGATGCGGTGATGCCCTGACATGGTAGGGGCAGGCGTGTGGGGTGGAGGCGAGGGTGGTTGTTCGGAGGGCAGTTCGTCGAGGTCGGGGATCTCGTCTTCAGGCGGTGGGAGGGCGAGGTAGGGGTCGGAGGGCCCGGGTTGGTTTTGATGCGCCAGATCGGGCGACAATGGTACGATGGGGGGAGGGGACGGACTCCCAGACGACGATGGGAATCGGTACGAAATGGTGGAATCGTGTGCTGTACAAGCACTCGAGGGAGGGTTCTTTTGCTAGCAAAAGGATCCCGGGCCTAGCTCTTCACGTGCCCGATGATCCCGAGGTGCGTTTTCCCGAAGGTCTCCGCAGCACTCCTTGTAGCTACCGTAAGGCTTGGGTCGGGCTCAACGTTACCCGTGGCCTGGTGCTGTTTGCTTGATATGAACCCTTCACTGCGATAGTGGAGGACGACTAGATGATTCGGTAAAAGGGTGAGTGGGGTGATAAGGTTTAAGAGGATATAGCGGGCGTAGCGGTGCAAGATGCAGGGTAAGAGGTATGAGGTAGGAGGGTATGAGGGGAGTCCTCGAATTATGTGACAATCAACCCAAAAACAAAGTCGAAAAGAGAAGTGAATTCGAGGACTGGAGAATACAACCAGGTAGCTACAGTATTTATACCCAAATCCAGTCTGAGTCATATCTACAACTAATGAGTCATAAGACTATGTACCGCATGGAACGCTGGTCATGGGTTGTACTAGAACCTTCCGGAGCATATGTCGCGCAGCCTCGAATCGATGAAGATAATCCCTGGAACCCCTAGTCCGGACCGTCTGATGCCGTGATCCGTGATAAGATAAGTCGTGCCAAGATAAGATAAGATCGTCGGTGATAAGATGAAAAAGTGGCCGAACTATGACAAGTACTTTCAGCTCATTTGCCAACTCCGATTTTTAATCATATGTCCCTGAGACAAGCATGCAATATGTCATTGGGGCATGTCCTGAGACCACTAATCCACCATCAGCATGAGCATACATCTAGTCTGTGTCTCTCAGGAATGAATATACTAGATGTTCGATCTTTATTCATGATTTGATTGGCTGATCAATCTACCAATGATCGGTGATGCTCTTGATGCTATTGATGGCATTGATAGCATTGATGATATTGATTGGATCTTGCATGCGCCTCCAGTGCCTCCAGGGTCCCCCATTCTCTGAATTCAACATTTTATTGCAATCAAACTAGCATGCAGAGGTGGAAATGACAGAATGTGGTCAGCGAGGAGAATATCTGTCTGTTACATTGTCATCTCATCCCAACTCTTCAAGTAATAACCTGTGGAGGCGGTGGAGGCCAGTTCTGCCATTTGCTCCAGCATCTGATTCATATGCTGAGCTGTCTCCATAGAGGACCCTTGGCATTCAAATAAGACACCTGACATTGAACACATAGTTTCTGCCGCTAAATCCAAAGAAACTGCTTTTAGTCCCCGGCTGTGGAGGCTGTGGAGAGCTTTTCTGTAATCTGCTCTAGCATCCAATTCACATGTTGAGCTATCGCTCTAAAGGATCCTGTGCATCTCAATGAAGATAAATAATGTCATGAACACAGTTTGTGTGGCTGAATCTACAGTAACCGCTTTTGATCCCCAGCCCTGGAGGCGGTGGAGGCTTGTTCTGTCACTGCTCCAACATCCAATTTATACGCTGAGCTGTTGTTTTGACAAAGCATAAGCATCAAATTGTTCTATTGAAGTGGAATTCAAGGGCCTGTGGGCTACCCAACACCTTTTTTTCTGCACCTGGGAGGTCGTGGAGGCCATAAACCATCCCTTCAGCAACATCTCATTTTTGCGTGTGGGCACAGCTACCTCATGCTCAATCTCGAATTAATACATAGACTGTTGCTCTATGCACCTGAGGAGTGCTCACGTACTCAGATCCCAAATTGTGTGCACCCAGTGGTCTGCCATTTGCAAGCAAGAAATACATGCTTTTGAGAGGTAAGACATTGTCTGAGGCTTTATAATGACTACTACAGCATATATCAGCACTCAGGCCGATCCCTAGCATACCATGCAAGCGGTGGACAAATGGCCAGGCAGCGTCCCAATTAGGAAGGCGCCTCCAGGATGGCCTCCGATCAGGGGGGGTAGGGGGTGGTTTGATGGCCTCCGGAGGGGGCCTCGAAGCCATTTTACGTAATAATTGGAGGTCCCTGGGGTGCAAAGGACAGACATTTGAACGAGATATATTGGCAGCTTTCGGATTGCTGTCTGAAGAGCTGCAGAAGTTGTTCCCTCCACCCGAGAAAGCTCAAGGCCACGCCGAGCGCGTCGCTTCCCTCACTGCCATTCTCGACAAGGTAGGACAAGTCATCGTCGGGGTTCTAGTCCAGCATGGAGTCGATGAAGATGAAACGCGGGAAAAGTGGGTGCAGTTCGAGTCTGTTGTCCTCGACGTATTCGTCTTGATGGGTGATTTCTGGCTGCCCCGTGGGCTTTTTCGCGACATTGACCTTATTTCTCCTAGGAGACCTGGCGGAACAGCATCCTATTATCTCCTCCATGATTCTCTCTGTCGTGATGTACGAGATCGCTGGTATCCCACAGGGGGCTGGAGCTCTGTTCGCGCGCAGCCTGCTCCATTTGTTCGGGTTGGGCCCTGCCGGTCCCACAAAAAGTAATCGACACCACAAATCTCGTAAACCCTCCACTGACTCGATCCTAATGTAGACAGTCTTGCTGCTTGGGCTCAAAGTCTCTTTTTCGGACCCGCTATTTCGAAGGGCAGTTGGTTTGCAAAGTTGCAGAAGATCAGCATGACTCCGGCAAAACTCTGAATCGCGCATATATTGGAACTTAAAGCTTTCTGTAATCTCTTTGTCGAGCTCGCACGTCCGCCTCCGGGTACATCAAACCAAGATTGAGAACATCACGTGACCGCGTCATCGAATCTCTATCGCTCGACTTTTCTCTCTATCAGTCAAGGCCTACGGTAAAATCCATTGAAGGTCTCCTCAATTGGATTTATGTTTCAGATGACCGGGATTTAGAGTACTCACGACCATCCTTGTCCGAGATCTTAGATTATTCCACCGATTCCACATTCTCATTGGGACGGGAAAGGGGCAGAAAAAGCGATCAGACAATGGATACAACCATTACACTGCGGGGGGATTTAATTTTTTTCTGTGGAAAATGCGTGACAATCCAGAAGTCCGATTTTCACTGTTGTGTTTTCAGACAAAAATATATATATTGAAAATAGACGTCGATTTACAGCTCAATTTTTTTCATGAATAGACATCTATTCCTCCCGAAAACAGAACTGTAAATAGATCATCTTTTCTTTGATCGATTCTTACTGGGAATAGACGTCGATTTTCACTGAAAATAGAAACAAAGAAAAGATGATCTTTTTTCACTGAAAACAGATTAAAACCACTTGAAGAATCTGTTGATCCTGGCCCCAATTTGCATCCCTGGCCTTGCAAAAGGCTACTGGATGCTACTCACAACATGGTGGAATCATGCTGCAGGACTTGTGATGTGAATTGGGGCTGGAATCAACAGATTCTTCCAGTGGTTTTAATCTGTTTTCAGTGAAAAAAGATCATCTTTTCTTTGTCTCTATTTTCAGTGAAAATCGATGTCTATTCCCAGTGGGAATCGATCAAAGAAAAGATGATCTATTTACAGTTCTGTTTTCGGGAGGAATAGATGTCTATTCATGAAAAAAATCGAGCTGTAAATCGACGTCTATTTTCAATATATATATTTTTGTCTGAAAACATAACAGTGAAAATCGGACTTCTAGATTGTCATGCATTTTCCACGGAAAAAAAATAAGTCCCCCTGCAGTGTTAGATGTACAACATGGATTTTTCGTTTACAAGTTTGTTCACAACAGACCTTTGAGTACTTCTACAACCTGGTCGCCAACGTGCTCCGTTTTTGCGTCCCCTCCCAAGTCCTTCGTCCTCAATCCAGTATCGAGCACCTTCCTGACAGCCAGTTCGATAGCTGCGGCGGCTTTCTCCAGTCCCAACGAGTAGCGCAGCAGCAGGGCGGCGCTCAGGATGGTGCCAACGGGATTGGCGATCCCCTGGCCGGCGATGTCAGGTGCCGAGCCGTGGATGGGCTCGTACAGGCCGAGAGTGGGCTTGAAGTCCGAGGACGAGGGCAGAACGGGGGACCCTGCAAGCGAGGCGGAGGGGAGAAGACCTAGTGACCCTGGAATCACGCTGGATTGGTCCGAGAGGCTACAGAAGGACTGAGTATTTGCCATGGCCAGCCCCGTGCGAGACACTCACATATCGCCGAACAGATTCTCGGTGACGATGACCCCGTTCAATTTTCGCGGGTTGGCGACGATCAGCATCGCAGCCGAGTCCACCAGATGGTGATCGAGTGGGATCTGGGGATACTCTTTGGCGAGGGTCTCGGTGACGACTTTACGCCAGAGACGAGAGCTTGCGAGCACGTTTGCCTTGTCAATGGAGTGGATTGGGAGAGGGGGGTTGGAGCCCAGAGCCAAATTCGCCGCAACACGAGTGATGCGCTCGACTTCAGCGACACTGTAAACCATCGTGTCCCATGCAGTGGACTTTTGGGCCGGGTCTGCGGAGGCTCCAAGTTCCTGCCGCTCACCGAAGTACAGACCGCCGATAAGCTCCCGCACGACGATGATCTCGGTGCCCTTGACGATCTCCGGCTTGAGGGGGGAGGCGGCGACGAGAGTATCGGAAGCGAAGTTGGCCGGCCGGATGTTGGCGTAGAGCCCAAGCGCCTTGCGCAATTTGAGTAGACCGACTTCCGGCCGAACTTTTGCGTCCACGCCCCACTTGGGGCCGCCGATAGCACCTGTGATCGATAGATCAACGCACATTCGAACGGGGAGCGGTTTGGGAGCTACCCATGAGGATGGCATCAGCTTGCTCGCATGCTTCGAGCGTGGACGGAGGGAGGGAATCGCCTGTGGAATCGATGGCGCATCCACCAAATTGATGGACCTCTAGTTTGAGGTCGAAGTCGGGTGACGCGGCAGAGACTGCCTCAAGGACGCGCGTTGCTTGTCCAACGACTTCAGGTCCGATGCCATCGCCTGGAAGGACGACTACGCGAAAGCTGCACTGGAGTTAGTTGAGTGAACTACACGTAGGGAACGGAATTCGCGCACGATCTGGGGGCCATGGAGGTAGTGGGAAGAGTAGAGAGGGATGCACGGAAGTCGGGGCTTCATAAAACACTTCGGCCGAAATGACTCGGCCGATGACTCTGGGCCCTATTCGGCTCGCTTTCTGTTTTATGCTTCACGATCACGGGATTCAGTTCGAGTGTCATTTGCGGGTGAGAGCTGGTAGGTTTTAGCAACTGAACATGCGCTCAAACGCGAGCGGAGCTTGGATCGATCAGGTGAAGGGTTGCGTATGCTCACTGCCGCCGCCCGGTTCATTTTTGCGTTAATTCGCGCTGAAAGCTACACAGTGCATCGGGATTATGCAGTGTGTCTACTCAAGGTGCCTCTTGCCCTTCAGATCGTTTTCCCAGAGTCAAATTGTTGAGAGACGATAGCTGCTCGGATCCTTAGGTACTTGGATGGGGATTGAGACAAATGGTGCGACTGCGGAACACCAGAAAATGAAAGCCGTCTTGTGAGACAAAGACGTGCTTGCACGGATCCGTAACAAGATCCGAAGCTAAGATGAGCATCTCGGAACCTAGAACTCAAAAATCATGTGAGCACTGAGCAGGCACAATTAGAGCTCTCTTGAACGGGCCGTCCTCCGAATCGAACTCGTGCAGGGCGAGATTCAGAAGATTGGAGCTCTGAGCGCCAAGCAACACTCAAGTTGACAGAGCAGGCGGAGATATCGATTTCCACGATGGACGCGTGACACTTCTTTTAGGCTTCCCCAGCTGTTGGTCCATTGTTGGTCCGATGTTCCGGACAGATCCTGGACGAGGTTCCCCAATTTTCATGCGGACAGTTGCCAGCGATCGCGTGGGTTGGGGTTGGGGATTCGACGAACGTTGACATCACCGCTGACATAATCGATCCCCATATCACATGAAATTCGACCTCCACCATTGAATACTACTACATACTAGTGGTCTCTGCCTCGAGGCTCCCTACATCTTTTCCACTCCCCCATGAACTACATCCGTGGCGCTGTCAGTGCCATTAGCGCTCCCTATCAATACTACAGAGACCTGCCCCCGATCAATCCTGCAACCCTCACCGGAGCCATTGATGTCATCGTGGTCGAGCGCCCCACAGCGGACAAAGGAACCGAGCTAGTCTGTTCCCCATTCCACGTCCGCTTCGGAAAATGGCAGGTGCTCCGCCCAGGAGAGAAGAAGGTGCGCGGATGGGGCTCTGCGCCGCGAGAGCGTTGCTAATTGCCCAATCTAGGTGAAAGTCATGGTGAACGGACAGCCGATTCCATTCGACATGAAGATTGGGGAGGCGGGCGAAGCCTTTTTCGTGTTCGAAACCGACGACGATGTCCCCGAGGACCTCATTACGAGTCCTCTGCTCCAGCCCACGCGCCCCGAAGACACTCAGGCTGCCGACGTGCCGACGGATAGGTTTGGGTCCAAACAAGATCCGGAGGAAGCTGCGACGCAGGATATCCCGTCAACTGAGCGGACAGACAGCCCCATAGGCGAACCAGAGTTTCTCGACCTCGATGCTCGACCCGATAGTCGCAAACGACCGTCCGACATAGTGATGCCTTCAGTGGCACCGGGCGTGCCCTTTCCGGGCTCCGCTTCAGGTTACGACGAACAGGACAAGGCGGTTTTGAGCCGTAATGTCGAATACAAACACGGTGCGTCCACCTTCCATCGTTTCTTTCACGCCTGACCGCCAGCTAGATGTTGCCATTGACGGTGAAGGCTACCATTCTCAGCCGAAGCATGACCGGGAGCGGACCATAACAGCTGATGAGAATGGGCATTATGGTGTGTGGTCAATCTACCACCATTGAGTCACTTCTGATTGCTATGCACACTAGCGTCGCCCCCGGCTTCCCCATCGAAAGACAAATCGCATCCCCACGGTATGGATTACTCCTGGGAATGGGGCGCATTTCCCCAGCCGTCGCCGATGCAAGCCAGCTTCGGTGATAACATCCCCGGGCCCAGTAAAGTGCCCCAGCGGTCAGCTACCGGATCACGAATGAGCAAACTCAACGCAGCTACCGATGGAGATGAAACCGATGATGACGTTTCCGGCGCTCGGAGCCGCAGCGTTCCTCCAGCCGGGAGTCCTTCGCGTTCGAGGAGGAAGTTGCGAGACGAGGATGTCGAGGATGTGCTGCCGTCGCCGTCTGTGGATCCTGGTTTCGGGTCCGGTGGACGGCTGTCTGCACTTGCGGCTGATCCAACGCACTTGACTGTAGCGATCGAGGGAAAGAAGATTCCATTTGAGCTGAGCATTATTGAGAATCGAGAACGTCAACCTTTCGATCGCCATAATGAAGTCGACGCCGCGCGACAATTCGCTAAGGGCAAGATTGATTTGCACCGTTTGTTAGAGGACGACACGGCCGTGAAAGACCCCTCCCTCGTCATCCGGTGGAATGAGGACCAGTATGTACCCATCTCTCATGATTGTGTCACGCTCTCAGTGTTCCTCAGATACATTATTCGCGCAGACGGATCTCCGCTAATGGATGCTCTAGTCTTGTGGAGGGACGCACTGCTGGCCGAGACTGCCAATGGGATGATGCTTCGCCCAACCTCCCCGCCCTTGTCGGATGTTGAAGAGGACGCCACTCCAATCGCCGAGGAGGAGGAGGAGCAGAAGCGACATTACCGTGCGAAATCAGAGCCACCCGAGTCGACGCCGAAGCCGAAGCCGACGTCGTCGTCCTGGGTTCAGTGGTGGGGTCGAAGCAAACGAGAGGATGCACACAGAGATGATCGTCCGCGTCTGCCTTGGACTGCATCGGAGCCAGTGAGTTGTGGCATCTAGCTGAAACGTCTTTGTCTGATCAGCTTAGAACCCAAATGACCTCAAGGTGACCCCTCCGAAACGATCAGCTACCGATGTGCCTCCAGCCGACTCGGCACCAGAGCCGTCAACGCCGGTCCAACGTCCGACTCAACTGCCTCTTCAGCCATCACCTGAGAATGCAGGCAAGCGCAAGTACGTCAAGACGCTCCGATTGACGTCAGACCAACTGGTATGTTGTACAAGCAGAGTTTCGAATGTTCAGTTGCTCAGACTCGTTTCTAGAAAACACTCAAGTTGAAGCCTGGACCGAATTCGATCACTTTTTCGCTCTCTGCAACTGGAGCTGTAGCGTGTACCGCACGGATATTTGTCTGGGACTCTATGGATACCGTACTCATCTCTGATATCGATGGAACCATCACCAAGTGCGTGAATGAGTCGCGTTTATGATGTACTCTGACACTACACAGATCCGACGGACTGGGTCATGTCTTTGCAATGATCGGGAGAGACTGGACTCATTTGGGTGTCGCGAAACTCTACACCGACATCATCCGCAACGGATACAAGATCATGTATCTCACGTCCAGGGCCATCGGACAGGCAGACGCAACCCGAGATTACCTGAAGGGCATCAAGCAGAATGACTACCAGCTGCCGGAGGGACCAGTGATCATGAGCCCTGATCGACTCATGGCGTCGCTGCATCGGGAAGTGATTATGCGCAAACCAGAGGTGTTCAAGATGGCTTGCCTACGAGACATTCAGCGATTGTTCGGCGAGGGACGCAACCCATTTTATGCTGGGTTTGGGAACCGGATCACAGACGCTCTGTCGTATCGCAGCGTGAATGTGCCCAGCTCACGCATCTTCACGATCGATTCGTCGGGCGAGGTGAAGCTGGAGCTGTTGGAGCTCGCCGGTTACAAGTCGTCGTACATCCACATGACGGATCTCGTGGACCAGATCTTCCCCCTATCCACCGGAAGTGGACAGAAGAGTACACCGACTTCAACTTTTGGAAAGCCCCCGTCCAGGAGTTTGCGCTGCCGGATCTGTCGCCACCGTCCCCGGCCCTCAGTGCTCGCTCCGAAACTTCGAGCACCATGGCCCGGATCCGCAACTTCAGCCTCGTGCCGAGTCGCCAGTCGACTGCCAACGCTCGACAAGGAACCTTGCGCCAGGTTTCTCGGGACAACTCGCCCCCGCTCTCGAGCTCTTATGGATCGCGCCGGAGCGCCAGCCCCGAGTCACGCACTTCGTCATCGACGTTTGCCGACTCTGATGATGACGAAATCGATTTCGATAGCAAACAGGCACGGAGGATGAGAAGGACGAGTATGACCAGCATGCCTGGCTCACTGGACGACGACGACCTGCAGTTTGATTTGGAAGACGACCACGAGGTTGAGTACGATGACGATCTCGAGCATGACGAGCAAGATGAGGATGAGGCCCTTGAGCAAGATCTCCTCGCGGCTGGCGAGATGAAGAACGTTCCGTTCTTGTGACACTGGGATTACAGTACTACCGTAACTTAATCTAATCTAATCACCTTCTGCCGTCATGCCGAATCATCGGAGAATGAAGTTGTGTTGATGGCCCGGCCAAAATTTGAAGCGGAGCTCGACAGCTAGATAGTACGTAGGCGTGACCGTATCCCAATTTTTCCTCACACATCGACGAAAGCGGACGAAGACTCGCCACCTTTTCTCACTCATTTTCTCAATCTAAAAACGAAAAGTAAGTGGGGAACTCTCTATCCGCTTCTCTGCGCGGATTCCCTTGAAAAAACGGATTCTGACGATCCATATTGCAGGATGTCTGACGCTGGAGATGAAATTCAGGTTGACGCCCCGGTCGAGGAGGTCGAGGTCGCTCAGGACGCACCCAAAGGAAAGCTTACCGTCGAGGAGGCTCTTCAGGTGCGTGTCTCCGCGTTGTCAGCCTTCTGAACACGATCCCTGATCGATCCACACAGCAAGTCCTGAAGAACGCCCTCGTGCACGACGGTCTGGCCCGTGGTCTCCGTGAGGCTGCCAAGGCCCTGGACAAGCGTCAGGCGCACTTGTGCGTGCTCGTCGAGACCTGCACCGAGGCCGAGTACATCAAGCTCATCGAGGCGCTCTGCGCCGAGCACAAGATCAACCTCATCAAGGTTGGTGACCCGAAAATCCTCGGCACCTGGGCTGGGCTCTGCAAGATCGACCGCGAGGGCAACCCGCGCAAGGTCGTCGGCTGTAGCTGTGTCGTCGTCAAGGAGTATGGTGTCGAGAGCGAGGGCCTGCACGTCCTGCTCGACTACTTCAAGAACCGCTGAAGAGCTGGTTTCTGGACGAGGTGTGTTTGCGCTCCCTCTTTACTACCGTCGCATATCGCGGCTTCTGCGGATGACAAATAGACTCCCTCAACTGAGCCTTCGGTCTCTGGTGATACAGTCTATCCGGAATCATTATTATACATGTCTGATACTCTTCTTTTCCTCTATCCTTGTGTCGTTCTTTCAGTCACTGACTTGCTCTGCTCTGTCAGGTTTTTGATAGTTTTATTGCATCGCATCTATGTATCTGCACAATGAAATGTATCACTGACCGTCACGTGCAAACTATCCGAGCTCGAGTGTTCTCTTTGCTCTATACTCTGAGGCCATGACGTCTGCTCGTATCTCGCTCAGTCTTGTCGTCGACCTCAACCCACCTGTCTGGTACCTCGCATTCAAGAACGCCTCTAGCCGCGCGCTCGCTCGTCTCGAACTTTCGGTAGCGCGCAGGATCAATAGGGTCACCAGCGTTCTCGCCCAGCTATTTCCTTCGATTCCAAGGGCTATGACGCGTCCATTCCTACTGCTAACAGCTTTCTTGCCCGCTGCTCAACGTGTCAGCACAACGGAGTCGCAAGAGGATATTATCACACATGGAGCAGACCACTCGCAAATGTGTCCCCTTAGCGAAAAACAACCTGCACCAGTCTGTGCCAACACGCTCCGTCTTTTCTCGGCGCCAAGTTCCAGCGACGTGGTTCCCCGACCGCAGCTTAACGGTTAGTTTTGCACTTGTCTTCGGAAGCGATGTGGCGTTAACTCTCATCGCCAATGTAGCTCCCTCGATCACAAACGTGCTCATGGCGGCATCTATCTCACTTCTACTTCTCGCCATTCTCTTCCTCGCGCTCAAGTGCACTCGTCAACGCCCTCGCCTTCTCCGATCCTTGTCTTCTCAAAAAACGACTGAGATGCAATGCTCAAACTCCATCGAAGAAGTCGCGCGCCTCGTCGAAATCCCGGTCTCTGAGAATCTAAGCGTCGTACACGCCACGCAAGAATGGTATCTATTCGAGTCGGAGAATCTGCAGTCGCGGGGCGGCACCCACTGCACTGACCGCCTGGTGCTAGACGCCCAGTCTCTGATCATGCCCGCCCAAGCTGCATTCCTCGATGACGAATCGCCGAGGTTCCGTCGAATGAGCGCAGCGTTCGACGTGGAGCGGAGACTGCCGTTGATGCTAAAGGTAGGGTCGCCGTCCTCGCCGAAGTCTCGGTTCACGTTACGCGTGTAGACACAGATGGACTTCCCTGCTGGGCGTCGGTATTCTGCGCCCATGGCTCTGCCCGTGCTAGATTTCGACTCAAATGAGGAGAGTACTGATGAGACGCTGCCTCTGCAGACGGGCCGCGTGCGAGACATGGCGCGATTGTGGGGCGCGGCCCCGCCTTCGAAGCAGAACGCGAGGTATTGGACCCAGTTTCGGCAGGGGGCATTGGGGGATCTATAGGACCTGCGTTGTTTCTCAGTGGATTGTAGAACAGCTAGAGAAGGCAAGAGGACTTGTGAATGTATGCACAAATCTACGGGAAATCAAGGGATCCGGTCGGATGCGTACTGAGTGTATATGAATCCAAGAGCGCAGCAATCTGCAACGCAGCAGACAGGACATGCTTTGGGCTTGATCTTCGGTTGCGATGTACAGCGCCGGCAGTGCTTACCAACCATTACACGAAACCGTTGGAATCCGGACAATGGGATGAGGTTTCGCGAGTTGTTCAAGTGGATCATTCGCACTAGCCCCCGTGAGCGTGAAAACCATCGCCGTATGAGCTCAGCTATTCTACTAATCACGTGTAAACTATCCGCTGTCGAATCGGGGACACACCCTCTCACACTGCCTGTATCTGAGCGAACCAGAAGCGTTCACAATTCCACAGAATCTATGCTAGAAGATGGTACTGTAGTCGAGCACTTACAACTTCGTCTTCAGTTTCGCGTAAACCATTCCCTCGTCTGGAAAGAAAAGTAAGTATCAGCGGCAAAATCTTCGCTCTTTGTGACAAACACTCACAGTTATTATTATACAAACTATCACCGGGAACAGCGACGATGTGCGAAGTGAGATTGCTGGCGTCGACCATCGCTGGGACGATGTCCTTGATCGACTGGGCTCCCAGCAGACGCATATTCATCTCGAACTCATCCTGGGAAATAGTGGGTTTCAGTAGACGCAGAGCACAGAAAGGAGAGTTAACTTACGTGGAGGATCTGCAACGCCTTGTCGACTCCATCCACGCCGTACGCCGAGTATGAATACAAGAACGGCCGTCCGACACCAACTGGAGATCATCACATGTCAGGCCTTTGGACACAGAAAAGACGCTCGGGACTGACCGGCAGTTGCACCCAGCGCGATAGCCTTCAGGACATCCGTCGCGCGCCTCACGCCGCCGTCAACGAACAGCTGGAACTTCTCGTTCGGGAACTCGAGCCCCCGCTTCTCTTTGAGGTTCGTGACGACTTCGGCGAGGACCTCGATGCCGGAGCGCGCGAACTCGAGCTGCCGGCCTCCGTGGTTGGACAGAACGACGCCGGCGACACCGTGGTCGTACGCGATCAGCGCGTCTTCCCAGCATTGCACGCCTTTCAGGATGAGAGGCACTGCGCTGGGATCAGTGTCTGAGAACACATGACCAGATAGCACGCACTTTTGGTGATGCTCTTGAACCATTTGAGGTCGTCCCATTGGAGAGCCGTGTCGATGAAACTCTGGGCAAGATGAGTTCCCGCGGAGGATATCGAACAACAAAGCGATCAGACGCACGCTGATTGCCCGAGCGGCACCTTGAGAGCGGTCCACTCCGCCCGCGCTCGTTTCCGATACAACAGACGGATCTTCTGCTTCGAATTTCATGCGCATGTCCTGGGCGACTCTCGTGAGGCTTCTCTGTCATTCAAGGCAGATAGACAGACACACCTTCTCCCGGCGGCCCAGCTGGTTGTTTGTTCTACATCAGCATCGGCTGCACGGATATGTAGAGAAGACGGAAGCGTGCCTGCGGTGCGTCGACGGTAATGAAAAGACCCTTGATTCCTCTGGCTTCGGCGTGCTGCACCAGTTTCCGCGTGATCTCGCGGTCCTTGTTCACGTAGAGTTGGAAGAACTGGACCTGCCCAGGTTGGGCGCCATCGACGAGTTCATCGAACGAGCACGAAGCCAGGGTCGGAATCTATCGTGTCCATGATCCGGTGCACATTCCGTGCTGATGATGGGACGGACCATTTGGATGACACCGTGCTTGGCCGCCGCCTTGGTCAGATTCAGCTCGCCGTCTGGATGGCCGAGTTTGCCCAGTGCCGTGGCTGACTGTAGGAAGTTCGATACCGCTCCCTCGGGGGCAATGGGATGACTCACGATATACACTGGCATGCTGCTCTTGTGCCCCAGGATCGTAGTCGACCAGTCGACGTTCGTCACGTTCCGCATGATCCGCGGCCTGAACCATATCCTGTGATACGCAGCGTGGTTCTCCCGGTGTGTGATCTCGTCGTCGGCCGCAGAAGAGTAATACGCCCATGCCTTCTCGGGCAGCACCTGCCTCGCGATGTTCTGGGCTGCGTTCAGTCACAGTGGCGAAGGGCTCGGACGCAGGGAAATGAAACGCACTTCAAAGTCGTGCAGATTCAGTATCTCGCTAAGCGGTGGACGCAGCTCGATCCTCTGCAGCCGGTCCTTCTCCTCCTGCGTGACTTCCACTTCCACGATTTCCACGGTGCTCCCATCCACCGGCCCGAGACTCGATAGCGAGAATCTGAGAAGGGGGCATCCATGACAGGCAGGTGAGCACACTCACTGTTTCTCGGGAGGCAGGTTCGTGGTGATGGCATCGGGCGGGTGGATCGGCTCGTATTCTTTACTTTACGGTGTGTGAGGGAGGACCGTGGAACCAGGAGGTGGATCGAGCTCACGTCGCGTCCTTGCCCGCGTATTTCAGTATGATCTTGCTCCCTCCTACGCGTGGTTTGAGGTGCGGAAGACGGCGAACGAGGCAGAGATGACATCATACCGGGATGCTCTACATGCCAACGGTCAGCGCGGGCCCGTGCATGCAGTCACCAGAAACGGTCTCACCATCGAGAAACTCCGTCACGTCATACACTTGACCTGAAAGATTTCCGTCGGCGCTGGACGGACATAGAGACTCGGCGCGCGGCCGGAGGACGCACCATGGACGATGATCCAGCAGCTCTCGCGCGTGTGGTGCTCGGCGACGACTTTGCCTGACAGTGGTGCGGGCATCGGTGGTGCGTACTTCTGTTTCGCGCAACGGCTGGTGTGGTGAGAGCTTTATGCAGTGGGACGGATGCAAGAGGGGCCGCCGGGTCTGGACTAACATGTGGGCATTGACAACCGCGGGGACGTGGGGCAAGTCACGAGAGCCGGTTATGTTCTGCGGCCCGTCCCACCCGGGCATACGGGCTGTGGGACTGCATCAATTTTGAAGTAAAGCTTTCGTGAGTTCCATCACCGGCAGTCCGTCGATCTAGACAGCAGCAGAGACACATACCCACATGTTGCATCAGACCCAGTGTTGTTCAGAGGTTCGAGTCTCACGGGAACTCAGTTCAAGCGGCACCGAACCCAGCGGAACTCCAGCGGGAGTGGGCAGTTGTCCTGCGGCGGCCCAACGGAACACACGTAGCGGTGTGCGGAACTCCAGCGGGGCTCCAGCAGTCGCACCAATGCGTGATTGTGTCCCAGTGCGGCACTCCAGCGGAAGTCCAGCGGGTGCTGTAGTTGCACCGACAGGACCAACAGGCTCCAAACATCTTACGAAATATCATAGACGAGAACGGCTTTCGGACGATCGGCAACGTAGCCGCTCACAAAGTCGATCCGATTCCTGACTTCCAGTCTTCATGATGATCAGAATGCATAAACGAGAAAAAAAAAAGTAAATTGGATACTGTGGCAAAAGCCCCAGCCGCAAGGAGCCATAATGTATCGATTTTCAGGGGGGGTTGAGAGTAAGTGGCGGCATAAGCGTGATAGTGAAAGTGTATGGCATGCGCGGCGGTCCCAGTTCGACCTTGTCTCGTGGCTAATTCATGGGACCTTTCACATCCGACATTGTATCTTATCTTATCTCATTTCGTAGATTATCAAGTCAAGTATATCTCGTCATAAAATCATGAACGTGAAAGCAGATTCAAGCATCCTCAACTGCAACCGTTTGGCCCTTCTCGTCCTTGACAACAGCGACCTTGCGGTGGCGCAGAGAGGCTCGTACGGGGTGCGGGTCCTGGTAATTTGTGTGATCAATCCCAGCGCGAATGAGTTGGAACAGAGAACACGAACCTCGAAAATCTCGTCGAGCTCTTCCAGCGTCCGGCCCTTGGTCTCGACGACACAGAAGTAGATGACGACACACTCAAAGAGATCCCATGCAATGTAGACGATGTAGTATCTAGATCGCGTTAATGAATGGCTCGAGGATTGGACACGGCGGTCACTCACTTCCATCCGATGTTATTCAAGGCGATGGGTCCAGCGTAGGTGTTGACGAAAGACGCGCAGCTGACAAACAGAGCATATCTGATGGAAACGAGATGAGTTGTGCATTGTCATCGGGTAGCGATCCTCTCACAGGGCCATTCCCTTGGCGCGAGTATTTGTCTGGAGCACTTCGGCGGGATATAGTGCTTGCAGTGGCGTATACGCGAGACTGCGGGAATTTCAGTCTGAGAACCATCATTTCAAACCGAGATGGGACAGACCTGTAGAAAAAGCCGAACAAGACTTGAAATGTGTTAGCAAGCTCGACAGTCGACACATCAACTCAGCTTACAGATGAAGGCAATAGCGGCATTGGCACCGGCGGGATTACTTCCCGCGCTGCCCCACTTGGCTGTGCAACCCGTGACGACCATCAATGTGCAGGCGCTGACGAGAGTGCCCCAGAACCACATCTCTGATATTCGGTCAGCATCACTGTAGCACACACAAATGATAATCAATGCGCTCACTTCGACGACCGACTGATAGTTCAGTCAGTGGCTGTCAGGATATTGATGTGAGAAACTACGCACCTTTGTCAACCAAAGTTGTGGCGATGACCGCTCCAGCAGCGGAAACCAGGGTGTTGACGAAATTCAGAGTCAAACGCTCATTTTGCGTCCTTCAATTCTTCAGACAACAGGAAACCGCAGGACGCTCGAGCTCACTTCACACCAGCGTTCTGCACGTCATCAGTCATCGGTCGTGACCATCAACAGAAAACACGCACAGCAAAGAGGATCGTGAGGAAATATCCGAGACCGTTTCCGGACCACTGTCCGAAGAATGCCATGAGCGTCATCATGAAGGTGCGGTAGCGGGCATTCGGGGTGTTGAACAACTCTCTGGTGGTGGGGATCAGCGCTGGCTGTCAACTAAACGAGCCGGTCAGAAACTCGCCTGTAGTCCCACCAGCGCTTGTCCGAGGCATCCTGCTTGATGGACTTCTCGAATTCCCGCATCTCCAGCTGGACCAGGGGCGAGTTGGGGTCGTCGTTGCCGTGGTAACGGGCAAGCACAGCCAGCGCATCGTCCTTTCGGCCGACAGCGAGAAGCCATCGGGGCGACTGCACCGAGATTTCAGGATGGCCGGAAGGAAAGCATTCAGTCGACTCACTTCGGGGAGGAAGAGAGCGAAAACAGCGAGGATGCCAGCTGCGACGATCTGGATGGCGAGCGGGGCTCTCCAAGATCGGGTGCTTTGGAGACGTCCCGTGGCAATCGTGATGCCGCTGCAGAGAATCGAACCGGCGTAGTAGAAGGCTGAAGAGCATCAGGATCAAAGTCCAACATAGAGTCACGTGTGACCCACTGTTGAAACTAGAAGGGCTTGTTAGCAATCAAGTGAGAATACGGAATAATGAAGAACATACAGGCCAGTCAATCGCCCACGCCACTGGAGAGCGGACGTGAATTCCTACAGGAAGGAGAAAATGGGCTCAAACACACCTGAGGTGGTGCCATTTCAACGACATATGATGGAGACGCGGTCTGAACGATTCCAACACCCAGACCTATGCGATATTGAGCAAAAGGTCGTCAAAGTCGAGAGCTCACCAACCCAGGACAAATCTCCCGCCAAGAAGAGCGCTGACATCCTTCGCGGTGGTTGCAGTCAAGGAGCCGACGATGATGATAGCGCCGCCGATGAACTGGAAGCGGGGATAGCATGATGTTAGCCGATAGGCAGGTGTGAGTGAGGCACTGACCATTCCTCCCCGGCGTCCGAAGTAGTCGGTGACAGGGCCGGCGACGGGGACTGCAACAATACTTCCGATGCTGTACTGCGATGGGTAAAGATCAGGACTTGGAGGTCAGCTGGAAAAAAAGCAGCATACGATTCCGCTGCGGAGGCTATATGAGACATTGGCCGCACTCACACCGAAGCGACTCACAAGATAAGTGCGGTGGTCGACCCAACACCTCCGCCGGCATCCTTGCCCTGGTTGCCGCATCAGAATCGTCGCACACTTCTAACGACCTCCTCCGCTCACAGTGATCTTGAAATAATCCAGGTACTGTCTGTACACGTTTCAGCTATCTTACATAGAGAGGCGGAAGAATTTGAGAACTCACTGCATCCCATTGACAGCTGACATGACTGCACTCGCGAATCAGCACCGGTCCCTTCTGGAATGCACGCGACAAAAAAAGTCACCTGAGCCATCGAATCCGTTGGCGAGACTGCCCATGAACGCGACGAGGAGGATGAAATAGAGCTGGATCGAGCGCAAGCCGAGCGGATTCAGCCGCGGGCCCGTGGCCAGCGCCACAGCCAGGTCGGTGTTTGCGGCATCCAGGATCTCCGCGTCCTCGAGGTGAGCCCCGCCGTGCGGCTCTTCAACCTTCTCGTCTATCGGGGCGGGCTCGCGGTGGATTGAAGACATGACCGTCAGTCGAATTCGTCGCACGCAAACATTCGTGTATTTGTATGACCGCGCGGAGACATTTCGGGCTTTCCCTCGATTACGGCAGTCGTGGCGGACACATGACAATCTGCCACAGACTGGAAAATAAACCTTCTGACCACCCCTTTCGGGAAGCGGATCCCAGACGGACGCCGGCCCAGAGCGACCGGTCGTTGTATGAATTGATTCTACCGCCCCAAGCCGGAGGTGCGTGGAAAAGAGCGGAGGCAGCGCGGTGACCGAGGATATTCCGCAGATGCCAGGAAATGAGCGTGAGGCACATCAAAGAGGTCCAGGTGATTCGCCTACAGTGCGGAGGTCATGAGGTGCTTGGCTCAACTTTCAGGTCTCGACACCGAGATCTGATTGACAGCTGAGTCCTGATGAACAACCGTGTCACTGATGAGTTGATGGGTCTGATGGTAAGCACCAGCAAATACATTCGCACTGTATGTCTCTTCCAGCAGCCCCAGACGCGCCCTGCCTCAGGTTCCCAGAAAACTTGGGGATCGCACGCGACCTTACTTTGGAGTCAGGTTGGTATGCGCTCCTAGATGACACCACTCGTGCTGATGAGCGTCGCTCTCTCGCCACACAGCCGTCAACTATCTCACTCGCGGGTTCCAAACTTCCTTGAACGTCCCTTACGTGTGGGGATACATCGACAAACCGCAGGAGGGCCAACTTCTGCTCGTTTTCATACCCCCGAATGGCCCGCCTTTCCCGAACGACGGGCTGCGCTACCAAGATGCCGAGACCAAGTACACCATGCCCGCGGGGTCCGGACGCGTGAGTGCTGCACCTAACGCGTCCCTGCTGCTCGTCTGAGCAGCGAATCAGGAACTGGAGATCAGCGAAACAAAATTCGGATACATACCTGGCATGGACTCCATGCAGGGCGCGTGGAGGCTCCGGCGCAGGTACCGGATGCTGAAGGGCGGGCACCCGGGCCTGGTGCTGGTGCATTACACGAGGGGCCCGAACGCACGTACGTCCTCTCCCACATCCACGCGCGGATCCGCTGTTTGCCAACTCGACGCGCCGCAGCTATTGCGCCTATGTACATGAACCAGCCGGCGCGCGCGTACCCGCTGCGTCCCGTGAACGAGCCTGCCGTGTACATTCTCGGCGAAAAAGTGGGCACTAAGGTCTTTCCACCGGGGCATCCCAATGCGGGCGCGATTGTTGGTCCGGGGCCCGGACCAGGGATGGGCGGGAACTTCAACTCGCCGCAGGCCATGCTCGCACAACAAAACAACAACATGGCGATGATGGAGCGACGACGAGAGCAGGAGCAGAGGGCTAGAGGCCAGAGCAATGCTGTGTGTTGATTGTGTTGTATTCGCTAGCTGTTTTACTGACGATCCTCAGCGACGGCCTCCGGTTGAAGAAGAAGATTCGGGAGGTGCGTGTGTTCGCTCTTTTGTTTTTCTGTGAAGGAACATTGTTTACAGACGAAAATGACACGATCTCCACGCGAACGTTATCCTCGACCAGATACCGGCGCAACCATGACTTCATGGCTGAAGTTTTCACATTCGCTGCCTACAGTAAGCCGAACCCACTCGAGATATGTTTACGTGCTGATCTCAAGCAGACCTGAAAAATCAAGACCCTCCACCTCCCCCGTTTTCAATCTTCGACAAGGCCGATCTGGACGCCAGAGCAGTGAGTACGAGCGACTGGTGCAATTGCACATCTCTAACCGACAAGCGCAGGAGAAACTCAAAGCCGAAATCGCGGCTCTTCAGAACCGAGATTTGCGATCGGCGACGGGTGCAGACGTGTCTATGCAGGGTGCGTATGATTAGATGCTGTGCAGTGAGATGTATGTAATATCAGGGTGTACTTGAGGGCACTAGCAGATTCTGTCGGATGACAGAGATATCCTCGTCAGAGAGTCCAACGATGTTCTTGCAGTATCCTTCGGCACCAGAGTACTTGGCGTCGAGTAAGTCGAGGAAAGCTGACATAGTCACTGATCTGAGAAACGAGATGAGAAGAATGTATGACCTAGGGTAAGGCACCTACCGGCAAGTGAACATATTCATGGCTGCTTCGCTATTCGAAGCGAAGAGCGGTTCCTTTGACAATCTCTCCATGATCATCTCCCGAGCCGGCTCACGACCTATGCGGGTGAGAGCATAGTCATGGGCGATAGCTTGATTGTCCACCCCGGCGAGCTATCCGTCCACGTTGAAGACCGAAAAATGCCTGATCGGTTATACCGGACTTACCTTCAGTAGGATGGCAGCAATAACCCCAGTCCGATCTTTTCCGGCTGTGCAATGGAAGAGACATCCGTCGCTTGGGCGGTCGCGCACGTGGCGCAAAATGGAACCAAACGCCGGACCGCCACTGTCCAGAATCTGCGAGTACCTGGGCCGTTCATAATTGGCGGCGATCCGGATCAGAGTCGTCAGCTGGCACTCACAGTTCCATGAAGGCCTAGATGCGGGAAGGGATCAGATTGAGCAGCTGCTGCGCCTCTGCCAGACAAGACTCGCCTCGGTTTTCCCGCTGGCGTAGAGCTGGTATCGTCTGGGTTGTAGCGTAAGTCGCTTGGGCAAACTAGGGATGGAGGAGAATGCAGACGCACCTGGCCATCATCTCGGGGCTGTAATCCTCCTTCTGGAACACCGGCACATGGTGGACTTCAACGCCTTCGATAGCTGGAAGACATCAGAGGGGATCTTCGGAGAGCCGAGAATCCAGGCGCACTTGGCAGCGGTGTGTTGTACTTCTCGATCTCCGTGTCCGAGCGCAGGTCAAAAACGGCGGTGATACCCAAGTCCTTCATCTGTGCTTTGCCTGTGTGGAGATTATAATCCCGTGCGGGATAGGAGGGTTCAGCACCCGCCTTCTTCCGTAATCTTAGCGAGCTCTGCGGACCGGTATAGCAGTCGGGGTTTCGTCGCGAAGCCAGGCGACGTGGTGGAAGCAAGCCCACCGAGATCGCGCACGTTGATGACTCCAGAGATGCTCACGAATGGCAATCGAGATAGAACGTCTTCGACATAAGAAGGATCCAGGGGCTCTAGGTCGTCCATAGTAGGGGTGGTCGTCGACTCGGAGGTAGTGCCGTGACCGGTTATTTCGAGTGGGGATGGATGACTGGCAGGTGTCGATCAAATCGCGTAACGTCACAGAGTGACAACGCGTTTTCTCGCGGCCCACCATGGCTACCAGCTCTCCTGCCGGCATTCCTTCGAGCAATCCCCTTCTCGCTCCTTCGAGCCCCACCGCGAGCCGATCAACTCAACGCCCTACTGCCAATGCTCTTTCTCTGGATGATGACGAGCCTCAGGCCGCAGGGGACGGCGACTTGGGTGATGAAACCGGGGACCCTAGGCGACGAAGAAAGGCCCGCACCCAGGGAATCGACGTGCCTCCTGTCAAGGATGCTGTTGGAGAGTCCGTGGCCGAGGCTTTTGAAAAGTTCCTCAAAACGTGCGCGCTCTTCGCCGCGATCTTTGCTCCCACTCATTCACGCGTCAGGTTCACGGAACGCGTCGCACTAGCGGCAACGCCCGGCTCAGAGGGCGACGCGCCTGGAGAAGCAGATGCGGAGCTGCTTTATGTTCAGCAGATCTACACCATGCGCGAATACAACCTCACAACGCTCTACGTCGATTTCGGCCACCTGCTCATGGCAGACGACATCCTGTCCAACGCCGTGCAGAGACAGTACTACCGATTCCTGCCATATCTGCGCCGTGCTCTCGTCAATCTCGTCACTGAATACGCACCCGAATACCTGAAGATCAATCCCAGTGCCGCAACTACCGATTCTGCGAACCTGCAGTCCCGGGATTTCAATGTCGCCTTCTATAATCTTCCTCTTACGTCGGGGATCCGAGAGCTTCGAACGGAGAAGATCGGTACGCTCATGAGCATCGGGGGCACGGTGACTCGGACAAGTGAGGTCCGGCCTGAACTGCTCTTCGGAAGCTTCGTGTGTGAGATATGCAGTGGCATCGTCGACGAAATCGAGCAACAATTCAAATACACCGAGGTAAGAGCCGCCAAGATGTATTCTCTTTCCATGTTAACACAGTTTCAAGCCTTCGCTCTGCCCCAATCCGACATGCGGTAATCGCACAGCTTGGAAGCTGCAGATCGATACGTCGCGATTCACAGATTGGCAAAAAGTACGAATCCAGGAGAATCCGTCTGAAATCCCCACTGGCTCTATGCCGCGCTCTCTCGACGTGATCCTGCGCTCCGAAATGGTCGAGCGTGCCAAAGCTGGTGATAAATGCGTTTTCACGGGCACATTCATCGTCGTGCCTGACGTCAGTCAGCTTGGCTTGCCCGGGGGCAATGCCGCGCAGCTTCAACGCGAGGCTAATCGAGGTGCAGGTGGGGGTGCAGCGACTGGGGGCATTAGCGGTGGTGTAACCGGTCTCAAGAGTCTCGGAGTGCGGGACCTACAGTACAAGACGGCGTTTCTGGCCTGCATGGTGAAAGACGCCGACAGCCGTGACGGGACGAACATCCGCGGGGAGGACGACTCGTCGGAGGACAGCGCCCAGGCCTTCTTGGACAGTCTGACGGAGCCCGAGTTTGACGAGCTGAAGAACATGATCAACGGCGATCACATGTACACGCGTCTGGTGAACAGCATTGCGCCGACAGTCTACGGGCACGAGATTGTCAAGAAGGGACTGCTCCTACAGCTCATGGGCGGCGTGCATAAGCAAACGCCGGAGGGGATGCACTTGCGTGGAGATATCAACATCTGCATCGTGGGCGATCCTTCGACGTCAAAGTCGCAGTTTCTCAAGTGCGTGATTTCCATGTTGCTTGCTGCATGTACGCTGACGTCCATTCCAGATACATCTGTTCTTTTCTTCCTCGTGCGGTGTACACCTCAGGAAAGGCGTCTTCTGCAGCTGGTCTCACTGCTGCAGTCGTCAAGGACGAGGAAACGGGCGACTTTACGATCGAGGCTGGCGCGCTCATGCTGGCGGACAACGGCATCTGCGCGATCGACGAGTTTGACAAAATGGACATTGCCGACCAGGTCGCTATTCACGAAGCGATGGAGCAACAGACGATCTCCATCGCTAAAGCCGGAATCCACGCGACGCTGAACGCACGGACGTCGATTCTCGCTGCGGCCAATCCGATCGGCGGACGATACGATCGCAAAAAGTCGCTGCGCAGTAATGTACAGATGACACCGCCGATCATGAGTCGATTCGATCTATTCTTTGTCGTGCTGGACGAATGCGACGAGAAGACGGACATCAATATTGCGAAACATATCGTCAATGTGCACCGCTTCCGGAACGAGGCCATCAACCCCGAGTTCAGCACTGAGGCGCTCCAGAGATATATTCGCTTTGCGCGGACGTTCAATCCCAAGGTGAGTTCTTGTGCGGACATGGTGGATGCTTGCTGACGGCTCGTGTCAGCTGACTGCAGAAGCTGCGGATGTGTTGGTTGAAAAGTACCGGATTCTGAGGCAAGACGATGCCACCGGGATGGGGAAAAACTCGTACCGGATCACTGTACGGCAGTTGGAGAGTATGATCCGTTTGAGTGAGGCCATTGCACGAGCCAACTGCAAGGATGAGGTGCGCTGATGCTTGACTTATCTATCAGAGCTGGACAGCCAGGATTGACCTGCTCTCAGATCATCCCAGCGTATGTTCGCGAAGCGTACAGTCTTTTACGACAGTCGATCATCCACGTCGAGCAGGACGACATCGACTTTGACGAGGAAGAGCTCGAAGGCGAACGGGGACGGACGGCTGGTGCACCAGACGTCGCTGACGATAACGACATCGAGATGTCTGCTGCTGCTGCTGTTGACGACGATGATCTGGAAGGCAGCTCATTGCCCGTGCCGGCCTATTCGCAGGCCCACGCGACGTCTGAGTCGGAAACTGCTGCTGGTAGCCTAGGCGATTCGGCCGTTCCTGCTGCTCCAGCGCCTGCGAAGCGACGGATGGTGATCACACACGACCAGTTCATCAACCTGAAAAACCTCATTGTCATGCACATCTCCGAACAAGAGCAGCGGGGGGTCACGAGTGGTGTCGACCGGGACGACCTTATCGACTGGTACCTGGAGCTGAGGGAGCCAGAGATGCAAGACGAGAGCGACGCTGATTACGAGAAGGAGCTGATTACGAAGATGTTGAAGAAGCTGGTCAAAGTGAGTAGCGGTCGAGTGCGTACCCTAATACATGCTAACATTCCGCAGGACAACTATCTCCTCGAGGTCAAGGGCGACGTTCAAGAGTCGCTGCCCTCGATGGATGAAGAAAGCCAGCCATCTGACGAGAATGTCAAAATGTATTATATGGTTCATCCCGCAGTGGATATCGACGAGGCCTCCTTTGCTTCGACTGCTTGATTGGGTATTTTGTATCTCCTTTGTAATAACCTATGTAATCGGTTGTAATTTTGTATCTCCTTTAGATCTCGAGCAATGTGCCCGACGATCGGAGAGCGCTCACTCAAGCCTGGAGCCGCAAGTCAAATCAGCTCTCATGAAATCTCAGGCACACGTGATTCCCCCAAGCCAATGACGTCAGCAATCTCGCTCAGGTTCGACGCGTTCCGACGCTTCGCTCTTCTTGTCCCAGCTTTGATGATAAACAGCAGATGTCTGAACCCAAGCTGTACAATCGCCCAAGCCCCCTACCTCCCTTCTCGCAGCGAGTTCCCAGCGCGCCGATATCGACCCTCTCCAACGCGCCGCACGACTACCAATTCCCCCTGCCCGGCGCGCTCCTCCTAGACGGCATCGCGCACTCGTTCTGCCTCGGCTTCGTCTTCGCGCTGGGGCTCAAGTACTGGGAGGACTTTGGCGACGAGGTGGCGCGCAAACGCGTGTACGTGCTGGCGCTCGTCCTGCTCTCGACGTGCGTGCTCTCGCCGCGGCGTGGCCCAATGAATCTGCGCGCGCTGATGTGAGGCGGGCGTGTAGCTTGCAGACGATCTTGCAGGACTACAAGCTCTGGACTGTTGCCGTGTCGCACGAGCCGTGGGTCAGTCGGCGGGGAGTGCATCGGTCTTGCCACTGTGGATACTGATTGTCGTTGCGTTTTAGGCGGGCAGCTCTTTCGTCTGGGTCGATTTCTTTCTGAATGGGATGATATGCTGCCTGTGCGAGGTGTTTTATATCAAGCGTTGCTGGAAGGTGCGTTGTCCGTGCTGGCGGCTAGACCTGGACGTCGGTGCTCACCCCATCCGCCGAGTACAGACGGTCAACTACAGCCCCTGGGTGCTCTATCCGCTGTCAGTCCTATGGATAAGTGGCGTGGGAGCCCAGTTATACATTGCGAGTCGATCATTTCCCCGCTGCAACATCGTTCTGATCATGCCGCAGAGCATCACTCTTGGGTTAGAGTTTCCGTATACAAAGAACCAGCAAGTACTGTGATTCTTGCGCAGACCAGAAAGATGCCTGATACGCCCCTTGATAGCTGGATGAAAGATTGGAAAACATGTTCAGAGATGTACGTGGAAGTGATGAGGCGACTGTCGGACTGATCATACGCTCTGAAGACGCTCACGGTTTTCTCCTACTGGGTCATCGTGTCTGCCGGTACGTCTGGTACGCTCGTCGGTGTTTGCGCTCTGGTGACCTCATATCGACCAGTTCTGGACCTCAGCTTTGCCGTGATACGCGAGTACCCGTCCTTCGTCGGTGGCTCGGTGGCTAACTCGAAAGGACACAGTGACAAGCTTCCTTCGCAAGACGAGCACCGACTTGGAAAATTCGACGACGGTGATTCATAGAGTGATATTCATGGCACTCGAGACGGCGGTTCTTCCCTTCTTGTCTATGCTCGCTGCAGCGATCACCGCGCACGCGGATCCTGAAGTGGTATGTCGTCTGCCGCCACCTCGCAGCAGAAGCAGCAGCAGCAGATCGTATACTCACAGGGCCACCACGACGATCTCCTTTTGTTCTTTGTCTTCATCACAGCCAAGTTGTGAGTCAGCAGCCGATGACTGATCATGAGTATTGAAATGCACAGCCAAACCATCGGGTTGCTGCGGACTTTGTGTGTATTTGAACTCTAGAACACCTGCTGCGTTTCTCAAACAAGGGTCAGAAACTCGCGCGTTCCGTGGCGAGACAGAATTGATGCGACAGATATGGGGAGGACGGAGCTGGGAGGACGGCTAGGTGCTGAAAGGAAGAAGCTGCGGGGACTGGACCTGGCGACGGAGCTGCTGGAGCCCGCGCTCAATGATATCGGGAATGTACGCTGCCGCATCGCTATCTACACCCTCGAAGGCGTTAATCAGACCATGCAGTTCTTGCCGGAACGGACGATAGAGCCCCCGGTGAACTGCACTTGCGGTGCGGACCCGAAACGGTATGCGGCGATTCGACCGGGGCAGATGGTGTTGTGTGGGGAGAAGACAGAAGACCAGTTCGTTTCGCGGAGACGCCTTGGGGGTTGATTTGTGTTGAGATCTTGTAGGATCAGACTGTTTGTGAGGACGTTTCGGAACGCAGCAAATCAGGCAATTGACAGTCGAGAGTCGTGCCGTAGTTTACTGGATTCATTACTTTACTTATGGTTTGGTCGCCTCAACGATTCGTGTGCATAATGAAGGGCCGAGAATTCGACATAAAACGGCTTTTGCAGGCACATCCCACCCGCCGGCGATGTCTGGAATGCAGTGCGGGAAACTGAGATCGGATTCCAACACTGGCCAAATACAAGCAAACGAACTCAATACGCCCGCCGCGTCTTGTTGAGCGAAGCAGCGACCGGATCTGGCGCCTGGAATATCGAATCCAGCTCCTCCCTGCAAATGCATGAACAAAGCCAGGATCTCCACGGGGCGAGAGAGCGGGAGACGCACAACGTGCGGCCCTTGGTCTCGACCGCGAACAGCCAGACGACGGCGATCTGCACCGCATTGAACGCGAGGGGGACGAGGAAGTAGCGCCAGCCGATCCGCTGGAACGCGACGGACCCCGCGAAGTTGTTGATGAGCGCCGCGAGGCTCTCGATCAGCGCGAATCTGCGCCGCGAGTCAAGCCTCCGGAACGATCGCGGGAGCGGGGGAAAGAGGAGGAGAGGAGGGGACGCACAGGGCGAGCCCCTTGGCTCTGTGCGCGTAGCCGAGGCACTCGGCGGGGTACATGCCCTGGAGGGGGATGTACGTCATGTTCAGTGCGAAGCTGAAGAGGACTGTCGTCGCGGTGCGTGCGTCAGCGGTCTTCCCGAAAGATCGACGGGGAAGGCAGCAGAGACGCACCCAGGAACGACACGGCCGCGGCGTGGATTTTGCGCGCGATGAAGACTGCGCCGTCGTCAGCTTCGGGTCCGCCATCGACGCGGGGACGGACCTGCGGTGAGGACGAGGACGACGGTGCACGCCGTGCTGCCTCCCAGCCAGAGTGCCCGCCGGCCGACTGCGGTGCATGGCGTGAGTGGTCTATCAGGACGTCGGGTGCAAGCCGATTACCTCGGTCGGCGATGAGTGCCCCGCTCAGCGCGCCAGCCGCGCCGACGGCGATGCTGATGAAGGAAAACACGAGCCGGGCGTTCTGGGTTGCCACTGCGGCCTGGGTCAGCCTCGACGCATCGTCGTCAGAAAAGAAATGACGAGCCTCCAGCCAAGTCGAAAGCCACGGTGACGAAGTAGCTGTCAAGAGGAGTGCGCGTCTAGCCGCCAGATCCAAACCAGCCTGCGCCGAAAATCACGCACAAGATGCCTGTGCCAGACAGCAGGCAGCAAAGCGCCAGATACGACGTGAGTAGCGTCCGGTACCGCGCGCCCCACGAATTGACGAGGCCGGAGTAGTCCCACCAACGGTGCGCGCCGGCGCGGTCCGGCCCGATGCACTGCTCGAGCTCGCGGAACTCAAGCACGACAAGCGGCGCATCCGAGTCCCCTGCGGCGTGGTACTTGGCAAGAACACTGCGCGCCTCGCCCGGCCGGCCGACGGACATGAGCCAGCGGGGGGACTGGTGCAGTGCGCTGGGCGGTGAGATGGATCGGTTGGAGGGAAGACGATGTGGGTTACTCGCCTCGGGAATGAAGAAGACGCCGACGAGGAGGATTAGCGTCGGGACGAGTTGGATGGCGAACGGGAGCCGCCAGGAGAGACTTGAGCTGATGCGGCCCGTGCCGATGACGAGACCCGAGCAGGTTAGGGATCCAACGAACGTGAACGCTAGAATTGGGCGTCATCGTCACTGGCTTGAGTCGAGTAGTATATGCAAGGTCTGACTGTTATATCTATGTGTTCATGAGGGTCGACACCCGAGAAATATCAAGCAGCTTACATTCCCGCAAGACGGCCGCGCCACTTTCAAATCAGTTAGGTACTGATCTCAAAGAGACCCAGGGAGGGCCACACGCACCTGGGGTGGGGACATCTCCGCGACATACGCAGGCCTGGAAAACCATTCGGCGATCTGGAGAGATCGGGTGATAATGGGCACGCACGCAGCAGCGTTGTTCAGCGACGACCCGAACCCGATGAAGAAACGGCCGACGAAGAGGTACGCGCGGCTCTGCGCGGCCGTAACGACGGCCACGCCCTGCAGCATACCAGTCATCTGGTAGTCAGCAGTTGGACTTGATGTGGATGGGACCTTCGCACGATGAGGATGATGGCGCTCGCGACGAGCTGCGGCTGGGTCAGCGGCCGAACATTGCGCAGCTGTGTGTCGCATCCTCACCATTCCTCTACGGCGGCCCCAGCGGTCAGCGACGGGCGCGGCGACGGAACATCCAGCGATGCACCCCAGCGAGAAGATGCTAACGACGACGACGTAATCATGATTAATCTCCGTCACTTAAGGATACACAGCCACAGTGCCCCTGACCTGTATAGCATAGCGGTGATGATTCCTACAGCGCTGTGAGGAAGAGGAACCATCGAGTGCGGAAATGAGGGGAGTGCGCACCCTGTCCCCCGCCGATATCCCCGCCTTCCAGCCCAAAGTACTCTGTGAACTGGCTTCTCGAGCCTTCAGGCGGCGTTACATAATTGTTTTAACCGCCGGAACGCACATCAGGCCATTGACGGAGCTGACCACTGTGGAAAAGGGGTCGATTTCAGGAACAGCAGGTAGAGCGAGATGAAGCGCGCGGAAGGAAGGAAGGAAGGAAGGAAAGGAAGGAAAGGAAGGCACGCGCACGCACCGCTGCTGTCGAATCCGAAACTGAGCGAGCCCATGAAGGAGACCGCCAGCACCCCATACAGCCGCAGCGCCGCCCAGCTCGTCGCGCGCAGCTGCGGGCCCGCGGAGAGCGCCGCCGCGAGCTCGGGGCTGAGGATCTGCGTGGGCGTGTGCGTGTGCGTGTAGCGGCTCAAGTTGAATTCCGGGGTCGCGTTCGCCAGCGGGGGCCTCAGGCTTGGTGCGCATGCGTGCGCGTCCTGGTCCTGGTCCGGGGACCGTTTCTCTGACATTGCAAGCAAGTAGGAATCAGAGGCGCGGCTTGGGTTCGCTCTCTCGAGCGAGCAGTGGATTGATTGTATTCGGCTCCGTTTATCTATAGGCGCTGGATGCACCCGGCTTCTCGAGGGGACACGCGCCGCGCCCGTGGATCGCACTTCGGTATAAGCTAAATGGGGCAGGGGCCCCGGTTCGCAAGGACGATTTCCGTAGCATCGCCGGAGGCCAGGACCTTGAACGAGCGGTTGGACCGGAGCGCGCTGTAGATGGACATGGGATTGTCGAGCCTGGGCAGTAGCTCGGTACGTTCTTGCATCACCTCGGGTTGATGCGAAACTTTCGCACCGTTCCAGTCGTACTACAGGCTCATGCATCATGGCCGTGGAGCACCAGTACCCGATATGGACAGACGCCTAAGGCTGTGCTTGATCCGTCCGATCCGTTGACTTGTTCCGATCGTCTCCGAGCCTCGGCTTACTTAGTAATACTACCCTTCTTCTTATCAATCAATCGCGGTCAGCGTGCAAAGCTTCGACACGTCGCGACGCGTCGGAATCAGCCAGTGATGGATGAACTTCCCCAAGATCCACCCAAACAGGGACGTGGTGGATTTCGTGTTGGTGCCGGTCGGAAACCAAAGCCTGTCACATCCGTCAGTGAACCTCAAATCCGTGAGCCAACAAAGACCTCTGCATCCCAGCGATTGGTGTCTGGAGCCCCAATTCCAAACTTCTTCCTTCCTCGTAGCCAATCAAGGCCTGCCGCTCTGGGAGTGTTCTCAACAGACCCTCGTTCTTCGGGACCTTCCGTGATGGGAGCAACGACAACCCAAGGACATTCACAACGTCCATCATTCTGGTCTAGTGTTGCGCCAACAACGGCTGCAATTAATAGGCAGACAACTGCTCATGAGCGTATGCTCTTACTTGCTCAACAATATATCTACACATTAATTTTAAACACAGTGCATCAGCCGAGTACTCTGGCTCCTCCGGAGTTGGCGCAACTCCAAGATGGAATTGGTTTTCTCGAAGCCAATGACGAGCGTGGGGATGTTACAGCGGGTGCTGATCGGCGCCTGGATGAGTCATTGGTTGATGAGCTCACCGACAATAATCCATCCGCCAATAGTGAAGCGGCTCAAGCCGAGACTCGAGATGCCGAAGTGCTTGCGGAATCCGTGTCAGAGAAGTTTCTGAAAGAACTTCAGTCTCGGATATCTCAAGAGATTCAGAAGTATGATATGCCGCTCTGCTACAAGAACGGTCAATTCTTTGATCGCGCACCCCATCCTGTGTTTTCTCTTCAGGGAGGAAATGCTTCCGCCGGTGGACTGGAACCCGCTAAGCTATATGCCCGCGACACATTTATATGGCTACCAATGCATTTGCCTGGACATCCCTCCAGGTTTAAGTGCACATGCAGCGAGGCTTTGTCATTGAATGGTGAGCGTTTTTTTCTCCTTTGGTGCAAGGACTCATGACTGTACGTGAAGGATATAATACAGATCCTATTGCTCGTCGTGTGCGCTCTATTCCGGAGGATTTTTTCCTGTACACAAATCGGTTCATCTGCGACTCACGGCGGAATAACAACAAAGGGTGCGGGCAGAGCTTCCAAGGCACAGACCCCCATATTATTGCGCAATTGCCACGCTTCGTACAGGCAGCCTTTCCTGGTATGTTCCAAATGGTTCGGATCTTAGTTCGTCTGTTAATCATTGTCAATATAGCGTATATTTCGACTCGCGGTGCGATTTCAAAGCTCATGATGCGTCTCATGACGAACACATTTGCCGCTCGTTTTGGGCCTGCGCCATTCGCGGAATTGGTGTCTGAAATTCAACATCGATCCCATGCTGATTGGGAACTCATGTACCTCATTGCCGCAAGTTTCTATGGTTGGAGATTGAAGCAATCGTTCTCGGCATTTGCAGATCGTTTGAATTACGCCGGATCCCTTCCTTCCGTGACATATCTGAAATCCATGTTTACGGATTACATGTCCGCTCATCGCATCTTCGTGGACCGTTTCGTGGCCAGCTTGCCTTTGACAATTGCAAAAGCTGATCATACATTTGCGGTATGGATTACTCTATTTTATCCCCGCTCGTCGAGAAGCTCTCTGAACCCTTATGTAGTTCCTTAAGCATATGGGTGGTGTCAAGGGCGAGAAAATATTCGACGCGGCATATACTGTTATAAATGAATTCGAAGAAGTGCGGGGACACTCTCTGACACTGACCAAATCTTTGTCATTCGTGAAAGAGATGTACACGCGGATTCTCCAAGGCTTGGCGGACTCTCAGAATCCCCCTACCCAGATTTTGTATACGGATTCCCCGCGACGTACGCTATTTTCTTGCTAAAATATCTTCTTATGCTGAATGCAAACAGTGGAACGTGTTTTTCACGAAGGAATCAATGCAGAACTGCAAAAGAATGTTACTCCTGTCACCAACTGGTCTGACCTGCCCGCTTTTCGACGCACAGAAAGCATTCTCCCTCAACACATCATGGATGCAGTCGAAATCGAAGCAACCGCAAATGGTATTCTACAGGACTCGATGGAGTCTTCCAGCGATTTACTTCATGTTCTTGCTATTGCCATCAAAGCGACGGATTATGAACGCGGCTTACGGATAGACAGTATCCAAGTCCGTACAGTTGATAAGATTCTTGTCTTTGAGGTACGGAAATCGCTCTTGCTGAAGAACCGAAGACCGAAAGCTAATTCGGGGCTCCATCAGATGACCGCATACAAAACGCGCTCACAATTCCCTCCTTCCCTACTTGCCATTCTCACCAATCCGTCTCTGATCAAAGTCGGGTATGACATTCGTGCATCACTGGAACGATTGGCCTCAGTTTTCAATCTCGCCGATCTTCTGACGGTGCTGCACTCACGGAATCCTCCGATTCTTGATTTGGGAAAGCTCTCCAAATTAAAGGGTGCAGTGAATGATCACACTGCAACGCTTCACGCGTTGGCTGGTGCAGTATTAAAGCGCTGCTACACTTGGTCCAGACTTGGTGACGGACTCTGGGACAAGATCGACTGCCAATGGCAGATTTATGCAAATTTGGCTGCACAGTCCACAGTCGGCTTGCCTCTTTCTCCTGCGCAAGCAACCAAACATGGTCACCCAGTCACTCTTGTCCATGGATGTAAGCCCGTCCTTGAGGGACAGATTATCGGCAATCATTGTGGGTTTCTCGAGACAGTGATGGATGTGCAGGGTACTACGAAGCGAATTAACATCACTGCCAGTCGATCATTAGTTCAGATCAGCAAGGTGAGCGGTTTTTACCCTTGTGCAAGATTCTCCTGACAGATATGTAGGTTCTTGTCCCAGGGGACATCCATTCACTTCATAAACAGACTCTGGAGTGGATTTCAGCTCACGGGACATCGATTGTTGTCTCAACGTCACAACTACGCACTCGAGGGAGATTTGAGCCTGTCAGGGTTCGTCCACTTGCCAATACGATTGGTGTTCCTGCACCGCCCACTGAAGTCACGGATTATCCCGAATTCATTCCGCATATTCCGAACAACGGCTCTCAGTCATCGGAGAATGATAGCCTTTGTGATTTGGATTCTGCCAACTCTGAATCAAACGATGACTCGGATGCGGATGTAGACGAGGATGAGTATGCACAGTTCACATACAACACATTTGATCAGCAGGTCTACTTCGAAGTGGACGCGGTAATTTCATTCACCCACACTTGGAAAATATTCTAATTGCTGCCTAGACGTTGTCCGAGGAATCACTGATTGACAATTTCAACCGTGGGAATTCCTTTCTGCAACGTAATATAAGCTCGCCAGTGCTTCCAAGCCGTGTTCTAGATGATGCCCTACACTTCATGGATCGCGTCTTACGTCTTCTCTCGAAGAAAAACTCTGCATACAAAGCATTTGCCCATGATTTCAGCGAGGCAATTTTCATTCGGGATCAAAGTGACGAAGCTGCCGTCCGTGCTGTACTTGAGAAGAACGGAATCAGCTGGGATTATTTCAAACAAGCAAAGGCATCACAGCTTTATCGTCGAATCCGCCGCATAATCCCCCCTCCCCATATCCTCCTGCCACGCCTTGACAAGCTCTTCAACGCATATTCAAACCTCACGTGCTCCACACGGCAGGGTTCAGGTTCATTCTTCACGCCTGAAGCCCGGGATCAGTGGAAAAATCTCCGTGAAACCGCCAAGCTCGGTTACCTGTCCGATCCTCCCAGTATTCCTCTCTATTATCTCATGGGCAAGGATCGTGATGGGCTGAACATTTATCGCACCGTCTGTGGGACCAATTCGATTGAGGGGGGATTTCACATGGCAATTCGCCGGATCTTTGGATCATTGAAAGCTTCTGCAGAACTTGCAGAATGCCTGCTTGTAAATTGGATTCTACGGAGAAACATCCAGGTTCGTGCCGGATTCCATCCTAATCATAATACAGACTAATAGACAGTTAGGTTGGCTTCCATAACCGTACGGGTTCGAAATATTGTGGGCACTATGCGCTCTGGGACCGTGACGAGATTGTAGAACTTGCCGTTGCGGTTGGCGTCAACCCATCGTTTCCTATCCCTCGTGTTCTTCCAACTCGGATTGCGACAAGCGAAACAATTGGGATACTTCCCATCTCTCAAGACTTGGCATTAGACTTGGATATAGCCACACTCCCTCGACCTCACATCACGGGTGTTCCACATCATCGCGATACACCAGTGCACATGCTCACACATCTCTCGACCAAGCCAACGAACCAATATCGATATCTACAATTGCGACAACTGACACTCTATCCTGTTCTACCCGTGCACACTTTTGCAGAGTTCACCATCTTCAAAGCCCACGTTGACAATCTATCCTTTCGAAAATCTAGTCAAACTCATCTGGGTCACGAACGCTGGAAGAACGTTGATTTTGACAAGTTTGCTGCCTTCTGGAATAAGATGGTCAGCGGACAATCACGCACAGTCACTGACACAAATCAACGACTGTACTACAAAATCCCTCCGCAGCTCGAAGCTCACCATAAACGAGTGATTGCTCGCTCCTCGGAATTGGCAACACTCGCGTCTGGTGGCAATTTCGCGGCTCGACAGCCGTTCTTGAATATGCTTGCCAATACAGCTCGGATGGACGCACCAGCAGCGATTCGGTTTCCATCTGGGTTGCATGAGCTTGACTTGTCCCTTGAAGGTACGCACATCTGTGAATGTTTTGGCTCAGTGAGTTGAGCCTATTGTGATAGAAACATACGATTTTGGATCGTTCACCGCGGCGGCTGGAATCCCCATCGTTCCCGGACATGATGTGGATTACGGCGCTGAAGACTTGCCAATTCCGCCAATAGTGCCAGCGAACGAGGTGCAGAGAGCAGAGGAAGTTCCGAACACAAGGGTGATTGAAAACTCACATCTGGGCCCCGAGATCCAAGACCAAGCAGCGACAGTGGCTCAGCAATTCCCGCAAATTGGACGATTCTCCGCTGTACCCGAACGCCAAACCAAACTTGCAGCGCCTCGCTTCCACCCCTACCAGCCTCAGGTGATGTTTCAATCACAGCCCGCTCAATCCCGAGAAGCAGGAGATGACCGATGCGCGTTGTGCACAAATGACTACTGCGCTCGGCGTTGGCTGTGTAAAGGTAAAGGAAATCGTTCTCGATGCACCTGTGATCATCCCAAGATTGCTCGGACTTTCCGCGTCCGTATTTCTGAAGCCGTCATTGAGGACTTGTATCGGCTGGGCGATGCAGCAGTGGCAGAGGCTCGAAGAAAGAGGAGGGAGAGACAATCTTCACAGAGGAAGTAGACTGAACATGTTCCCGTAGTTCCCATGCCGATACCCAGCGCAGTTGTAAAAGTGAAGTCACTAATGCAAGTGAACACCGAATATGAGCATAGAAAAGCCGGGAGAATGAGAGAATGCAGTCCTGTGTGAGAGTGAAGGAAAGACAGTCCATTGGGATGCAGTGTGGATGTTCTACTCAATGTGTTCCCTGTTCAAAGTGTTCCTCCCCGGACCCAGCCCAAATCCTAGCATCGTCTCCTCCCAGTCTCCCAAGTACGTGTTGGAGCGATCGTGATTGAAAGGCCATGAGAGTCGACAAGACTCGAGATAGATTGCAAGCGAGTGAAGGAAGAGAGTGAAACCACGGTTGCGTTGACAGACAGAGCTTTGCAGGAAGCTTGCGTACTTGGCCGAGTGGGAGACCGGAGCATCTCGGAGTCGGATTTCTCCGAACCGTTCGATGCGAAAAACCTTTGATTACCATTGGCTGAACAGTAGTCCAAATGAGGAGTTAACTCCGAAAAGGCTCGGGCCAAAGTGCCGATGCCGAAATCAAAGATACGCACAGCTTTCAGACTCACGCCAAGTATCCTTCGTTATATCGTGCTACCGCCATCGTTTCGATAAGCCTAGTTTTTCATACAACAAATGAGATTTGATAATAAATTCCCGCTGTGGTCTCCGATTTTCCTTCTTTTTCTGTGTTTGATTAATCTCTTATCATCCACAGACATGAGCCATGAGCCGTACTACAGAATACTTCCTGATAATCAGGGGGGGTGACATGGTATTAGATCCGCGAACCTCGGTCCGCCAATTCGGCTCTTTCTGAACGGTGTTACATATCATCGAGTCCCGTAGAGCTTCATGAATCATCTTCCTGAAATCGGTCACGTTGTTTACTGCTATTTGGCTCGTGTTCAGATCTTCCATGCAATGTAGGGGGTGCTCGTGTTCAATGATAGGGCGTTGACGTAACAGGATCAGAGCTCAAATTTTTCAAATGGAGCGGGACAAGGTGGATCGCAGTGTCGTGCAGGAGCGCCGCGAGCGCCACGCGAGCGGCCCACGTGTCCGTGCGCTGGTCGTACAGATCGAACGCGAGGAAGCGGTCCGGCAGCGTCTCGTACGGGATCGCGTGCGTCGCGGCGAGCCACTCGCCGTAGAGGATATGCCGGCTCGGGAAGTGCACGTCGCGGCCCAGCACGCGGACAAGCGCGGCCCGGGGCGTGTCGACCCACAGCCGGAGCTTCTTGAACTGCTCGTGCGATGCGGGCGACGCGTAATGCGACCAGTCGTGGATACTGCCCGGCGAGTCCAATCATAGAAAGGACCCGAGAACGGGAAAAGCTCGTATATGGGAGAGTCAGGAGACGCAACGACGAGATATCGAAAGAAAGAGGAAGTAATAGGGACTCCGACTTCCTGATGAGGAAGGACCCACTTCTGCGATCACACGTTTTTGGCAGGCGTTGCCGACCACCATTCGTAGGGCTGCGGTGTAAGATGAATCTGTCACTGTAGAGACTGGAATAGCTTGACCGCTGGCCACCCACCGGAGCTAATCGGAGCAATAATCTTTGCTTCCGACTCATTTTGGCAGTAGTTTTGCTCGAATTCCAAGTCTTTCCACTTTCTATATGAGGCTCGAGCTGCTATTTGAGTATACCAAATAGCGACTGGTTCGATTCCAGTGCTATCTAGAGTCTCCCTGTACTATGTAGATCACACCACTGCCCATTCTATGCCATAGATTGGACCGTTTCTTGTCTTGCCGGGACGTTGTAGCTGTCCAAATGCTTCTGAAGACTCCCCACAGATAATATAGAGTCCCCCGGCTTGGAAGTTGTGCTATCACAAAGTTCGACAGTGATGTGTGTACCCACAGTCCGTGTCTGCCGGGTGCGCATTACATTAGCCCATCAGACGAATCTGGGTCTCAAAGGAGAATCCTGGACATATCCACTTCCTTTACCTACGGGCATCTATTTATGTAGCATGCATATTCATCGACCCGAAGCTGTAAAACGTGAGCTTCAGATAGATATCTCTTTCCTTTTGCCCGCGACTCAGGTGATTTTGAGAAGGCTGACTCAAATTTGTTGGCCTCCCAGGATCCGCACATACTCCGCAGGATGGAGGATCATTGTAACAGTAGATACTTCACTATCATTGGCACATCAAAAGCTTGTGCAGTAGGCATAGCCCTGGTGTTCTTTGTGGAATGTTGGTGTGCTGTAACACCACCGGTCCACATGGAGTAAGAAAGCTGTCAGAATAGTTCCAGACAGCGTGAGTAGAGCAAGTTTTTTCATTAACGTCCACACGGCTCTTCAACTGTGCAAGGTTTCCGGTGCATAGATGATCTCAAAGAGCTGATTTTGAGGTAAAAACGACCGTCTTCACTGCAGCATGTGTCTCTTGGTGCACGGAGCCAAAATATTGGACAGATCTTTCGAGACGCTCTCAGCATACACACAGAATCAGGTAGCATGTCCCCCGCGCGGCCACAGGTAACAGATCGAAGGAACGTGACGACCCATAACGGCCGTTGAACGTGACATTCAACTTCTTCACTGATCATGATTATGTCCTTAACGGCGGACGAGCTCCAAACCGAAAACACGCCTCCCAAAACGCTACTCTCTTGCACTGAAATCAATTTCTCTGGCAAGTAAATCTGACAATCCGAGGCTTCAGGTCGTGAACCTCATGTACAGAACGGTTTGACGCTGATGCCCCGTTCGGGGCATGGCCAGAAGATTTTAGGTTTTCTTCGGAGTTCGGGATGCCGGAAGCAGCCAACCGAAGCCGCAATTTTATGTTCGTCAAAGGCACTCGGAAGATCTTTTTCAAGATGATGCTCGTTCCCGAGCAGATCACCCGAGAGGCCGCTATCGTACAACTGGCGGGAGACTGCGCAGTTCCCTTCATCGGACGCCTCTTCGCGACGAATGACGATCGCGTGGTGGGAGTGTTGATGCCATGCGAGACTGTGCTCTCAGCCGCACTGCCCACGATGCTCAAGAGGGAACGCGTCGGCCTCGCACACGAGCTGTGCGCGTTAACGCAGCAATTTCACGCCAAGGGGCTGCTGCACGGTGACATCAAACCAGACAATATCCTCCTCTGCTCGGACAGTACGCTCCGATTCTGCGACTTTGGCTACTCGTGCGTCGTTGGTGACGGCTACGAGACAGACGGGCCGACGCTACCTTACTCGCCTGCCAACCGCGCGCGCTCGGGTGGATTGGCACCGCCCACCCTTGCTGAAGACCATTATGCGCTCGGGATGAGCTTGTGGCACATCTACATGGGCCGCGACGACTTCTGGGTGGAAGGATTCAGTGCATCATCCCCCGGCGAGCCTGAATCCGAATATGCGTACCAAATCATGGAGGATGCGACAAGCTTTGGTCGGCGTCCCGATATGAGCCGCATAGACGATTCAGATATCGCACAGCTCATCGTCAGGTACCTCGACATGGGCCCAGTAGTCGATGACGAAGACATCCAGGGAGGGGCATCTTGCTGGCACAAGACATATCGTCTTCGAGACTGCCAGTGCGATCCGCGCTGTACTTTCGTTCGCAGAATTCCTTGCCGCGATTGCAACTTGTTTGGGTACCCCGCTTGTCCCTATCTGTATGCGGAACCTGTCATACGGGACCCCAGAGCTGATACGCCTGTTTGTCCCCGAGTGAGGGCTCAATCGGACTCTGACTCGTAGCTTTTATGCATCATGCTATTCTCCATTGTTATCATCGCTTTCGTTGGCTAGATTTCGCGATGTCGTGTGGTCAAAAGTGTCCCCAATCTGGCCCTAACCCTAGTGGATTGCCCGTCCATCGGATGGACCAACGTGATCGTGATCCGTCGTAATTTCTCTCCCTGACCAAAATGGCCAAGGGCTCCCAACTGAGCCAGCTCAAATCCGCGCTATCCAATGCGGGCATCACAGGCCCCCCGCAGAACAGCAAGAAGCGCAAGCGCGCCGCACCCGTCTCGCTCGAGAAGGACCGCGCCAAAAAGGCCGCGAAGCTCGACGAGATCCACCGCCGCCTGAATCCGTTCGACGAAAAGGTCACCCGGCTCAAGCACGACGTCGGCGGGCGTAAGCTCAAGGGTGTCACGGGGAAGCCGTCGCAGAGCAAGCAGGCTGGGCTCGACCAGGTGCGTCGCCCTTTCCGTCTAGGCGCGATAACCAGTGCCCGACGCTTGCCTGCAGCGGAAAAAAACGCTGCTCAAGGAGTTCGAAGAGCGGGGCCGCGCAGGAGGGATCGTCGACCGACGGTTCGGAGAGAACGATCCGACAATGGGGCTTGAAGAGCGCATGCTGGAGCGGTTCACGCGCGAACGGCAGCAAACGATGAAAACGAATGTATTCAATCTGGAGGACGAAGAGGACTTGACGCATTACGGGCAAAGTCTCTCGAAGATGGACGACTTCGATCCTGTGGGTATCACGCTAGACGACGAGGATGAGGAGGAGACGGGAGCTGGTGAAACACCCTCCGTTCGAGAGTCGAGATACCAGCTTACCCTTTCTAGGTAAAATCGATGCGGACGTCGTGAGAAGGACTCATTTCAAGGGTTTCTCTGACGATGAGGACGAGGAGGAAGACGTATGTATCCCGTCTATCTCCAAACTCACGCTCCTCACATCCACCCACAGCCCGACCGACAAAAGTCGAAAGCCGAAGTCATGGCAGAAGTCATCGCGAAAAGCAAGGAGCATAAGGTATGTCCAAACCCACTCCAGATTCTGCCCCCCCTGAGCTTTATGCACCCAGATGCGCCGGCAAATGGAGCGCGAGGAAGGAGACAACGTCCGGCACGAGCTCGATCAGGAATTCGACGCGCTCCGCGCCCTCATCTATGCTCCGGACCCATCAGCGTCCGGTAGCAACTCCATCCCGCTCGGCGAGGGCGCACCTCTCAAGTCCGTCGAAGCCACGATCGAAACCCAGGACGTAGACTACGACCAGCGGGTACGCGAGCTCGCGTTCGACGCGCGCGCGAAACCGAAGGACCGCACGAAGACGGAGGAGGAGGTCGCGCTCGCGGAGAAGGAGGCTCTCGAGAAGGCGGAGCGGCAGAGGCGCAAGCGGATGCTGGGGCTCGAGGACAGCGACAGCGAGGACGAAGGCGGGCGGTCGAAGAAGAAGCGCAGACGCGGTGGTGACGATTTGGACGACGATTTCCAGGACGACGAAGAGGATTGGGGTGGTATCGGCACTGGACTGGATGTCCAAGGTGCGGCTGATGAGGAAAGCGACGAGGATGAGGATGACGAGGATAGCGACGAGGATGAGGATGAAGGGGAGGACGAGGATGGAGAAGGAAACGGAGACGAGGATGACGATGAAGAACCAGAGTCCGAAGTCGAGGGCGACCACGAGGAGCTCGTCGCATCGTCAAAAAAATCCAAGGACAAAGGCAAATCACGAGCAAAAGAACTGCCTTTCACGTTCCCCTGTCCAGACACGCACGAGGAGCTCCTCGAGATACTAGAAGCTGTCGATGAAAAGGACGTGCCCACCGTCGTGCAACGGATCCGGACACTGTATCACACGAGTCTGGCGCCAGAAAATAAATTTAAGCTGCAGACCCTGACATCTGTGCTCATCGACCACATCCTGTACATATCCTGTCCACCGTCCCCGAACTTCCCGCTCGTGACCGCCCTCCTCCCTCACCTCTTCCCCATGGTCCGTGCCTATCCGATCCCAGCAGCGCAGAGTTTCGTCGCGAAGCTCACGCTGATGCACAAGAACCTCCGGCGGGGACTGTCGCGCGGCGCGCTTGACCCAGAGTCCAAGACGTGGCCGGGCCTGCCGGAGTTGACACTCCTGCGCGTTATTGGGGCGACCTGGCCGACGAGCGACATGAACCACGCCGTGGTCTCGCCGACGCGTGTGCTGATGGGCGCGTACCTGGGGCTGGGCCGTGTGCGGTCGTTGAGCGACATCGCCAGCGGCCTGTTCGTGTGCACGCTCTTCCTGCAGTTCGAGCAGCTGTCGAAGCGGTTCGTGCCCGAGGCGGTCAACTTTGCGATCAACAGTGTGTTGCATCTGGCCCCGCATGGGTACAAGGATGCAGCGGCACTGCCTGGTTTCTTCGCGGCGCCGGACTTTCGGTCCGATCTGTGCCGACCGCTCGCTATGAACCGTAAGGGAGCCCCACAGGACGTGGGGAAGGCGGAGCTCGTCAAAATCCTCACTGCGGATAAACCCACGGAGGAATCCAAGGCCCAGCTCTTGGTCCTCGCCGTCAACGTTCTTGGGCAATTTGCCGACATGTACAAGGGGCTTGAGGGCTTTATCGAGCTGTACACACCGATCCTGGAGATCCTCACTCACGTCCGGGACACCATCAGTCTCAAAGTACGTGGATACCCAATTCAGAAACTAGAACCAACTGACGTGCGTTACAGACGCAACTGACTGCGACGACAGACATGATCACGCGGTTGCTCAAGTTCGCGCGGGAATCGCGGCAGCCGCTGCTGCTGCAGGCGCACAAGCCCATCCCCATCCCGACCTACGTGCCCAAGTTCGAAGCGACGAAGTCCAACTACCTGCGGCGGCAGGACCCGGACCACGAGAAGAACGAGGCTGCGAAGCTGCGGAACCAATACAAGCAGGAGCGCAAGGGCGCGATCCGCGAGCTGCGCAAGGACGCGCGGTTCCTGGCGGGTGTCGAGCAGGCGAAGCAGCAGGAGAAGGATAGGGCGTACAACGACAGTCTGCGGAAGGTGTATGGGTCGATTCAGACTGAGCGGGCGGAGGAGAAGGCCATGGACAGGGAAAAGGCGAAGGACAAAAAGCGGGCGGGGAGGAAGTAGACATGTGATAGCTCGCCTGCATCTCAGCGAAGGAACGGTTCATTGCGCGAAAAGGTCAAAGATGACATTAATATGATTGCAAGCTAGGGAAAAACGCAGGAAAGCTATGGACCTGTCTCATTTTATGGCTATTTTTGTAAATGGTCTGTGGTCTGCGGCGCAAGGCTGTCGTTGGGTGTGCAGCACGTCCTGTCACGGATCACATGTAAAACGTGACGTTCTAGCCTGATCACTTGCACTGCCACTACGCTGTCCAGCCCCAACTGAGCGCCCACGGTTGCGCAACCGTATCGACTGATAGTCACATTCCAGTGGCAGCTGGCAGATTCCACCACAGCTGCCACACACGTGCTTCTCTTGGATGACTTGCTGTATGGATCCCGGGTTGTGGTCAGGTGCGCGGATAGGCGGAGATGCAGTGTAATGGAGCTCGCCCCATTCCATCCATAAGCCACCAGTGTCCAAGCACGCACAGGCCGCCACTGTCTCGTAGCCTATGGGGAGGCATTGCACCCGTCCAGGATGCAGTCCCGGTGGATCACCTGGATGACGGACATCCGTGAAGACTGATGAGGGTCTCGTGCCACTTGCGGACCCAGATTCTGCAGCGTTCGCGTTCTTCAGCGCATGCCACATGAGCATTCTGGGCTTCTTAAGGCTCCGAATTACGCATCCGGCTCCGACTTGCATCCGCGCCGCGGCTCCGCGCTGCGCCCTGTTGACCGTGGTGCGCTGCGCATGCCCAGGCGGCGGGCGATAGCTCGCTTTTGCGTCTCCTCCGGCGCCTCGTCATGCCGTGTTGGACTCGGGAAGGCGGGGGACGAGTTCCTCGTCATGTCTTCTCCCTCAGCGGTCCGTTGTGCTCCGACTTGGTGGTGCTTCGATGGCCTTCAGTACTCAGGTGCCCCACCGATCAGGCTTCTCCATCATAAGGACGCAGCGTCATCTATAAAATGGGACTTCGTCCTGCGCTGCTCCTCCAAGAAACGCAACCATGCTTAGCGTCCTGACCGGTGCGCTGTTGCTTACCCTGGGCTCTGCTCAGACCCGTGAGTCCCGGTGCACGTTCTAACGCCCTTCTGCCGCTGACCGTATCGACAGTTGCCCCGAAGAAATACCTCCCCATCCCGCTGGGTGGGATTCGGGCGAGCGGATGGCTCCAAGACCAGCTAATGGTCCAGACCAACGGGCTGGCGGGCCACGAGCACGAGTTCTACAACTAGTACGCCCTGTGTTCTTCGCGGCCGCTCAGGCGTCTGACGTCATGCAGTGTTGCACAAACCGACTGGATGGGCGGAAACTCGTTCTACTCCAATCTGGAAGAAGGCGAGCATGGCTTTTCTTGGTATGGACGAGTATCTAATGGCTGGACAGCGGGCAGCTACTGGTTCAACGCGATGGTCCCCAACGGCTTTCTGGCCAACAACTCCGCGATCAATGCCAGAGTGTCTCAGTTCCTCACGTACGTCCTCGACCACCAGGACTCGACCGGCTGGTTGGGCCCTGAGGTCAACACGACGAAGCCGCGCTACCTCTGGGGCAGGTGAGATTCCCCACATTGCCTCCTAGTGTCCGTAGGCTGACTCGGCCCGCCAGATACCCCTTCTTCTTCGGCGCTATGCAGATGACGGAGATCCACCCTGAGGTCACCACCCAGGTCGTCGATGCGATGTACAAGTTTGTGACGCTCGCCAACTCGATGCTGCACAGCAAGAACACGGGAGTGGAGGCCTGGACCGCGACTCGCTGGTGCGCCGCGTCTTATCTTGTCTCTCCGACCCTCATCTGATCTGATCTCGTGCACAGGGAGGATTTCGTGATGGCCCTGCAGTGGTGCGGATCGGTGCCCTTTGAGCCGAGGGGTCGTGTCGGATGGCTGACGCTTCTCTCAGGCTGTTCGACAACCACCCCAAAGATGCGACCAGCCAGGCACTGCTGATCGACACGATGAAGCAGCTCAAGTACACGGGAGTGCCGTGGGAGAAGGTGTTCCTGCCCCAGGTAAGCTGCCGCCGCTGGGTGATGTCGCGGTGCTTGACTATTTCTGCAGTACTTCCCCACCGGAGCCGGTGAGTAGTAAGCGGAAAGTATTCTGGATGCATGGCCTCAACTTCATATTAGTCGAGAACACGCCCAACCCCTTCAATCTGCCGCTCACGGTGCGTGTCTCCTCCACTCCAAGTCTACTCGGCTGATCCTTGATGTAGTGGCACGGTGTCAACTTGGCCGAAGGACTGAAGGCTCTCCCGGCGACGTATCGGTTCACGCAGAACCAGTCTGGTCCGTGCTGCATCTCATCATTGGACGGGAATTTTACAAATCTTACGCAGATCTCAACGTCGCGAGCCAGGGTTGGGATCTGCTTTTCCAATACCACGGTCGCCCATCTGGTATCTATGCTGCCGACGAGTATCTCGCGGGTCTGGAGGCTATCCGGGGGTGAGTCTCTGGTGTTTTAATTGGCAACATCCCGTTCTGAGGGGATCTAGCACGGAGCTTTGCCTTGTTGTCGAGACCATGTTCTCCGGTTCCTTCATGTACCAGGTCATGGGCGATCCCAAGTTCCCCGATCGGGTCGAGAGAATTGCGTACAACGCGCTCCCTGCCACGCTTACTGGCGGTGAGTGCCGTTGTTTCGATTATTGGGATCATCCGCTGAACGAGATACTTGCACAGATATGTGGAACCGCCAATATCTGCAGCAACAGAACCAGATCTTTGCCGGAAACATGGGTAACAACCCTTTCCCTCTGGACGGACCGTACTCGAACGTCTTTGGTCTCGAGCCGAACTACCCGTGAGCTGCTGCTGCTTTGTCCCTAATTGCAACCAGGTCTAATCGAAGTCAGATGCTGCACCGTCAACCACCCTCAGGGCTGGCCGAAGTTCATCACCAAGTGCGCATGTTTCACTCGTGTTTTTCTCATATTTTCATCGTGTCTCAGCGCATTTGTGACGACTCCGGACAAGAACTCCTTGGTCCACCTGTATCTGGGGCCGTTCACCACTTCCGTCACACTCGGAACTTGTATGTCGCTCTCCTGTTTTTGCGGTCGCATCTGACCAGAGACGCAGCCAACACCGTGTCGGTCAATGTTGCGACGTGAGCTCCGGCCGTTGGGATGAAAAATTGAGACTGACAGGGATTCCATTCCAGACTATATCCATTCTCGGACACCCTGACCACGACGATCAACGCCCACGCCGCGTTCACATACTACGTTCGTATCCCCAGCTGGGTTGTGAACGGCACCATCGCCATCAACGGGGGCAAAGCCACAGCCGTTTCGCCCGTCAATGGACTGCAGGCCGTCTCCGCCAAAGCCGGAAAGACTACGTTTGTCCTCAACCTGCCCGCCGCTATCACTATCGGTGCGTTCGCTCACATGGCAAATCTCCCCGATCTAACACCAAATCACAGAATCCCGGCCTCACGGCTCGGTTGCTGTCCACCGTGGTCCGCTCAACTATGCCTTTGACAGTAAGTATCCGAACGAGCACTTCGAGCCGCCATCCAAGCGCTAACACCGCACGCCCAGTCCCCCGCCGCACGACCGTCCTCGCGACGAACGCACAGCAGAGCATGGCGCAGGACTTCGAGTTCGACTCGACCGCCGCGTGGCAGTACGCGATCGACCCGAACAGCCTCAAGTTCGCCTCGAAGCCGCCGTCGTCGGGTGTCCTGCCGTCGCCGGTGTTCGACTCGGGCCTGACGCCGCTCAGCATCACCGCGACCGCGTGCGTGGTCAGCTGGGGCGTCGCGGGTGCGACGTACGCCGCGAGCCCGCCGACGAGCCCGGCATGTGTCGGGAACAAGACGACGATCACGCTGACGCCGTATGGGGTGAGTGGGCTTCGTTGTTCCAGGGTGTTTTGGTGCTAATTGTCTTTTACCTAGTCCACGAAGCTGAGGATCAGCGAGTTCCCTGTGTTTGCCTAGTTCTGTATTGCTTGTTGTGTGTAGTTTTGTGGTATCAGAAGTCAAATCGAATCGAATCGAATCATCTTATCAATACTGTACATCAGATGTGTCTAGTCAACTGAGCCGCGACGTTTCACCAGTCGTGGGTATGTCGAACGTAACTAAACTACTTGCTATACACGAACGTCTTCTATATGTGGGTAATAGATGCTTTTAGGGTATATGGTTTCCGATATGTAGATTAGGGATCCAAAGTCTATCTCTTCGAGCGACTCATCGTCCGGCCATGCCGCTTGTCACTGCCACTCCCCGTGCTGCTGCTGCCGAGCAACCGCTTCCACCAACCGCCGTGATGTTCCTGCACCGGATGCGGCGCGGGCGGATACACGAAAGCCGGCTGCTGTGCTTGTGGCACCACAACGTTGGCGTACTACGATCGATCGATCAGTCAGTCAGTCATGAAATCCCGTCGTACGTCATGTGAAAAACTCACGGCAGCTTGCACCTTGCCCGTCCGCGGGTCTATTATCCACGCCGCCGGCTGCTGCACTTGCTGCTGCATCGGCTGCTGCATCTGCATCTGCGCTTGCGGCTGCGGCTGGAAGTACCCGCCCCCGCCCGGCTGCGCGGCGTTCACCTGGTACACCCCGTGCGGGCTCTGCACCTGCACGACGTACCCGCCGCCGCCGCCGGATGTATGCGTCCGGCGGTGGTTGCGCGCGCGCGCGCTGGTATGCCGCGAGGGCGAGTGGGACTGCGCGCGCGCGTGGTGGCCGCGGCGCGACGTGGGGGCCATGACCTGCGAGATGGAGTCGTTCGGGGAGACGAGCGTCATGGTCGCGAGCGTGTTGGCGCGCAGCGGCGAGCGCATGACGGGCTCGTGGTTGTCGTGCGAGTACGAGCGCTGCGGCTGGCGGCGGTCGTGCTTCGGGTGCGACTTGGACGACGAGCGGGACGAGGACGAGTGGCGCGACGTCGATGGCGAGCGGTGCCTGTCCCGGCTGGAGGTGTGGTAGGAGTCTTGCACGTCTGAGCGGGGAACGAACGGCGATTTGTACTTGTGCGAGTTCGCAGCGGTATCCGTAGCCCAGTTAGAGATACGCTGCTGCGTGCGTTGGTATTGTTGCGCCGCCTGTGGAGAATAATCGTATTCCGACATCGCGGGCGTGGGTGTCTGTCTATGCAGTAATCTAGTGTGGTGGAAACAAGAGGGGTGGGACTAGCAATCAACGTAAGCACGAGAAGCCCTGGAAGCGTGGAAACGGTGCTGGCAGCTGGGTCGAGCTTTTTATACGGCACGCCCACAAATGAAGCCAGAAGCGTGTTTGCGGGGCCGTGGTATGCCGAGGATACTCACGAGCTGTGTTGACACGCCTGTTGCCCTGCGTCAGGTCAGATCGCCCAGGGATAGCACCAGTGCTAGATCCGTGCGGCGTGGGATCAGACGAGGAAGGTGAGCGTCGGGAGCAAGTGTGTGGCCCGACGCCTCGGTTGCCAGATGGTGGTGGGGTAACCCATTTGGGGACAAGGGAGCTGATTGTTCCCTCGGCTATCACCGAGCTCTGCCCAGCCCCTTGCACGTGTTCCGCCACTCACCCAAGGGATGAATTTCTATCAGCTGGAAGTAAATCTCCGTCCGCGTAGTCCCTCCTCTCTCTTGCCCTGAAGGAGATGATGTGTCTCTGAAAATTTTGTATGTCGACCTCGATCGAGGTCCGCCCGAGACATCTGCCAGGGATTGACTCGATAGCGAGGCGCCCTGCTCCGAGTTCACGGCGTTCTATGACATGCGCACCATGCATAAGTAAACCACACTGCATCTGAAGACACAGAATTTGATGTCTGCTCTCCGTTAGACTTCGGTTCCTCCACCCTCATGCGTCATCTCGCCACACTCGCCTCACCGCTGACCGAATTTTAGACTTTTCGAAAGCGGTGACGCAAACCCCGCGAGAGTTAGACTGCTGGGACCTAGATTTACATAATCAGCGCTTTCCTACTAGGTTGCCAATCTGGATTTGTCTGACACCAAGTCCGGTAGGGAGGGGCAACTGCACTGAAGATTTCCATATCTTCATCGCTGGAGGCAATACAATCCTGGATCTAGAGGCGGCTCGATCAACTGAGCCGTAGTCATGTCGATGCTACCTTGGTCACTGGATTGAAGCGATCAGTGTTGAAGAATCTACAGATTGTCATTGATGGGCAGGTGTATCATCCCATCACGTGATCGCGTTTGAGGTTTGGCATTCACATCGCATTTCCTGGCGGTTGGGCGCACAATCGAATGCTTGCTGATCAACTTGCAGCGCTGTCTGACTCCTGAATTGACGTAGATATCTGACGGAGCAAAGAACCACTCGGAAGCAGGACCGACCATGTCGGCCTTCAAGCTTAAAAGTCGGTAATGTCGGTGAGATAGCCCAGACCGTGAAGGAGCTCTTCGGCATTTCTTGTCCTCCTGACTCCGAAAAAAAACAGCGAGAAAATGATTACACAAGTGCTGTGCTTCGCTGCGGATGACCAGGCTCAGACGGCTGGTGCTGCTGTGGAAGCGGAAAGCTGACCGAAGTCCCATGACATAATTAGCAGTCAGGCGCGTCACAAGCAGAGGGTAACGTCACTCGGTAACGCCAGTTCTTGGCGTCGCTTTTGCCATGGACAACGAGCTGCCCTCCAATTCGACGTCGACCTACTTCGGGGACTCCCCAGACGTGGACACACGGTCGTGTCGTCTGCTCGGGCCCATAGCGCTGGTGCGATTCTACGCCATCCCCCCCTGGCGCAGTGCTCACATCACCGCGCAGATTGTGCAGGGTCTGCTCGGGATCCTCGTCATTCTGTCCCTTGTGCTGAAGAGGCAGCGGGAGAAGCCTATGCGCCCGTGGAGGATATGGTGCGCACATCCCCTGTGGTCTTAGTCTGCCCACACGTAACCGACCGAGCAACGCGCAGGCTTTTCGACGTCTCGAAACAAGTTATCGGGCAGATGTTCGTGCACGGCGTGAACGTGCTGATTTCCGACCTCGTCTCGCACCACACCTCAAATAACGCCTGTGTCTCCTACTTTCTCAATATCTTAATTGACACCACTCTCGGTATGTGGAGTCGCCCTGTCGAGACATATATAGACAGCCCACTTATGCCCGAGCAGGTGTCGGGCTACTATATGTCATCCTGCAAGTTTATACATTCATCATGACGGAAAAACTGCAAATGCAAGGCTTCCAGTCCGGCGTTTATGGGAACCCGCCGTCGTTCAAGTTTTGGCTCCGGCAAGCGACGCTGTACGTTTCAGCCCTGACGACCATGAAGTTCCTCGTGATCGGGCTGTTGGCGCTGTTCCCGGGACTGTTCACGCTGGGTGCGTGGCTGCTGAGCTGGACGTGGAAGGCAGATGGCGATGCCTTGCAAGTCATATTGTGCGTGCCACAGCGACTCGTATTCGCATGCTTAGTTTCGCTGACCGCGACTTCCGTAGCACGATGGGAATTTTCCCGATTTTGATGAACATAATACAATTCTGGCTCATTGACTCTATAGTCAAAGCCTCAGGGGTCGCATTGGATCTCGACACCCCAGACCCACTCGACCGTGAGCCGTTGTTCGGGGCCCCGGACGACGATGATGACAGAGACGGCACCCCCAACTCATACACGCATCGGGACACCGAGAGCCATCCGCACCACCACGACGTCTCATCGCCGTCCAGCAGCGTCTCCGATTCCTCCGAAACGTTGGGCACGCCAGCAGAGACCAAGTCCGCCGCTCCCGGCGACGACCACGCATATCCACCCTCGTCGTCATCGTCGCCCTCCTCGTCGTACAGCTCCCAGCCTCCGTTGCGCGAAGCCAAGAAGCTGGGCAAGCCCAAGCGCCGGCCGCCGCCCCCGATCCACATCCAGAACATGAATCGCCCCGCAGTCAACTCGCCGTGGCAGACACCGAAACCGGCCCCGTCGCCGGCGCCAGCGCCAGCGCCGGTGCCCGCTGTGGTGCCCGCAGCCCAGGACAACTCGTGGAGCGACTCCTGGGCTGAGGAGGATGACTGGGCTGACAAAGTCGGGGAGGAGGAGTGGACCGGCAAGAGGATGGAGGAAAGGAAGGGTGCGCTGTCTGCGTGGGGCTCAAGTAGTCCGCTGGTTAATAGAGCTGTTCAGCAGTCGTTTCAAACACGATTTTTAGCTAGTAGTTTGTAAAATATGAGTGGAGCTTAGAAAAATCTGAGCTACACACAACACCGGATGAACGCCGGGAACTCCGTCACCACGATCATGTGATGAGCCGAGCGGCCAAACCACCACTTCATTTCCTGTCCTCATCTGAACTCAAACTCCATGGCGGAGGATGCCGTCTTTCCTCACCAACGCTGTAAATTGAATCCTTGCGGTTGTTCTCGGTCTTCTCGCCAATATGGAGGACAACGATGTCTTCAATCTGCTTACACGTGCAGAATGATCAGATCCGTCTTCGGTGGCATGTTTCCTTTTCGGTCAAAATTCGGCCTCGGTACTATTCCTACGACACTCCACACCTAAGTAATTGGGAAGTAAAGTCTACTCCACAACCAGGAAACTCGTAAAAAACAAATCGATTTTTTGGTTCTGCTGAACAGCTCTAATACGATACGTGTTGCATAACGAGCATGTGTGTACTTAATGGAAGATTTTATATCATAGACTTGGACACTAACTATCACGCCCCCGATCATGATCATATCGTGCTGACTGCATCTGTCTCTCGAATCGCATATATAGAACGTACGCGCTGCATGGCTCGCTTCGCATGGAAAAGTCCCCATATCTACATTCACACTACATACACTACTATGCTACGCAATTACAGATCTAGTTCCATCAAAGCAGTCAAGAACCTCTCCGCCACGTTGTCCGGCTCCTGCCGCGCCATCTCAATCAGACTGAGCAGCTTCTTGATGCCAATCTGCAGCCGCGACGTGGGGTCATTCGCCTTCTGGTCGAATCCAGCATCGCGCAGCATGTGCATCAGGTCGCGGTACTGCGCGTCCGAGTCGAACAGCTCGACCTCCCGCATCACGTGCTCGACGGCGGCGAGAGACGTGATCGGCGGGACACGCATCGTCACATCAAAGTCGACGAAGCCCAGGTCGGTGAGGATCGCGCGGTTGGAGGTCGTGGCGATCACCAGCAGTCGGCGGTTCTTCGGCGGTCGCCGGCCAACCAGGACCATCAGCGCCTGGAGAAGTGAGTTAGAGAAACGCGCGCCCATCGGTGACCATTCTGAAGAAAGAAGAAAGTGTGAGCAGGAAGATCAGACATAGGATAAGAGAATAGTACCGATAAGTCGCTCGATGTTGTCGATGACAACGACACTGAAGGGACTCTTGTTGCTGTCAGCAAAGACTTTGGCCATGGCGGAGATCTTCTGCGCCTCGCCCATTCCGACCATGTTGTCTGGCGTGATGAGCTTGATGAACGGGAACCCGGACTCTTGCGCAATGGCAGCCGCCAGCGCGGTCTTGCCAGCACCAGGAGGACCGTGGACAAGCATGCTGACCATCGGAGCACGCGTCGACGTGCGAACCTGCTCCACCAGCAACGCACCAGAGCGCAACAGCTCGGCCACGTTCCCATCGAACTGGATGATCCCGTTCTGGATGACCGACTGCAGTTCTTCTTCAGACACACCGAACGCCGGGTGTACCTCATCCAGTGCCCGCATAAAGTCGCTTCGATTGACCATCATGCTCTCAACGTCGTCGCTGATTCCCGCCATCGTGCCCACTTTCACGTGCCGGTTGAATGCAAAACTGGTCGCGCTCTTCACGAGGCCGTTGATCTCGGCACCGGAAAAGTTCTTGGTCATGGACGCCAGCTCGGGCAAATCCACATCGTCGTCCATCACTCTGTTTGTCCTCATTTTCGCCGTGTGGATAGTGAGAATCTGCAGACGGCCGTGCTCGTCGGGAAGCGAGATTTCCATGTGCACCTCGAGACGGCCGGGACGCAACAAGGCCTCATCAATCATGTCCTTTCGGTTTGTCATACCGATGATCAGAATATTGTTCAGTGCGTCGACACCATCCATCTGGTATGCGTCAGCGCCGGACCATATAAGCAAGCGGTTATCACAAACCTTGGACAAAAGTTGGTTGACCACGGTGTCGCCCACACCAGTGCCGTTGTTAGTAGACCCACGCTGCTTGAAGATGGCATCCAGCTCATCGAAAATGATGATGTGCAGCTCGCTCTCGTCACCCTTCGCTTTGTACTGGGATGGGATATTCAGTTCCTATCCAAAAAACGAGCAAAATATCCACACCTCCTTCTCAGCATCCTCAAAGAGCTTTCGGATGTTCTCTTCGGAAGCACCAACGAACTTGCTCAGAATCTCAGGGCCATTGACGATTTTGGGTTCCCGAGCATTGAGCATCTTCCCAATTTGCCGTGCAATCAGTGTCTTTCCCGTGCCTGGGGGACCGTACAGCAGCAGACCCTTGACGTGGGTGATACCGAGCTTCTCCACAAGCCCTGGCGGGAAAACACGCGAGGCGAACGCGCGACGGAAGATCTCGTTGAACTCCGTGTCCAATCCACCGATACCCATGTCCTCGAACTTGAAGTTCGGCGCCAGGATCGCATTCGGGGGCGCCTTCTTCCCGCTCGCCTTGATGTTGAGCCCATTCGCCTCGGCCGATTTCATGACCGTCACGTCCGTCTTTTCCATCAGGATGCCGTACGTGCGCGGATCGGGACCCATGTCCGCGCGCCGGCCTCCGCGCTGCTGCTGCGGCTCCGCGAGCTCGAGGACGGACAGCCCCTTGACCATGACCCGGATCGTCTGCCCGTGGAAGTCGAAGATGAGCCATTCGCCGGTCGCGATGACGATGCCGCTGTACGCCTTGACGAAGTTGCGCGCGAGGTCGTCCGCGGAGAACTGCTGGCTCGTGTCCGTCTTGCGGAAGTACGCCATCTCGAGGTCCAGCGACTGCAGGTAGTCGGGCTGTGGGCAGGGGTCGAGCGATACCTTGTCGCCCTGCACCGCGAGTCCGATCCATTGGCGGTGCATCGCAGACACGCCGACGCTCCCTGATCGCAGCTTCCCTGTGTCGTCATGGCTGGGGGGATGGGTCGTCAGACGCGATGGGACGGGATCCGCAATGCTCACATCGTCGTCACCGGGAACTGTCCGTTGCACAGGAGATGCTCGCCCGCCTGGAAGTCTGACGGATGCACTATCAGTCGATTCGTCAGTGCGAGGCCGTTTGAGGTGGACCCTTCGACCCCGAAGCTGCAGTACAGTTAGATGGACACGACACGAGGCAAGCGCCCGTACCTGCCTCCTCCTCCTCCGGACGATGGCGGTGGCGGCCTACCGTATCCGCGCTTCTCGAACGAGCCATTCGGGGGATCGTTATACCCCGAGGGCGGTGCACGATTTTGCATCGATTGCGGTGATGCTCCTCGCGAATCGTACTGGGATGAAGGTGGGACCCGGCGAGGACCGTTCGGTAACGAGTTGTAGTTCCCTGGGCCTGGTGGCGGGGGGTTGGAGCCTCCTCGGAAGAAAGACATCTTGTAGCGCAGATAGGGCGGTTCTTGGTTAATGGGTTGATTTACGTCGCGACGTGTAAACTGCGCGCGTCGTGGATAGTGCGTGGAGGGTCGTGGTATGAGCTATGCAATGATGCAGTGTCGTCGGTCGGCATCACCAATTCGGCGATTTCCGGTGAGCGATCAGATGGTCACAATGTGCGGGACTTCAAAGTTGAGATCGAGATTTGCACCTTGCACGTCGATGGATCGCACACCCGACTACTTGAACTGAAGATCTTGTTTCTTAACGCGAGCTACCCTCATCTTTTCTGGATTGGCTCAAGCCGTACTCATCCCCAATGCAGTTGTCCATTTGTGCATGTGAGTATTACTGCAAAATGAGAGAGACATCCAGATCACCGCTGCAACAAATATACACTGTTGAAGATTCCCGCCCATGTTAATTTGACAGCCAGCGGCTAGTTGGTCTTTCACGTGTGAGAGTGACTTGCAAGTGTATTCGAGTCAACATGCCGGCAATCTCCGACCATGCTGACCTTCCACGACCTCAATGAAGATGTTGTTCTGCGCGTCCTATCGTTCTGCGACGTCTACACTGTCTTGACATTCTCAACGGTACATACACTACTTGACCTCTCAAAATACCCCGTCTAGCTGCTGACCACAAGGATTGAAAGCTCAATCGTCACAGCCACAGCTTGACACAGTCGACTACGCTATGGCTCGCGCTCGCTGCGAATCTCGGCGCGTATTTCTCCGATGCCAAGATCGCCGCTCTGCGTCGCTTGCCCAGAAATGGCATCATAGAAGAGCTGAAGAAGCTCGTCTGCGGGCCCGCAGCGATCTCCGGCGACCTCACTCTCACGGAGCACTCGCTACCAGATCCCACCGGAGCAGTCGACGGCTGGACCAAGTGCAAAGTGCTCCCGGGTGGAGAATTCATCATGCTCGACAACATCGACGCGCTGACTTGCGTCTGGCGACAGACCGGCGAGATCGTCTGGCGCAAGGCAACACTTTGTCTCTGGGCGTATGAGATGGACCAGGACTCGGCAGGAGACATCCATCTTGCGGTTCTTACCATTGGCGATGGGGGTGCTAATCCATAGTATGTGGCGACATTTGTACCCGTACGCGGGGATGCTGAACGAAAACTCAGCAGCATGACCGTGGTCCATTTGCAGCGATCCAGTGGCCAGGCTCGAGTGACGTTTTCCTCGGATGTTCCCATGCGCCGGACAGACCCCATTCACGCTGTCGCTATCCATGGCTCGTATGTAGGTGCTTTGTGGGAGGATGGGCCTCTCCGAATCGGCGGTGCTATTATTACCAATTGGGTGACCAGGAAATGGCTTGCTGTCGAACTGGACGCTCCTCGCTCGGTACTTTATCTGCTGTTGCAGCGCCATCCCCGATGATTGACTTGTTACAGACTCCGAGCATGCGCATCCTACCTGGACACTTCATCTTCTTATCGGCTGCCATGAAAGCCAATCAGCAAGGGTCATATGAGGATATACTTCACGTCTACCCCATCTCTCGATTTGATGGACTGTGGAAACCGACGCACCAGGAATGGAAATCTCACCCGCTCAGCTCATTCAGACCTCTCCTTTTCGAACGTCTAATCCATAACGGGGTGTGTTACGGAGACCAAGGCGACATGACGATGCGGATGCATCCAAATCCACTCCGCGACGGAGGCTACAGACTGACGCTCTCTGCATGGGAGAACATGTATCCTCCATCTGAGCATGAGCCACATGAGTGGTTCTGTGCGTCCTTCACCTACCACTTCTCCATCGATCACACAGGATCTCTCTCTCTGACGCACAAATCCGTCAGACCTGCCGACAGCACTTTTCACAAGATGTCAACTTCGTACGCCGGTTTTCTCCTCATGAAGCAGCCAGGCGCACCGCGCCATGCACGGCTTGCCAACAGACATCTTCCGCAAGAGGACGACGTTCAAAGCGTATGGACGCGGTCAATCCCGTTGCCATGTCTCCCAGAAAGTGCTGCGACGGGAGCGATCGTCTTGTCGACATACGGAGCCACCTTGTCCTGGTGTGCACCAGGCCATATCTACATGCCCGAATATGAATAGAATGAATCCAATGCATCTACGTCTTTGCATCCCGCTCTCGCTGCAGCCTCGCCAACTTTCGTTCGACAAACGCAACGTACTGCTCCATGCCTTTATCCATCTCTTTGATCTTCCCACCGCCGACCCGATACGTCTTTCCTGGAGAAATTCCCTTTCCATCCCCATCACCGTCATCAGAAGATTCTGAATCTGACGCATCGTCATCGTCCTCGACCCCGGTGGCTTGCCGTAGCGAGACGCGCTCGACGACGACTCGACTGAACCAGCGATCGTGCGTGATCATAATGATCGCCCCGGTGAACGTTTTCAGCGCTTGCGCCAGCGACTGGATGGTCGCAAAGTCGACATGCGTCGTGACTTCGTCGAGGAGCAATAGCGGCGGAGGATGGAACACGATCAGCGCAAGGGCAAGGCGTACCTGGCAGAGATGATTGGCATGTAGGCACAGAAATACAAGCTGCTACGCACCTTCTGCCCACCGCTCAGCTGTGTCAACGGCGCGTCGCTTGCGATCTTCCCTTGCAGACCGAACGACCCCAGACACTTGCGAGCTTCCTGCTCGGTCACTTTCTCCCCTTTCGCTTCGAAGTGATCGAGGAAGTACGAAAGCGCGGTCACCACTCCATCGGATGGCGCTGATAGCTCTTCAACAGAGTGCTGCGAGAAGTATCCGATCTTCAGCAAAGGGTGTCGTGTGACTGTTCCTTTCGTAGGCTTAAGCGTTCCCATGATCAGCTTCGCTATCGTCGACTTTCCCTGGCCGTTCTGGAGGACGTCTCATCAGCGCCAGTACGTAAACAATTACCGGACTCTCTCACCGCGCCGACAAAAGCACATCGGCCACCTTGACTGACAGTGAAGGTGATGTTTTCCAAGAACGCCTTCTTGGCTTTCGGGAACCGAAACTCCACCGCGTCGAAATGTATCAGGTCGCCCACCGTCCGCAGTTTCTCTGGATTCTCAATGTGGATCCGGACCCGCGGTTCCGTTGCAAGTTGCTCGATCTCGCTGCGATTCGTCAGATGGAATCCAGCCATGTCTCGGTTGAGCTTGAATCGTGTTCCTTTGGCGCTGGTTTCGGCTCCCCATCTTTCGTCCAGTCTACGCTGTGTGAGACAAATTGTTCGCTATTACGTCTCGTTCCACGCACTTTTTCTGCCGTGATTTAGCCATCCGGGCTCTGGAAGAGACTCGATGACGCGAATTTAACAGTTGGTGTGATCACGACAAACCTGTTGTCATCGCCTGTCTTCTTGGCGCTGGATATTCCCTGTTGAATCGTCTTTTCGATCTGCCGACAGGTGAGAAGTTTCAGTGTCATCGTTACGCACGACAAACCTGTTCGCGCTTCTTGTCGAGGGTCTCTTGTGCTGCGGAGAGATGCTTCCTCTTCTTGCGCTCTTCTACTTCAAAGACCGCAGGAGTTCCTTCGAAGTATTCCAGCTTTTGTGTCCGTAGAACGATCGTTTCCTCGACGACGTTATTGAGAAAGTCTTGGTCGTGGGAGATGAGCACGAGAGTGCGCGGCTGTGCATTGAGGAATCCTTCGAGCCAGATGATGGCTTCTAAATCCTAGTGAAGTTATGGCCGCTGGATAATGGATAGAGGATGCATCTCGCTCACCAAAAAGTTGGACGGTTCATCAAGCAGCAATATGTCACTGTGAACCAGGAGGGAGGTCGCTAGAGAGCACCGTGACCTCCAGCCACCCGAAAGGGATGTATATGGCCCGTCGATCATCTCTTGGGAGAATCCTAAGCCATGCAGGATGCTCGCGGCTCGCGCTTCAGTGGACGATGTTTCAAGCTGCAGATCCATATGTATAAGCTACAAATGACGCATACCCAGACACTCACCAGATCCAAAGTGACTTGGACGTCTTGAAGCATCTCGAGTGCCTGGCCCATGATGTCCGGCTCGATTTCGGTGGTCTCCAGCCTGAACGAGACACTTAGCGGCAAATCAGGACACAGGTCGAAGCTTATGTATACATACAACTCTTCAGCCTTCTTCAGATTCTCCTCTGCTTTGATCTCTTCTGCACGCGCGTCTTTGCCGCGAGCGCCAGATCTGCGGCTCGCAACCTTCCGTGCCTCGATCAACTCGCGGCGTCGTTTCTCGAGCCGCAATGTGTAGACAATCCGTTGGGTTTCTTGCAGTGACGTTGATTCGACGGCCTTGGTGAGAGCTATGTGACGATCGGGTAAGCACGAGAGCCAACGGAGGACAGGCCGCAACGTACCGTCGTGTTCTTCGACCACCGCTTGTCGTTCCTTATCGCCCTTGATGACGTGCTGCAGAACATCGGGTGCGCCGGATTCGGCCGAAGCGTCTGTCGCGCGGGCGCTGTCCTCCACCTGCGACAGCAGCAGGATGCGCATCCTGGGGTTCAACCCCGGGATGAGCTTGTCCGCAATCGCTGTCAACAGCGTCGTCTTCCCGCTCCCATTCCGTCCGACCAGCCCGTATCGGACCCCGTCCTTAAGACGCAGGTGGCTTTGCGAGATCAGCTCACGTTCGCCGATGGCGATAGTAACACCCTTGAGGTCAATCTCGCGGCTGGTGTCGAGCGTTTCGGCATGGAATCGGGATTGTTGCGAGGTCACGATGATGGCCCTGGAAGTATTTGGGGTGGCTTTGGATCTGGGGGCCATGGTAGCGTATGAAAAGGACTGAAGTAGTCAGAGTGTACCATTCGGAGCCGCTGGACGCAGATCTAGCAGCGATTGTCATCCTCATTACGCTCTAGCAGAAAGTCACGGTCACCGTGACAAGTGGTGCCCTCATTAGCCGCGGCAGAACTCGTTACGACGCGTTCATCATGGACAGTGCTGAATTCCACGCTGCGGTCAGTCAGTGTCATGGAAGAATGTATCTAATTGAAGCCTCATTCTCAGGTTTATGACACGGTTCGGCTTATTCCACAACAAAAGGTGACGTCCTACGGTATGCTTCACCTACTCTATATTTCGTTCTCCCCAGCTGCTGAATTGAGGCGCCAACGACCAGGACACATAGCAAAACTCATCGGAATGCCAAACCACTCACGTCACGTTGGTCAAGGTACGTCCTGCCCCTCCCCTACACACCCCACTCTCCACCGCGTCAATTGGCTCTACCTACATACAGCACTCAAGTTTCTGACCCCTGGTACGAACCCACCTATCCCATGGCACCGGGTTGTATCCTCTTCGGGCGCGATTTCATCACGTGGGCCCGGGACCAACGGTGCACAGCGCCAGAGCGACGCGCTCGAGGCGGAAGGTGTCGAAGTCACTGTGACAGCGGGCGGTCAGATGAAGGTCGACTTCAGGGAGTGCGGGTGGTTTCCTGAGCCGGGTACAATATGAATTTCAAGGACATTTACTTTCGCTACTAAACATTTGTGACTATTGACACCAACTTTCCGAAGTCGGGACTGCACTTGGGTTCAGTATCTGGTGAAAAGAGGTGGACGTGACGATGACTTACGTTCCAAGACCAGTGACTGAAAACGTGTGTCAGACTCCGTTTTTTTAAAGAGATGCATTGTCACCACTCACCGGGATCCCATCCTGTAGTCGCCTTCGGATGAAGTCAGCAAAGAATGCTCAGGACACGAACACTCGACACTTGCATTGAACCCAGGGGTACCGCATCTGAAATCAAGCTCAGCAATCTTGACCAAGACGAACGTATTTGCAAACTCACCCAGGATTGCTGCCGACCGTGATATCGTTCAGACCGGCAACGCCGACGGTATATAGGAGCGGGTTGAGGAATCCCAAAGGCGGGAGACGCTTTCTGAGCCTTGCATCATTCAACTGCGCAACGAAACCAGCGAATGCGGGGGACGACGCTGAGGTGCCTGAAACTCCAGCTGCGCGTCCGCCGATGAAAACTCGGAAGCGCTCTGATTGTGCGGAGACGTCGGGAATCGCCTTCGGATCGCATCAGAATCCAGGTTCATGTGAGATTATGGATGCAGCTCACGCGACCGCTCGCATTGAAGAGACCTTGGTACGTGCCTTTCGGGAGCTTGCTGAGGAACCGAGTGACCGCGGCATCTTGATAGCTGTGAAAGGTCGGCATCGTGCCAGAGACACACGGAAAATCGACGCACGATGGCCGAGAGAAGTAGTTACTGAATCCCCCGCCGCTGAAACTTGCCGCGACTTCTGGGAAGTGAGTTGTGCCGCCAACTGCAGTGACGCTGGAAGGAGTCATGAATATGATTGATGGTGTCACACGTCCGGAAACTCACAATGGACATGAGGCTGGGAAACCTGTTGTGAAGGTTAGATGGGCATAAGTGGAGAGATAAGAGTAAGACCTGGAATGAAACGAGTCTGCCGAACAAGCTGAGCTTCGGCAAAGCAGGTGCAACTATCAATTACACACCGTGTTATGGCCGTCGTTTGTCAGGCAAGTCGTCGTCGCAGGATCCGGATCCCCGTCGCCGACACCGCCATCGCCGGACGAGAACGTGAGCGTGACACCCCGGGCACCTGCGAATGAATATGCACATCAAAGCAGCTGCTTGTATTTGCTCACCCAATATGGCAAACTCAGAACAAACACGTTTGGCAAAGCTTTCGGGAACTGCACCGAATCAACTGATGGTCAATTGAGCAAAGACACTGACAAACCTGTTTGTTCTTCGTCTCCGTACGACGTGGAGATGGTCAACGGTGGATTCTTCTGCCCAAGGATGAAGTCCAACCACTGTCATATGATCATCAGTGTCGATGTGGCAGAAAATCAGAACTTTAGATGCCTCAGTGTACGGCTCGTTCGAGTCTGTGGGCGTGCCCACACTCGGGATGAAAGGAGGCCTTCCAGCAGTTGAGTAGAAGGTCGCATTTGCCGGGAAACTCAATCCAAATGCAAACTGGACATCAAGATTTGCTTCACCGCCAGCCTCAGATGCGTTCTGCGAGTCTAAGCCATTGGCGACGGAGATGAAGTTGAATGTGGAGTTGACGGCTGCTGCTGCGGGGACCTGGTTCGCGTAGAACGATTGCAGGTCTACACGATTAGCGAACTCCTCGAGGTACCCGGTCACGGCGATAGAGTTGCCGACGGTGGCGGAAGAGGTGTAGTTGACTGCGTTGTATATTTGGCGCAGGCAAGAAATAGTGATGGTCGTGTTACAGCTAGCGTCGACAACGGGTCCCGGACTGGATTTTTGCTCGGCAAGTTGATTGTCGACGTCGATCGAGTGGATAGTCGACCTCATCTGCTTGAATGAGCTGAACAGCGTGGTGGGCTGCACGAGATCGATGTGCGCATGGAGACTTTCTGGAAGGCTATACTCGGTCGTGCGGACAAGGAACTCGCCGCTGGTCGTGTGCTTCCAAACGTGATACTTCTATAACACCATCGTGAGCAGAAGCATTCGCCATTCGAAGTCAACTTGCCGTGCGAAGCATTGACTCAGCCTGTGAAACCGGAACGGCGACCAACAGCCACCCGCCGGTAGCAGACTTGACTATCTGGTCCCGGGGCAATCCGTGGGATTCAAGCCAGCTGGTGACAGCTTCGACGCTTTCGGCAGTAGGCAGAACCAATGCTTCACTCTCCTCTTTCGAGAGATGCGCGCCGTAGCGCTCATGGGATGGGTCGCTGACGGCGTACAGGTGCTCCTCCAGGACGTGGAAGTTGGGCTGGGGGAGACCGATGCGCAGATTGATGATATGATTGTCGGGAGCGTGGGAGTGGATGGCCCATCCACGAGGGGGTTCCACTCGTTCTTTGACTGTGTGCGAAGCGAGGGCGGTCCAAACCACCAGCAGCTGGAAGGAGAGCAAGGCAAGAAACTTCATGGCGGTAGCCATTGCGCTGTCGCCAGAGCTACCGGCCTTTTAACCGTCGACCCCATGTGGAGCCGGACTTCTTTCAGAGAGAATTCTCATGCAGGCTGATGGAGACACTGAGAGACATTGGGGGACGATGTGGTCCCTTGCCTGAAATGGTGTCTAATTCTTTGATTCGGTCATAGTCGAAGCAGGAGTCTTCAAAAAATGTGGGATCTTGCTGGGATACCCTGAGCTGATTCTTAACGACAATGTGGCGCAACACGCGGTGCAGAAGACACCGAGAAGGCAGACGGCCCGTTCGGAGGGTTGCGCGAGAGCGATCGTGAATGAGAAACCGAAAGCGGTGCAGGGGTGGCTGTCCTTGTTGGGCCGAGTAAAGCCGAGTAAATAGGGACAAGCAACTCGTCCTCATCGTCGCTCACAGCCGCAAGCGCCCAGCTTGTTTCGAGCACCCTTGATACCATCCCCTCGCGTCAGGTTCCCAACTTCTACCCCTTGTTCTCACTCGTTTCTTGACATGGGTCGATGGTGCGTCGACTGCCATCACTCAAAAGCCACCTACTCATCCTCGGTGGCAGGACGCACGAATACGAGGATGATACTCTCAGCTACAAGTTCAAACGCCTTGTGTACATTGAATGCCTTGATCAGATTACACGAGAAGTTGACCCATATGATCTATAGCACTGGGGCGATCAAACGGGCCAAAATAGAGAAATCTGAATCTACAACCATAAGGTGTGTCTATCCGACTGAGTGACACTGGTTGCTAATTGAGACCTCAGCTATAAACACTTTGTTCAGGACCTCGATGTCGGTGACTCATTCACGACTACTATCCTGAGTATTCTTGTCGAGGTTGGTCACATCCTTCGTCTCCCGGCCTTAACGGCCTTACAATTGTGGCAGGAATTGTCTGAGCGACGGAAACGCATGTCTGTTGACTCGACCGCAACAGAGCGCGGCTATATCACTCAGAGCACCGCGCAAAGACTCCGTCAGCTTGCTCTGTCGAGTCGGTACCATGAACGATCTAGGCCTGCTTCTCGGCCGTTTGGCACCTCATTTCTCTCTGCCCCTCCTGATGTGATGGATATGGAGGACGACGATGAAGATGCTCTCGAAACCGTGCTACAGCATGGATCAGCGGTCCCCGAAGGCGTTCAGATCAATACTGAGCTGTACGAGGCTCTCCCGTCTTGGGCCCCCACTGGTGCGACACGACGAATTGTGCCAATCTCAGGCAGCCCGCCGACGCCGACATTGTTTCACCCGGCCAGTCCATCCGCTACAAGTCCTCCCCCAGCTGTGCCCTCCAGCCCACCGATATGGACCACGTTACCGACGACCACGCTTTCACGACAACCATCTCTCCGCCGTCATGGGGTTGGGCATTCACGCACAACGGACTTCCACGCGTTTGCAGCTCAGCGGCGCACGAGTGCGCGTGATGACCGGGGCGCCTCGGAGGAGCCATGGTCAGCCAACCGTGCAACGCGCCGGTTTTTCCCGTTCAGCTCCCAGTCTCGACGCCACGGATCACATTGGGGTGATGGTGGTGGTGGCGAGGGAAGCAGGAACGACGACGATGCACCTCACGACGAGAACTATCCTACACCCTATTCGTCGTTCCCCGAACCGACCACATCGTCATCGTCATCGTCTCAAGAAGACACCTACGATCCTCTTGAAGCGCCTTCACGTCGGTTACGACGTGGCGGTATCCGTCCACCGGAATCGATGTTGTTTCAACGTCCCAGTCCTGCCAGGGACGAAGGGCTGTCTGATAGATCCATCTCTGAGCCCAGAGATTTTTCGTCTCTAGTCGCAGACTTTGTGTCGTACCCCACGCCTGGCTCGCCCAGCACAGGCTAAAAGCAGATTGTATTCTGCATGAGATCTCTGTATTATATGGACAATCTGTTCGGGTGTAGGACTACATGTAGCATGTAAATTCGGTCTGCCTTTTAGTTTCTGAGACTTGATTAGACAAAAATAAAAAGCTATCAGCTATTTTTAAACGGTAGATTCATTCACATTGTAACTTACAAAATTAGTGCAACAACCTCGGTCTCTGACCCCCATTCAGGTCCTGATGGCATCATTAGACCTGAATGCGAGGCCCACACATTTTCGACCTGATCCAAACGGACCGCCATGTCCTCTATGCCAGCTGCCATGGACCGCGCAGTCGCAGTGCCCAAACACAAGCTGCTCGAATCGCCTACCGCACGCGCGATCGAGATCTTCGATTGGACGATCACCGCGTCGACGGGACCGATATCCAATTCCGCCGATTGCGACGCGTTGCATGAAGCGCTGGGCATCCCGCTCCCCGAGATGACGTTCGGCTCGAATGTGCTCGTGCTCGAGCATCAGCCGTCGCAGTGGCGCTACGAGTTCACGACGAAGGCGGCGCTGGCGGGGGTGAAAAACGGGGAGCTGGGTGAGGGCGACGGGGGCGTGAAGGTGGGTCATGCGGAGGCGTGGCTGAAGAGCCGGTGCGTGACTTCACACTTGCGTTTAGTGATCCAAGACGCGCGGTGCTGATTGGGCTCGTACATCCAGGACAATACCGACCGCAGCGAATCCCATGCCGCGCACGGTGCCCACCAAGCCGTATGACTGGACGTACACGACGACGTACGCGGGCAACTACGGCACCACGCCTGCACACGAATGGCTCAGTGACTCTGCGGTCTCGGAAGCGGGATCGTTGCCCTCGACACCCGTCGCTGAAGAGCCGGGGTCGTCCAGGACCTGGGAATGGCAGCCTGCGGATCCGGAGATCGGTGCTCACGCGATCCCACTAGCTGAGCTGACGCGTCCGGATCCAATATTGTTCTATGCGGAGATTCCGCTGTACGAAGACGAGCTGCATGATAACGGGGCGTCGCATCTGCTGGTTCGGATTGTGAGTGTGTTGCTCCGGCCGAGTGTGAATGAGAAGCGCTGAATCTGGTAGCGTGTCATGCCGAGCTGTATTTTTATCCTGGCGCGCTTCACGCTCAGGGTTGACGGCGTACTGTTTCGAACACACGATACGCGCATATATCATTCCTTTTCCAGCCAGCCCCCGCTTGTTGTTCGCGAGACTGGCGGGTGGGAAGCACCATATGACCGTGTCAAGGCTGTACGTTTCATATTATCCTTCTTCCCTGCGTTCTCTAAACGTGCAGAAGGCTTTGCCTCGTCGTGACGATCTCTCACCACTCACTGATGCCAACTTCGTTGCTAAGATTCTCACTTCCATGCCCAAAGAGGTTTCTCAGCGAACGGGCGCCAACACTGGATGGCGGGGTCTTGGAAGCAAGGTCGAGGTCATCCATCTATAATCTAAAAGCAAAATGTACTTGTATTCTGAGCTCTGATGTATTTATGTCAATGAGAGTTTCCATATTGGGATGTCAGGCGTTTAGTTGGCTTGACAGGACATCACTCGTGCACCTCTTTTTTGACATCCACTATCTCCGTGCCCATCTCTCCAACTCGACATCAGGACAGCTAAATGAGGACCGAACTTGCATGCCTTCTATGCCGTGCGCCACTGGTGTGGATAGATGCAGTGTCTTGTCAACAAAACGAATGTAACCTTGTATCACGGATCCACGGAGCAGAGTTTCTATCGAAACAATCAAGGCTAGATCTAGAACATATTGAATGGGAAAGGATATAAATAGGCCAGTGGATGTGATAGCTTCGCCGTCTACTCTCCTTCCTTCTCCTCTTCATGGCTAGCAACTACCTGCCACCCGTATATCCTCGTGAGTGCATTGAAAGTTGCTAATCTTTGCGACTTCATAGGAATGTCAGATCCTCAGCAGAATACCGCGTCACTGTCGCATCACATCCCGATGTCTCAAGGACACGGCACCCCTCAGAGCTACGGCATGTCAAGCTACAACACCACTGCCCCGCCTCCTGACTTCAGCACCAACCACCACGCATCATCGGCGCTACCGCCTCCGCCGCATATGTACCCCTCTCTTCCTCCCCAACAGCACCAGGAACATAGACCCCGTCCGCCGTCCAGTACCTCGTCGCACCCCGGCGGCAGCCCGGGCTTCGTCCCGTTCACATTCTCCGGCGTGAAGAAGCATATCCGCGACAGCCGCGTGACCGACGCATGGGGCCAGACGGTAATGACAGTCGCGAGCACGAAGAAGGAGAGCACGTTCCACAATATGCGCGGCGAGCTGCTGGCCATCTTCGAGTGGAACCACCATCTGCCGCGCATCCTGTATCGCGGGACGGAGATCAAGTCAAAGGACTTTTTGCCGCTGGATCGTAAAGCTTTGTGCGTAAAGAGAGAGAGAGAATCTCTTGGGGCGACTGGGTCGGTACTCACTGCGGCTTCCAGGACACGCACTTTCGCGCATCAGGGCCACCACTATGTGTGGAAAGGGACTCCGGACGAATCGGCCGTGGAGGTGTGTTTCGCACGGGATGACTATGACCAACCGCATCTCAATCATCTCAGCTCTACAACGCCGATCGCCCGGATCATCGCATTGGCTACTGGCACAACGAGGACGAGGTCATCATCCTCGAAGCCACGCCCGAGTTGTATCAGACCCCCGGCCTGCTCGATTTTTCTCTACTCTCTGTTTTCCTCATGAATTGCGGCGCCCAGATCGAGGAGCGCGGTGGCGGCGGTCCGAGCATGGTACTCATCGGCGCGTTATCTGCTCTGATAAACGCTGCTTGAGGACTTATATCGACGGACTAGATGTAGAAACCCAGATATAATTGCGATGTCCGTGAATGCCCCGTTTACAAGATTTATGATCCAATTTCGTGGAAATCGAGCACGAATATCTCTTGGACTGGAAAAGAGACTGTCTTTAGAGTCTTTCCTCCATTGAAGCCTTGAGTGGACTCCGTGGGAACCAGGACTGGGAAACTATGCATGCGTCACTTCATCTTTTGCATCATTCCCGCACCGGGGCGAAGTCGAGAGAAAAACGTTGTTCAGGCACCCTAATATCTGATATCTTTTACCTGAAAGCAAGCTACGACTCATTCATCTCAGAAGCTGTAGTTCCACCATCTCACTGGAAAAATCATCGAGAAAAAAACTTGCTGTCTGAAAGCAGAAGGGGGTGCAGACGGCGAACTCTTGATCGGAGACATCTCGGACCCCGAAAAAAAAGATGCCAGAGTCGAGATCAAGAAGCAAACGACAGACCGTCACCATTGTTGATTGTCATCCATCATCGATCACGCGTTTCTCACGTGCCACTTCAACGATGGACTACCGATTGGGAAGGTTCGAGAGTCGCAGGTTTTTGCAGCGCCACTTTTCTTCGAAAATCTGATTGAGTTACCAGATGATTGCATAGACTTTGATGCTGAAATCTGAGTCAGTGTGTGACTTGCTACGGCACGATTATGTGGGGAAATTCCCAGCCTTGGTCCTGGTGACAGAAATACGGCCTCGACGGTGATCCCAACACTTTCAGTGCTGATGTATAGGCCTCCTCTCCAATCGCTGAGTAGATCTCAGAGTCTCCAGAATCGATCACACAATCAGGATATAGGTGCTCGGCAGAGGAGCATAGATAGCGAGGACAACAAATAGAACCCAGCGTAAATACGACCGGGAGGGTAGAGGTAGCATCGATAGCGAGGAAAGCAAATATAATCCAGCGTAAGTACGACCGGGAACCGAGGACAGCATAGATAGCGAGGACAGTAGATACAACCCAGCGTAAGTACGACCGGGAACATAGATAGCGAGGAGAACAAGTACAACCCAGCGTAAGTACGACCGGAAGCTGCAGAAAGCATAGACAGCAAGCAGGGAACGATAAGTAATGGAGAACGATATAAAAACCGCGGGAGAGACAGAGGGAGGTCGTGCTAGCAATACAAAGTGAAGTGAGTCCAAAACCACTGCAAGAACGACGGATCCCCCATTCGAGAATCCGCCATCACACGCGACGGCCTCGGCCACCACGGCGGGTCCGGGCGGTCTTGCCACTAGCCGCGGCGGCGGCCACTGAAACGCGAGTCTGGCGCTTTCTCCGCTGCGGAGGGACATACGCATCCGAGTCCCATCTGTTGAACAGGACTGCGTGAGCATCGGAATGGACAGACCAAACACAGGGACTCACGCGTCAGACACATCGGCTTTGGACCGGCCAGACAGCGACCCGGATGCCCTGCGCTTACGTTCACGGCTGTAGGGATTCTCGAAGGGGAATTTGTACAAAACCCAGTAGCTGCCGCGCCCGCGCTCGCCCGCCCGCTTCGGGGACCGCTCGAAGCAGCGGTGCAGGGACAGATTATGACGAATGGTGTTCTACGCATGATGAGTTCCTAATACTCGAGTGACTGCGCAGACATGAACGCACCTGCCATGCCAAGTCTCCGGATGCCTCGCGATTTCTGTAGTGGCTGAACCGCGTGCGCATTTTTTCGAAGATGCCCTGGAGCGTCAGGCGCTCGTTCTCGTACAGTGCGACCTTTGTGATGAGCGGGAGCGAGATGGGCGGCTTGCAGTTCCAGTCGGGCATCGACCAGAGACTGATGGCCTGGTCTGCGGACAGCCCACAGTCCTTGCGGAGCTCCTTCTCGAAGTTGATCAGCTCGCGGCCTTCCTCGTCGAACAGGCGCTCGTGCTCGTAAGGGACCAAAGAAACCTGTCTCGAAGAAGCGGGGGGCCGTTTTCGAATGCGGACGGGCTGGAGGCGATCTTGAGCTCGTGAAGAGGTGGGGCGAACGGGTCGATGGACAACCCTGCCTGCAGCGGGGAATACATTGTCTCCTGCGATTCAGTCATCACGAGGCATAACAGATTGTTGACTCGAAAAAAAAACACACACCGGAGAAAGCATGGATGACTTCGAGTCCTCACAAAAATGCTGAGAGTGCGACGAACGCACAGGTCCGCTGCGGGGCTCGCGTTGAACGAAATTCGTCGACCAATTGTGCATGCCGGCCATGTCCAACAACGGTGCCAGCCGTTGCGTGGTGTCGAGCTTGTAGCCATCGAGGCTCATCGATGCGATGTGCGGCGAGCAGGGGTCGAAGGACGACACGGACATTGACGGGGACGCCGCATCCTCGTCCGCGCCGAAATCCGCGAGGGCCTCGTCGGTGATGAGGTCGCAGAGATCGAGGGCGGGGGAATCAGACTCGGTGTCCGAGTAGGCCTGGAGGTCGTTCTTGTAGCTGAAGAGCTCGTCGTCGAGGGCAGCGCGGCCGAAACGTGTGTTTGCCATGGGGGTTGGGGAGAGGGAATACATCGACGGGCGGCGGGGGGGAGGAGAGCTCGTCGTGGGTTGAAAAAAAAACAACACTGTGAGGCGAGGCGGGGCGTCCGATTTATACGCTTCCGGCACCTGCCCGGGGAGTCACTATGCAGAAGTGGACTGCCGGCCCAGATTCAATCGGTCGCAATAAATAAAATATTCTCGCTACCGGCATCCCTTAAGCGTTTCCGGGAATGGGTCAAAACGGCAGAACTGAGCGAGTGCTCGATGGCACCTGCGGCGCGACGACCCAATGAGAGGATTGAGAACGCCGATCCCATCACAGATATTGTGTGCGTTTGATGGATACTAGCGCGGCCGAAGACAATTCTTCCCATGCGGAGCTATCAGATTATTGTGCGTCTGTGCAACGTGTTGCACTGGCTGCAGGCACAGAGGAGCACAAAAACGGACAAAAACTCCCTCGAACATCGCCGAGGCTGATAACTGGTCCAATTTGAACTTAAGTCACGTTATCCTGTAGCGTGCCATCACGGGAGCGGTGCATCGGAACACATAGGGAGCTGCGATGCGAGACAGTTGTCTCAGACGGATAAAAGGAGCACAAGGACGATTCACGCCTGCGCCTCCTGTCACCCAGAAAACGAGGGCGAACTGGATCGATGGGGATATGCCTATCTGATGTGCGCCTCTCAGAATGTCCACGGAATTGGGGGGATCCTCCGCGCGGTCAAACGTGGATCATGATGCAAGCTCTCCCCCCGAATCCATCTCGAAACCTTAAATATGCAGACACCCTGTGATTCTTGCCACTGACTCCATGTCGTCCCCCGGACGGATCCTGTGCCTTATCTAGGCGCTCGAGGAACGAGGAGGGGACGGGATCAGAGAAGGAACGCGAAATCCACCGAAAGCGTATGCGCGGAGGACTTCCAACATGACATGATGTGCGAAGAAGCCAGGTGAAACAAAAGGAATACCCATTTTGAGCTTGGGTGTACACCGAATCAGACAGGGAGATCAAATGGAACCGCGCCTGCCCTTTCCACTCTGGAAAGCATGGAACCTGATCCTCGCGATTTCCCAGTGGCGAGCCTGTGATCGATGGACAACGGCTGCTGATGACCCCCTTGAATGACTCAGGACGTCATCCCGGAAAGCCTGACCCCTGCATTCCTGCTCTTACTCCGCCCCTTCGTCCGGTTATGACCAGTCGCTCGAGAGAACAAAAACAATCCCGAAAATCTCAGTTGTGTACCCCTGTGGGTCCGCGTGTGTCCCTTGCTCTCGAAAGTCAAAACGGTCGCCGCATCTTATCCAAGAATCTGGTCAGGAATCGCCCCAGGAGCAAGACGGACGAAAAACGAGGCAACATCCGTCATCTGCCGGCGAGGCCTCCAGCTCGACCCTGGGCATGTTCGCCAATGCCGGACAGCTGGCAATCAACGGCACTGCACGTGAGCTCGGTTAGAACTACCCTGTGCCCGCGCTCCCAGGGTGCGGAGTCTTCGCGGGGGCTATGAATGGCCAATTCTGCGATGTGATCACAAGGACCCGGATTAATGGGCTGCCCCACAGGGATCGCCGCGTCTCGGCTTCGAAAGGGCGCTCGCGCACATGCTCGTAGCACACGTTCCGTTCGCGAGGCAGAGACGAGGCTCCCGTGAAGCTCAGATTAGGAGCGATACCGCGGTACCGCACACCCGGTCCGGTGCTTATGACTCGACGTGAGTTTCCTTCTGACGCAGAGTCCCAGGGCCCACGTCGAACCGCACGTCCGGAGAATCGGTTGCCGTATCGCCAGTGACCCAGAACGCGGCTCGCCATCGTCGATTTCAAGGATCGCACTTCACATGCTCTCGTGTACACTCCGATCTGCACTGCCCGGAAGATATGATTAGGATAGGATGATGACATTCCTTGGTTCACGGATCGATGCTCTGGATTCCATCTATCCTGTCCGCGCCCAGAGCACACAGATGACGACAAATCATGTTCTGTCCTGTCCTGTTCTGTCCTGCCTTGCTGTCGACGAGCGGATACGACAAGCAGTTTTACAACGGATTCCACCCGGATCGTCCCCAGTACCTCGGGCCTATGCGCACGACCACGACTAGTCCAATCGCCACTTTGGCCACATCGAATACGAAATAGGCTTTGCGGGATCCTATCAGAAACGCAGCAGCGCCTAGAGCTGCGAAGATCCATCGCACGGAGAGTCTTCGCTCAAACCTAGAACAGTGATTGGGCTCAGCGCTCGACCCATATGCGGAAGACAACAACCCACCGCTGTTCCTCGAAGACAGGACCTCCTACCCACGTCAGGAAGTCGACGAGCAGCAAAAACGGCGCAACGCTGAGCACGAAGTGATCCCCGTCAAATGGTGCGGTCAGCCCCGCGGTCGCCAGAGTCCGGGCCCAGACAACGAGCACCGGCGCGGCCAGTGGCAGAAGCCAAGTCATCAGCAAGAGCAAGTGCATGCTGTGATTGTGGTTCGCCGTGATGTAAGGCGGTGTCGCTGATGGGCGACGAGCGACGTCACTCGCTTCATGTCCGTCTTGCTGCCGAAGCAGAGGGATCGCGACTGTATCTGGGATGCTCGCCAGATGTTTCAAGTGAGCTTGAGAAGCAGCACAATTGTACAAATGGATAGCCCAGCAACCGAGGAATGCCACTTGCCACGGCACGACCAAGAGAATGAGCAACAGAACGAGAGCCATCGAGATGAGCGTGCTGCGGTGCACGCTGGAATCTTCCCGGCGTCTCCGGGTCGTTGAGTCGGCAGCAGAGTGGAACAGCAGCTGAGAACTACACACCGTTTGAATCTCGATCCCCCCAGCTTCCCCAACGGCCACATCAAGGCTCTGAGAATCCACCAGCTGACGACGACGAAACCAGTGGCAACAAGCAGCAGCACGAGTGCAATGCCGCTGAACAGCAAGTGTCCCGCATTGCCAAGATAGAACTCGACCGGCAGGGGCACAGCGGACAGCAGCACTGACGCCAACAGCATTCGACGCAAAGGCTTGCCCACAAAGTCGTCGATATTTGACGGGACATCGGGCACTGCACCGGACTTGAGAGAGATATTCAGACGTTACAGACCGCCGCACCTTCAGTAGCACTGCGCCAAGCGTTCAACAACAAGATAGATACAACACCGACGGCCCATGCAGGGACTGCAGTGAAGTAGCGCGTCGCGACACGACCCAGGGTCGCGGTCCAGTCAACAGAGATGTTCAGTGTAGGGCGACATGCAGAGGAATAGATCGTGAACTCAATCCCCGTCAAAGGGGATACGACGTGTGGCGCGGAGGCGTGCGTATGCAAGAGTATTCGGCTGCCAGAGAGCGGAAAGTAATGTGTCTCGGAGGGATGCGATGTATGTGCGATCAAAGGCTCGAAGAGGGGTCGTTCAGGACAGGAATCTGCCCCTTCTAAAGTCACACGATACACGATGAGCGCGTTCGACAGCAAGTTCGGGAACGAAAGAGTCGTTCTCAAGTTCGGACTTGTTGGCAGTGTCGCAGAGACGCGTCCGAACATCAGTCCTAGAAGAGACAAGTGGTCAGTCGACCGTCGTCGACCGTCGAAATAACTTGAGATCACTCACGAAGAGTGCCAGCTCCATTTTCGATCTTCTGCTCGGTAGTCAGGCCTGCGGCAATCCACCCTGAGCCTTGTCCCCCAGTCACGCTCACACTAATCCAGCGCGAGCCCTTGGGCACCACTGCCTCGAACAGCACAGCACCTTCCGATTCATCAGCGCCCTCTTGTGGCACGGGAAACGGTCGCTCCGGAAGCGGATTCGGGATGAGCTTGAGCGTAGTCGGTTCTAGTACAGAACATCTTGCGTTCTCGTCCTGACAGGAGGACGTAGACACAGCGAGGGTCCCGACTTTGTGCGGGCCGACGGGGCCGACGGAGCCACCGGAGACGAGCATAACGAATCGCGCTTCCGAGGCAGGCACGGGCAGGCGATACGTCCGATTTCCGCGAGGATTTCGCAGTTGCAGACCGTCAGGCACAACATCCCCATCATCCACCTGCGATCCAGCAGCGTGAAGCAGAGGAGCGGGCCCATGCCCGTCTCTCAGCCATCGATCGAGCGCCTGCGACGCACCCACCGCACCCAGCTCAAGCGAAGCGCGCGCAACACGCCAGCGCACCTGGTGACACCACACCATCTCGCGGTGCCCAACGCCCGTCCACGCGCCCTCCAGCGCGGACGTGAACACCGTGCGCTGGAACACGTCCTTCGGCGCCGCCACGGGCGGAAGGATGCACGCCTCGGACGGGATCATCATGTCCGCCGCGCCGCCGCACAGCGACACGATCGGCGTCCCCGCGTCCCCGCGCAGCACACGCTGGTTACGGCCGTACACCGCGTCGATGCGCGCGTCGAACCGCGCCGGCGGGAGCGTGTGTGGCGTGCTCATGGTGATCACCGCGGCGATGTACGCGGACGGCAGCAGCGCGGCCGCGACGACGCCGCCCATCGAGTGGCCCATGACGATGATCTGCGTGCCGGGTGGGTAGAGCGAGAGGATGTAGGCCACTGCGCGGGCAGTGTAGGCTGTCTGGGCTTCGAGCGTGGGGCCGTGGAACGCAGATAGATCTTCGTTGAACTCGACTGCGCGGTGCCGGTCAGCCCACAGCTCACGCACACCCGTGTCCACTGACCGGCGAAGAAATCCAGCGGCTTTACTGCCGTCCCCCGAAACTCCGGTGCGACCGAGAACGGCGCGTCGAAGTACTGACGTGTCGCAGACGATGCGATAGATCGCACTTGTCGTGACGACCCCGCATTCCCGGGAATGAAGAGCACGGGTGTACCCAGTCCTTGCGATACCTGAGATTCCGTCACTCAGCAGAACCGAAGTGTGAAGTCAAATATACATTGGTCCCTTCCCAACCCCGTCCGTAGCCGTCAACCTCTCGATACAACCACAGCGAATATCGACGCGCCAGGGGAGTCCAAACCAGGTCAAATCCGTCTTGTAAAACGTACGACGGATACATATACGACATGCGACATCCTTGCGGAGAGAGTTCGCGAGCTATGTCCTCGGTCGCATAATACAGCACCGCGACTGTGAGGACGGAAAACAGTGCGATGAGTTTCGGTTCAAGCCTCATCAGTACGTGGACCGAAGACTGCTTCACGCGAAATTGATTTGACGACACAAGCTTTACTCCATAAGGACTAAGTCAGAGAGCAAGTGGTGATTATTGCATGCATCTACAGTCCGGCGAACGGATTCTCAAATATGTAGCGCTAATAAGAAGTACGGTTTGATTTGATTCAGGATGAATGTAGTGACGGCGGGGAGTGGAGCATGAGGGACATCAAGAAAAAACTGCAGCAAGAACGACCGATTACTCCTCGGCGGGGGCCTCGGCAGCCTCCTCCTTGTCAGCGGGCTTATCTGGTGGCCGAATATCAGAAATCGAGCAAGATGCAGAACATATTCACTAACCAGAGTCCTGCATGTCAGAAGTCCAGAGGGTCAAGTTGTCACGCAGGAGCTGCATGATCAGGGTCGAGTCTTTGTAGCTCTCTTCTGATAACGTGTCGAGCTCGGCAATGGCATCATCGAAGGCTTGCTTTGCCAGGTGGCAAGCGCGGTCAGGCGAGTTCAAGATCTCGTAATAGAATACGGAGAAGTTGAGCGCAAGACCGAGACGGATGGGGTGCGTAGGTGGCAGCTCGGTGACAGCGACATCGGATGCGGCCTTGTAGGCCTCCAATGACTTGTCAGCGCTGTCCTTGCGCTTGTCGCCAGTGGCGAACTCGGCGAGGTAGCGGTGGTAGTCACCCATCCTGTATTCGTTAAGTAAGCTGCCACGATGCAACTTTTGCCACTCACATCTTGTGGTAGAACACCTTCGACTCGCCGGAGGCGGCCGAGGGGATGAGGTGCTTGTCAAGCACGTCGAGGATATCCTCGCAGATTTTGGCAAGCTCGGCCTCGATCTTCTCCCGGTACCCCTTGATCATGGTGACCTGGGCCTCGTTGCCCTTGGACTCCTCCTTCTGCTCAATCGAGGAGACTATTCTCCAGGACGCTCGGCGAGCGCCGATGACGTTCTTGTATGCGACAGAAAGGAGGTTGCGCTCTTCCACGGTGAGCTCCTGGTCAGACGAGGCGACGCGCTTCATGTTCTCGACCATCTCTACATCGGCGGTGAGAACAAGCTTCGGGAGCGGACACGTTGCACGTACCCTCATAACGCTCAGCCTGTTCAGCGAGCTTGGCGAGGTAGACAGAGTCTTCACGGGTCTCAGACATCTAAGATGACGTGTTAGGGCGCGACGAGACGCGTACGACGCGAAAGCAACACACAATGGTAAAGGTAGGGGGATGGGCTGCAAGCACGATGAGCGGAAAGGTCAATGGCGGGGACGACGAGGACACTCACGGGGTGGTGGGGTTGGTGGTGATGTGGTGTGGGTGTGGTGGTTGTGGATAAGGAGATATAAGGCGAGAACGCAAACCCTTGACCCTGTTACCCTCGTGACACTGTGACTTTCTAGAACATATCGCTGACGTAATCATGATCGTAGCTCATGTGCATTTGCACTTGATTTGGACACCAGTTGTCGTCGTGTCTACGTCCACTGAAATCGCTGAAAATGCTTCGAAAACACAGAATGTAATCTGCAACACGTGCGATTGTTGTGTGGACTCCAGAGGTAGATATTCTGTTGGCGGCTCCGTAAACCCTCTGCCCTGGTGGCGGTGCCAAAATCCCCACGGTCCCCTTTTTGTCTTGTCTTGCGGATCTGCACCAACTGCCATGGGCCCTTGCTTGGGCTCCGATGAATTCAGTCTTTGGGTTCCTCGGGAATCGGTGCTGTTATCTGTTGGTTGCCATTCTGACTCCTTTGCCATCCGCACTGCCTTTGCTCCCTTTCGATCCTTCCCACGCCCAAGGGCAAGGTCACTTCACTGTCACTCCATTTGCCGTACACTGCGTCAACATTACGTAGACAGAGTAAGTTTTTTGCCCTCGTTTCTCCAACCGTGGCTGGCGGATGGGATTCTGTGAAAGAAGCCGGTTTCCAGGCTGTATCGAATGCTTTCATAACAAGCTGATCGCGGTAAAGTGACGCGTCTATCTTCGAGGCTTCATAAAGGCTTCATCTGAGCACTTGCACCCAGGGCTAGGGCTGCGTCTCTCGCCCTCTCTTTTGCGGATCTCGGCTAATCCATCTGTCTCAAGAACAAGAACCGCCACAGCTATGTTTAGTCCCTGGTGATCGTCAGCCAGCTCGCGTTCCTCATCAACAAGGATCGATCCGGTGTTACAGCACGCTTCAACGTAGTCGCAATCTCACTCTTCCAAAAAAAAATCGATCCGAGCTACAATCTGTCTTGGGGCTTGATGAGGTCAAGTACAGACAGGTCAACAATTTGTCGAATTGAACTGAACATGCATATCACAGACAGATGATGGATGTGAACCCTGAACAAATGAGATGTGTGTCACATTCGATCTCTTCGTGCGTGTTGCTGCTCAATTCCACTATGATCATGACCACTGCGATCGACGGCATAATTGCAGCAGTCGCCCGTCGATCACACGATCATCAATCCAGCCGAGTCTTTGTCTCGTCAAGACGATTCAAAGGGGTGAATCATGACCGCTCTTTCGCATCGAAGATGACGATTATGATGGGGTGGGTAAGACGTATCCAGTCAGCGAGGTGGCAACATCAGAGAGAGTTATGTCAAGGTATGTCGCAATTGTGCAGGAAATATGCCAAGGCGTCACCATTTTGAGGTTCACGCATATGCGGCCGTCCTCACACCACCATAAAGTCTAGCAGCCGTTGACTGCCTATCCTTACCAATCGCCGCACTTTCTGGAAGCTCCAAGAGAGAAATCGACCGCGGCTAGGCACTACTACATGAACATCGCCCCCGACAGATGCTTTAGCAACGTTAATTTATGGCTCGCGATCGAGAGTGAAAGAGCTCTTTGGACGCCAAAGGAACGATACGGTATGTTTGTTCATGTCGCAAGAGTGTTCGAAGATGGATGGATGGTCAGCAATGGCACGCATCCTGACTAGGCCACCGAATAATGCTATCGGGTGGCCGTCTCATCATAAGACCAAACTCGAACAGACTCCAAGCACATTCGCTGCACACTTGCAGTCAATCGCAGAGAATTTTGATGGATCAGTATCCATGGCTTATCGACTAGGAAGCGCCGACTGCGTCGGCAGACATGCCTTGCCTCTCAGACAGATCAAACCAATTTTTTTGGACTTTACAGGCGGTAGACAAATACGTATCAGGCACCATAAACTGAGCACCTCTTCTTAGTTGGGCTCTGCTCCTCTTCACCTTTGCTGTCATGCAGTGCCAGCTTCCCACGCTTCAAGGGGCTCGGCGCAGTAGACTGGTTAGCTACTATGCACATCTTGACAATATCGGCAGATACCAAATCTTCCTTCTTCGATTGGAAGGCGATGTGAGATCGGTTCATTGTCAGCATCACAGTCGTACCATGCAGTTTGGACATGTAGTCCTCTGGTGCAATGAGTCTGCCATCTTGGTCATATGCCGGTATGCCATGCACAATGTGCATTCCCTAATACGAAAGACATCATCATATATCGGCGGCGAGAATAGCAACAAACAATGGAGCACAGCGACGGAAGAAGACGGAATGTCAAACGGAGAGAGCCGGCAGCTTTTTGATCGCGAATTATGGTGGTGGAGATGCCTTGACAAGCAAGGCAACCTTATTTGTAGAGAGTGAACTCAGGCAATTGTAACGAGCTCAATCCAATGAATTCATGTTCTTCTTAGCCATCTGACATACAAATTGAAATTCATTCCGGAGAAAACCAGTCCTCGTGCGAAGCTACACCTTGCTCGCAATGAAAGCAGCGGCCGAATCCGCATCGAGCCCATACGTCCTGAAAGATAAGATGGGCCCTTCTTAAATCCACTCCAGCCATGGTACGAACAGATGCGGTAGCAGGATGAGAGCCCCGTGCGCACAGATATCATCCCCGGCATGGCACACGACGTTCGTGTTCGCCGCGCTGACGCCCGCAACCGGAGCGCCGTTGTCAGGATCGCCCTGTAAATTCATTTTCAACACCCCCAGACTATCGGAATCCGAGGGATGAGGACGAACGAAGATCACGGCCGCTTTGACGCGAGACGATACAGCGGGGGACACGAGTTTGGCCGAGTTGTGGACGAGCTGACCACCTTGGCTGTATCCGACCGTCACAAGCGACGCCTGTGAGTGAAAATTAGTCCAGACTAGAAATCACGGCACTTTCAGGCTCTATTGACGTACATTCGGGCACGAGTTCGCCGCATTCGTGAGCTGTAATACACAACCACAAACGCATCATCAGCCCAAATCCAAAATGACGAGCAAAAAAGACACAAGAAGCAAGCAACTCACGTCGTTAGCCATGGCCTGCGATCCTTGCGGGTCTCCCCCGGCCAAAAACCCCTGCACGTTGGCAGGATAGTTCACACCCGCGAACGAAAGCGACTTCCCCGCGGCCCCGAGCGCGCTGGCCAGCGCCGACTGGAGGGGCGGGCCGACGACGCTCCCGATCGGCGCGACCTCGGTCGTCCCACGTGCGAATACAACCTGCAGCAGAGATCAGTCAGCGCGACCTGAGATCGTGGTGATAACTGACCATGACGTCTGCGCAGGCGGCCTGCCGCCTGTGCGCAGTGGGTGCTCCCCAAACGAAAGAACTGAGGAAAAAGACTTGGAGAGCAAAGAAGGAAATAAATGTACGCATTCTGAGTGAGGGGGTTCCGGCTGAGAATTCGCACGGCGGATCGTTTTATAGAGAGCAGCCCAACCCGATCCATCCGATGCAGCTAATTAATCACTGTATATTCCGCCAGGCTACTGCACCCGAAGCCTTCCTTGCCTACCATAGCGTGCATGCGCACCACCACACCGGAGCTCCGACGCAGCATCGGCGGTGAGAGACAGTGATCGGGACACTCAACGCTGTGATGGCAACATGGCATAAAGTTCAACCGTGGGAAATGATCGCGCTCACCCGCTGACCGTTCGACCGTCGAACATCAGCCTTTTCAAGCTGTAGATGAAGCTGAGAGAGATCTCGAAACGCTCAGACACCCAGTTTTGGCAAGGTTCGTCATGCAGGATCGTGTGTATGAATAGAATTTAATCTGGTTACCAACCTCCTAGCTGAGACAGGAATCCTATCTGTCAGGCTAGGAAACCACCCCCGGAAAACAAAGACGAGTCCGCCACCCGCTGAAACATATCCGAATGCTCCGATGTCCGGATCGGCATGATGAAGAACGGGCGTGCGAACATCGCGAGAAGGCGCCAAAATACACGAGGGTATGCTCACCTGAGAGAGAGAGAGAGAGAGATCGAATTGACATGGTTGAGATATGATCACTCAACCGTAGGATAATGTTCCGGCCCATTGCTGACTCCATGAAACGTATCTGAAGGCTGGTTTGCTATGGTCGTACGAAGACGAAATCATTCAAATCGGGCATGCTATGTAGATTCCCATCATTTCCCCGCATTCCCCGCATCCGGCCCTCGGAAAAGCGAAGATCCCGTTGGCACATATCTGAAGCCACCTTATTATAACTTGAAAGCACGATGCGTTAATCCCTGATGTATCACTTGTGTGACCGATTACACTCCATTACGACAATCCACAACACATAAAGTACTCGTCAATACGCAGCACGAGAGCATAAAATCACACATCATCCTGCTCGTCAGACCCCAGCAACCGAGCCCACTCAAGCAAAACAGCCGCAAAATAACAGTCGTTCTGCCTGTCCGTGATGACCCGCCGCGCAAACGTCATCCCATTTTGCTGGATCTGGCGCGCCTCTTTATCATGCGCGCGCGCCCACTCAACCTTTTCCACGAGATCAGATAGGTCAATTTTGACAGGGATGTAGTGCTCGTAAGGCCGCAGCCAGTCGTTGAAGTACTCGGCAAATGCCGTGGCCTATTCGTTTTCAAGCTGGCATACGAAGGGTAATTCGTGAGGGATCCAGACCTTGAAGACCAGCGATCCAGACCTCAAGAGCCCGAGGTATCGACCGCTGAACGTGTTTCCTGACGGGCCATCAGCATCAAGTTCCTATTACAGCAGACGAAAGACCCACCATCCACATCGAGCGCGTACTTGTACTTGTACACATCCTCCCGGGCATCGAACCCTCCAGAGACGAGGTACTCCGCCATGACCGCCGACGCGTCGCAGTCGGACTGGCAGTGCTCGGCATACCACCCGTTCATCTGTGCGTCGATAATGTCAGGTCGCGCCCGTGCGAGCTTGATGAGCCGGAAACGAGTGAACTTGTGGTGGTTGTCATGGATGATCGTCCCTCCGTTCGAGGATCCACGCCAATCTGCGCGGCGATGAGCATATCGCGACGATCGTTTGACTAGACAGTCACACACACAGCTGCGACTTCTTTTCCTCCCAAGGCACAATGTCCGGGCTGCTGAACTTGCCAGACCAGGCGGATGATTCGTAGTAGTATTGTCCAGGGAACAAAATGTCTGCGAAGCATGGCGAGAGGACTTTAGTCATGCTCAAAAGCGGATAGAGGTCTGTCGTGAAGTCGGAAGTCGAGCTGGATCTAATGACTGATAGCAAACAGTCAGTTCTTCTGCAAAACATCAGAATTGCACCCACAGGCAACATCTTCTAAAGCATCTATCGCGAAACCTTTCTCCGTCAGGAGAACATCACATCCACTGCGAGACTTGAAAAAGTCGGAGGTCGGAACGGGGGCGATACGGAACGGTTGCTGGTCAGAAATCGCCAGTCCCGCTTTGCGCATGTTAGGATCCTGCGCGTTGAACACGACACGCGGCTCGTCCCGTCCGTTAATGAGGAACGTCATGTTGGGTAGAATATATGCGAACTGGGCAGGTTGAATGCTGTTGACAAGAAAAACAGGACAAGAAAGAACACACATTGGACAACGTCTGCCGCCATTCTCCATCCCACGCAGAGCCCCGATACTTGGGCATGTGCACATACCCGTTCTCGATTTTGATCGTCACCATCCCCTTCGGATCCAGGTCCATCTGCGATGAACACCCGTCAGCTGTATTCAAAGCGAGTAAGAGAACGCAAGAACCAGGCGTCGTCCTAGATCCGTCATCCTGCGAAAGTGCGCCGGGTCGTCCCGTGCGAGCTGGTAGAACGGCTCGAAGTCGCGCTGCACCTGCTGGTACTCGTCGACGAGACAACGGTGCTCCTGCGCGTACGCGAACCACTGGTCGAAGCCTGGTGGCGGCGCGCGGCCGTTCCGCAGCGTGTATCTGCTCGCGGCCTCCTCGAGCGTCCGGGACTGCTGCGCAAACAGCGCGTCGATGCGCACGGACGCGACGAGCGCCGGGTCGGTGATGATCGTTGGCTCCCAGCGGATCATCTCCTCCGCCACGCTCGCATTCGTCGCCACGCCAGGCTCGGCAGGGGGATCCTCGCCTTCGTAGGTCTCAATCATCTCTAGAATCCACTCAGGTGGCGAATCGTCGACGAGCAGCGCGGTGGAGGGTGCAGTTGTAGGGTCAGATAGGGAGCAGTGTGAAAGGAAAACAATGAGGGAGATGGCCGCGAGGATAGTAGTGAAGCGCGCCCAGAAGGACATACGGCTGACGCGTCGAGGAAGTTGTGTAGATAGGAATAGATTGTCCGCCAGAATCTCGCTGGGTGAGCGCCTTCGACGACCGATGAACGGCATAGCGAGCGGAGGGTATATAGTAGTATTGTTCTGGGAAGAGGTTAGTCTGTGCAGCTGTCTTCAGTCTCCCTGGCGGAATGAGGTGGGAAGGATAGGGGCTATTTCTGATTTGCGCCACTTGATGTGGACTGCGTGACCGCGTTGTTTCCTTCCTTTTTCTTTCTCAAATGACTTGATTTCTCACCGATGGCCCGGAACACTGCGAGCAGCCATGAAGCGCCGCACATAACGGGCTGATCGAGGTAGGGGTTAGTAGTGGCAACGATACCGCTCATTGAGTGCTCGGTACCACTAGATTCTGTATCAGCCCTGACTGACGAGTATCTCAAAACCGTACTTTGATTTAATTCTTCCTCCGTTCACAGCACGGACCTGCGCCTTTGTCCCAGATCTTCCATCAGGACGACCCATGTACGTTTTGAACGCCTCCCCCATTTGTTCGCGATTGTATCCCATCAGTCTATTTCACCCATATCTTGAACCTTGAACTTCTCCTACGAGTGAAGGGATCGCAAAAAAAAGTGCTAGCGGTATATGAGGCCGGTGTAGAAACGAACTGAATCCTCGAAGATCCCATTCCATCATTGTTGTGACCAGTTTGTCATCCGTAAGGACCGCGTCACATACGTCCAAGGCCAGTGCACGTTCGACGGGTCGAAAAGTCGGATTTCACCAAGTACATCTCCCCTCCTCTTCACCGCGATGTCCGCACCTGCCTCCGGAGGCGCGGCTGCGCAGCCCGCACAAGAAGAAGAGTCGACCTTTAAGAAAGTAATAGGCATTGCCCAAGTGAGCCTACCCCCGTCCAGCTGCGAACTTGGGCTCCAAAATGAACGCACACCCCGCTCTAGCAAGCCTTCATCTTCTGGGCGATCTCGCAACTGGGTACGCGGCCTATCGTGCCACCCGTGTTCCGCATCTTATCACTGAATGTGGACCTGCACAGCGTCTAAATACCTGTTCTCGCAATTTGGGGACTCGAAAGCACCGGCCACGACGACAACGACGACGACAACGGCCGACGGCACACCCGCTTCCGCCGAGGCGGTCAATCCATGGCTGCTGCCCCCGCAACAGGTGCACCCGGCCTGGGAGCTGAACCAGCCGCTGGACATGCACGTCCACCTATCGACCTCACCCAGCGGCGACGTTTTCTCGTCGCGGTGGACGTCCGGCTACCGCAAGGACCGCGATGAGGGCCTCCCGAGCTTCGTGTGGAACAACATCTCGTTCGGGAACTGGTCCGAGTCGAGGACAGCGGAGTTCGACGTCACCTTCCCCGAGGTGCGTGTGCAGATCAGTGGTTGAGTGTGGGATGGAGGGCTGACGGCCCGGCTAGACCGTGTTGAATAATGGCTCCCTGTGGGCGGATATCTTTTTGACGAGGGACGGTGCCAGCCCAAACCCTCACAACGCGGCTTTCAACCCCGAAAACGTCCATCATGTCCGCAAACGTACGCATCGGCTTCGCAATCGCACTTGTTTTCTTATCAACTGCACCAGTCTTGACGCCCCACATTCCCAAGTTGAAAGTCCGGAAGGTGAAAAGTCTTTTGGCGTCCAATGCCACCGAGGAGGAAGAGCCCGATGTGCCAGAGGAAGACGTGATTGTTGCTCACTGGCATCCAGTACGTCTGTCTCTCCTTACCAGTGCTCTCAACTCATTTCATCGGCCAGAACGTCACCCTTGCTCTCGTCTCTGACGCCGTCGTCATTCCTTATGCAACTTCGCCGCCCCCAGTCAAAGAACGTTCGTACGCTTTTCGATTCAGATCGACCAGCTACTCATCCGTGTCCCAGTCGTCATCCTTGTGCCCGACACCCGGGACGAGACCGGCACTAAGGGCACCTACAAGCCCATCGTGTTCCCAAACGAGTTCTGGCATCTCCGCTCGCACTACATCGAGCTCAACTCGACGACGCCGACCCTCCCGCTCCAGATCGTGTTCCAGCCGATGTCGTTTATGAAATTCCAGGTGTATGCGTCGATGACGCACGGGTTCAACGAAGCGGCGAAGCAGCAGGGGGCTGGAATGGCTGAGATGGACGAGCTCAAGCGCATGCTGTTGGAGACGAACCCTTGGTTCCTGGCCCTGACTGGACTGGTGACTGTGCTGCATATGCTGTACGTTGCTTTTCGGGCGATAGACGTCTTTCTCATGTTTTTTTTCTTCTTTCTTTAGCTTCGAGATTCTGGCATTCAAGTCGGATGTGAGCCATTGGCGTCAAAAGAAGGAAATGGTCGGTGTGTCTGTTCGAACGGTGGGTGGCCCAACGTCTTTTTTTCGGTGCGGAGCTTACATGCGATCAAGATTATCACGAACGTCTTCGTGCAAACTGTGATTCTCTTGTATCTCATCGACAACAAGTGGGTGGAATGCACAATGCTGAGTTTGTCGCTGAAGGTTTTCCCAGTGAAAATACGAGTTGGATGATCTTGTTCGGATCAGGCACCGGTGTGCTCATCGAGGCATGGAAGGTGTGTTGCTTGCACCTTCAGCAACTTGTATCTAATCGCAAGTAGATCACCAAAGCTGTCGATATCAGCGTTGTCCCTGCGCCAGGAACCCTTCTGCGTTACAAACTGGACATCCAAGGTCAGTTTAAGGCGGCCTTGCGATCTGTCGTAGAGCTCACTTCAGACAGACAAGCACGTTCTGAGCGAGGACGAGAAGAAGACGCAGGAATACGACCGGCTGGCGTTCCGATACGTGTCGTATGTGGCGATCCCGCTCTTGGCAGGCTACACGGTGTACTCGCTGCTGTATGAGACCCATCGCGGGTGGTACAGTTTCGTGATCTCCACCTTGACGTCGTTTGTGTATATGTTTGGCTTTGTGCGTCCAGCTTCTGTGCTCGCAGCAAGCTAGTCTCGCTGACACTGTCCCGCAGGCGCAACTTGTTCCGCAGTTGATCATCAACTACAAGCTCAAGGTCCGCCGGTCCTCTTCCTATATCTTCACTGTCTGATTATTCCGCACAGAGTGTCTCACACATGCCTATGAAAGCGATGATCTACAAGACTCTCGGGACCGTGGTTGATGACTTCTTTGCGTGCGTTTGACTAGGAATGCCCAAGCTGCCCATTGCTGACCGTTTGCACCAGATTCTGTATCAAGATGCCCTTCCTGCACCGGCTGGCCTGTTTCCGAGACGATGTTGTATTCTTGATTTTCCTGTACCAGGTGCGTTTATTCAGTCTCACTGCACGACGAGAGATATCCGATGGACTGACGCGATGCTTTCCAGCGATGGATCTACCGCGTTGACCCGAAGCGAATCAACGAATACGGCCAGGTCATGGAGGAGGGTGCGGATGCGAAAGACTCGCAGGGGGAGTCCAAGAAGGACAAGTAGACGATGATGTACTTAGTGTAATGCCTCCATGCCATCTAATTCTAGGGTAAAATACTCGCCAGTTCTCGGCGCGAGCATTCGACCGATCCCTTCCAGTAAAAGAACCTGAAGTGCTCGACGTTCTCGATGCCCATCAGGTGTGCTAAGTCGCATGCGCGTTTCATGATCTTGTCGTAGAGCGTAGACGATTCTAAGGAACGCAGAGCACCGGCACCCCAGATACGCATCCACTATCGATGAGGGCAGAGGATCGGGGATAGGGGAGAAATTGGGGCACGTTTCATGGGTCATGCTAGGACGTCCCTAGGAACTACTCAGTGCTCACACTACCACTGGGGCTAGGGCTGATACATAGACAGGGGCTTGTCACATGCGCGTCTTGTCACAGGTCGTGACTTCAATGATCTTCCAAGCACTACATGGATGACGAACTGATCAACCCGGGATTGATTTTCGTTCACCACAACTAGACATTCGTTGTGCTATTGCTGCTGCCATACGACACTCGATAGCCTCCAATTCAGAGCAGAGTCTAGGGCAAAGCAAGGCTGGTCAGCTGAATACAACCGGCGAACCGCGCACGCACGCACAAGTGTTGGCACAGAAAGACGTGCAGATGGAAACGCGTTTCTGCAATTAGGGCGCGACGGAGTCTTCATGATTGGGTGTGCAGAGGGTTCTAGCTTCTGGACCGCTGGTCCCTGGATGCTTTCCAGCCCAAGTTGCAGCCACAGGCGGACTCGGCGGCTCGCTCTGCTACAAAAAAGCCTATGCAGGAAACAGACCATGGATGCACCACCAACGATGAAGCTGTACATCCTACTCGCCTACATCACTGCTACATTGGCATCTTGCCAGAACACGAGTCCTTTCGACTTTGGGCTTGAGGCCATCTACGCCGATTCAGACATCTCCTGCCATGGACGCACAGCGATTCCTGTGCACGCTGTCGAGGTTTTCGCAGTGCCTCACATCAGCTGGTCCACTCTCATCACTTCCATGAGTGCCAACGCAGAATTCTCGCACTGGCTCTTAATCACGGTGACCGTCTTTCAGCAGACCTCTGAAGAAATGTTCCTTTCGCAACAAGCCACCGACGGCGGCTTTTCCTCTATTACGCAAGGAAAATAATTCACTGCGGGGGCAACTCAGCAACGGCGGCTTGCACCCTATTGCGAATAGGATGCCGTATCTGCATTCTAACTCGCTGGCTGCGGTCCCCGGCGATTCGCCGACCTTCGTCACGATGCAATATCCTCCCCCGTCCCCCGATGCGTACTGTTTGGTGGCGGGAGAGCATGGGACACTGCTGGCTGTAAATGGCATGCACGATCAGTGGGCGCTGTGCCCAAATATCACAGCGGGATATCGTATGGATGTCGTGCTCCGCCCGAGAGCTGGCAACCCGCATTACCGCCTGGAGAACTGTGCCAAAATGTATCTGTCAGTCACTGCCGCTCATTGAATGAATATGCCGAGTGAATGTCAGCACAATGGATTGTCACCCTCGCGTCTTGTCACGATCCGTGACTTTGAGCATCTGTGTCTGTGTTTCTTGAAATGGAATCGCGTAACCCATGCGGAATGCTCGTTGCGCAGCCACACTCGATTACGTGCAGGTCTTCTTTCTTACTGTAAGAACAATCTGCAGCGGGTTTCACGGCCTCAAGCAGAACATTCTATCAAGTTCCAAGCTATGTTTCTGTGAGTTTCGAGAACACATAGGCCAGGTTCCATGGAGAACCCTTGATCAAATGCCGGCTGATCGTCTCAAGAGTCCGCCCCGTATGCTCTGAACCCCTCAGTCAATGATTGCAAGGGAACTCGGAGCCGATTCCCATTTATGATCTGAAACCAAGCATTGTGTTACATGCTACTGCTGTCATTTGAAGTCCCCAATTCTACGCGATTCTACGCTGACTCAATAGTCAAGGAAGGCACCGGCTACACAGTATCTATGAACGGGTGCACGGCTAGCACATCTAGTGTATAATACTGCACGCGCCCAAGCATCGGCGCACGAAGATGTGCAGATGGAATTCGGCTCACTGTAAGCCACAAGTGCAAAACTTTTCACACATTTCTTCCATTGGTCCAGGTGCGCAACGGCATCTTCATATCATGAAACATCGTATGGCGCATAGGGGGATCCAGCTTCTGGACTGCTGGACTGTGCCTGCTTCCCAGTCTAGCCCTCAATCGCAAGTAAATTTCGCGGCTTGTTCTCCTATAAAGCCTGCGCAGCAGACAGCGCTCCAGATGCACCACCATCTATGAAGCTATATATCCTCCTCGCCTACATCACTGTTGCATTGGCATCTTGCCAGACCAAGACCAGTCTTTCTGATTTCAGTCTCGAGGCTGTCTACGTCAACGCTCCACTCAATGGGCCCAGTTCTGTTCTCGTGAATGCAGTCGAGGTTCCACCCCCCGTGACCAAGATCAGCTGGTCCATTCTTACCGTTGCTGTAAGTGCTGCTACAATAGGCTCAGATGGTTCGCCATGACTCGAATTACTTTCCAGCCGACTGACCGAGAAACATTATTCACGGCGCAATCCGCCAGCAGCGGCTTCGATCCTACTATGCAAGGGATAACATATACGTCGCACCATCTCACCCACGGCGGCCTTCACCCCATTGCGAAAGGACTGCCGAACCTGCGCGTCAATTCGCTGGATGTTGTCCCCGGCGATTCGCCGAGCTTCATCACGACGCAGCATCCTCCCCCGGCTCCTGACGCGTATTGTCTGGTGCCCGGCGATCACGGCACACTTCTAGCTGTAAACGGCATGACCGACCAGTGGGCGCTGTGCCCGAATGCCACAGCGGGCAATCGTCTGGATGTGGTGCTCAGCCCGACAGCTGGAAACCCCCATTACGTCCTGGAGAAATGTAGCAAAGTGTATCTGTCAGTCACTGCTGCTCGTTGAATGAATATAATGAGAAGTGTCATATTGCATAATGGTGGTTGCATCGCGTCGAAAACCGTTGGAATTTTGGCTTTGAGTTGCTAGCGCGACTTGAGCATGTGAGCCGGTCCGCCGGCCCGTCGAAGCTACGCTTCCAAATAAGGAAACCAATGTCTTGGGTTGAAGATGTCAACTCACTCCACGTGCTCGTATGACATTGACAGGCAGGCGTCATTTCCAAATCTTTCCTGATCACTCGCACTCAGTCTCTAGCAATGACCACCAGGACGACGCGAACGACAACATCGGGCACCAAGAGCCAGTCCACGATAGGGAGCACAGCAGTGCGGACACACGGGTCGTTCGACTTCGAGCGGCCGGGATGGGGCGCGCGGTCCGGCGCGAATTCGCTGGGAGTGAGAACCCGCGCACGACATGTCGCGGCTATGTCTGCGGACAGCATACGGACGGACCCAGGCCCGCATTCATCGAAAGCGATGGATCACCAACAGAGGGCTACGGGTGCAGGCCTAGCCGGCGTGGGAGCAGCGCGCTTCTACGCGTCCATGGCCCCTCCAACGTGCGAGCCGCGCCCACAGCCACGGCAGGGCATGAGCAGCTGGGGCAGGAACGCGGGGAAACGACTCAGCGCGGGGCTGACGAGGCTGTTCGGTTCCGTTGGTACCAGCGCCAGGCCGGGGAGCAGCAGCAATGCGGGCGTTGGCCGACAACATGCCAAGTTCTCGTTTGAGCCCCCCGTCCCAATCACATCCCCACCCGCATCCCCTCTATCATCGGAGCCTGTGATGAAGCGCAGGCCGTCGCCGCCGACTCGGTCACCCAGGCGCGGACACAACGCGAGCCAGTCGACGTCTAGTTCAACAAGTTCCTCGCCTAGTGTCGGACACCGGTCAGGAACCAAACCGCGGTCGCTAGATCTGGGTCTCGGGCTCGCGTGGGCGCCGAACAAGCTCCGTGAGGACGCTGTGCTGCCTGCATCGCCGCTGGCCAGGAGCCTCGACGCAAGCCGGCGGGTCGAGCAGGGACAAAAGGTGGCCGAGGAGTTTCGGAATGTTCTAGACGACGATGGGTACCGAAGTTTCAAGCATTGTGAGTGTCGCGCGTCGTCGAGCGGCCCTCAGTTGCTCACGCAAGCCAACACAGACGTGCATCGCTTCGATATGCATGAAATGTCCATCGACGGCTCCGCTGGCATTGTTGCGCGGGTCGAGCGGCTGCTGAAGAAGACACGACATCTCAGTGACGAGGAGCGAGCAAGATTGATGGATTCGTTCGTTAGGATTATACTTCAAGCCTCATGAAACCACATGCTCAAGGCCGGGCGACGGGGACACTCACGCACATCTTTGGGCTCACCCTGCTTCATGTACCTTCTACTTTTTTATTTTGTATTGTCAACTCACAGGTCATAATTTACACATAATTTGTTTTCCGTATTCCCATCGCAATGCTATCCAATGCTTTCACGATTCGCCTCCGCGGTTGCACAGATCAACTCACTACCAGTCAAAACGATAACACAATGTCCAAGACTAAAACTCATTCTTCATCCACCCTCTTGGCAGAATGCCAATCGTCAATCACTTCCAAGACAGCGTCGATGTGCTCGACACCCATTTCAGCTTCTGCGTCGAGCGCAATGCATTGAGCGCTGCTGACGACGTTCTTGATCTTCAAAACAAGTACATGAGCGCAAGTGACATGCACGAGCGGGAAGCACAGACCTGGCGCCCGTTCATCTTGAGACCCGCCAGACGGTCGACATCTTCAGAAGATATCCGCGTGTGCGGCTCTTTGGTGACTTTGGAGATGAACGTATGCCAGATTTGACGACGCGAAGCGCGGTCCAGATCCGGGTAGTGGATGGAGAAGTGGATACGACCTAGAAAACACAGTCAGTTTCCACTCGAAAATAGTCCAACGAGTCGCACATACTTTCGAACGCTGGATCGCATTGTTCAATCAGGTTGGTGGTAAGGATGAGAATGCCTTGATAATACTCCAGCTGTCGTAGGAAGATAGACACCAGCGCGTTTCGCGTGACATCACCACGCGATCGCTGCTGGAGGAAAACCTCGGCTTCGTCCAACAAGAGAACGGCGTCCCAGGTCTGGGCGATCTCCAGGATCATCGTCAGTTTCGCGTCGAGCTCTTTGGGCTCAGTCCCGAGCTCCCCAGCGCTGACAGTGTACAACGGCCGCCGAGTCATCTCAGCGACCGCTTCTGCGGTGAGCGTCTTCCCGCAGCCCGGACTGCCAGAGAAGAGCCCGATCAGCCCCTTGCCCTTCCCGCGGACGATGTCATCGAAGGTCGCGCTGTGAGCTGAGTGGCTTTTGAAGAGCGAGTGAATGAGCATCTTCTGTTTGGCGCCGAGCACAAGTGACCGGAAGGCTTCGTCGGACCACATCACATCTCGTACCCGATCCATGGCAAATCCGCCTGACACGATCAGTACGGCGCGAGCAATGGGATAGAGAGGGCGCACCCCAGGTCTTGACCCCGAAACAAAAACCCAGCACGACAGGAGTACAGATCATCAGCTGCTCATCGGATAGTTCTTCCCGTTCGAGCTGCCGGTGAACCTCCAAGTTGTACGTGCAGTTGGGTTGGAAAAGTCGGAACGCTGCCGGATCGATCATGATACGCCCGTGGGTCTTCGTGAGCAGAATAAGTTAGAAGGAGGAATGCAAGACGGAGATGCCCCACTGACAGAAAACTTGAATTGCCTCGTCTCGTAGTTTTGATTGATCGTCTCCTTCATTGCGGGCCCGCTGATCTCGCGATACGGTGCAGACGAGATGTCGACAAGCCGCTTGCCTCGATCCAGAGCATGCGCGAGCATCTCTTCCTTGTTGGGGAGATAATCGACAGGACACGCTGGCAGGTCGCGGATCCGACGCGTCCCGCGGAAGGGGTCGATCTCAATCACATCCCGGGCCAACCCAAACGAGTCCCCGTCATTGTTGACGACGTCGCAGTCTATATGGGCATAGGGTGAATCGTCTCTGCGCCGGCGACGGTACTCGATGCTGCGCGCCAGCAACAATTGAGGTTGCTCAGTGAAGGAATGGAATCGGTAGATCAGAGTATTGGGAGGGTATATGACCCAGAGCAGGTCGTAAGAGATCTCGTTGTGAGCGAGCAGGTTCAAGTCGCCGAGAATCCCACTGTAGTCCTCGTCGATGAACTGGAAGACGGTTTCGATGTCCGTAATAAGGCCGTGGTCTGGTTCCGTCTTTTTCATTTCTTCAAGCATCCTCCCTCTTAGCTTCCCTCGCGTGTGGAAGAGCTCTCTCGCTTTAATCTCGAGAGAAGTGAGTATCAAACTGATTGATAGTGCGACAGACTTCGGCGTACAGTTGGGTTATTGCGAGTCAAAGACAGCCCTTCCGTGTCCACATTGAGATCCAGAATTGTTTGAAGAAGAATCGGGCTCCGGATATCGACCTCTGTGTGCGAGTACCGTCCTTTCTCATCGATGATTCGCCTCACGATCAACACAGACTTTTTGCTTGACCGTTTAACGGCTTTATTGGTTTTGCGTAAAGTCGTGGAAAATGTTCGTCTGAAGAGGCTCGAAGGATGTCCAACGTCATGCCCCACCACTCACAAGTCGAAGCTGCATTCGAGCCGGTTGGAAACATGCCTGTTGGAACAACTTTACGGTACATACTATTGGTCATAACGAACAATCCTTGGATGGGAAACTGGCTGGGGGTCCTCTGACTCGGTCATAGTGAAGATCTGGGTTGTGTTGCAGGGTTCGACAGGAACTGATCATCGTTTTAAGAGTCTGGCGGCGGCCAGTCAAAGTCAAACGCGTCCCGAAGATCACGGAACAATCTCTACCCCACATCGCAATCACGACCACTGCCACGCACAGCAGCGCATAGCCATGTCACGCTGAAAATAATCTCCTGCTCTCTTGGTGACCCCCGGTCCCAGCCCATTTGCAGCATTTGTAATGACATCCTGTCCTCAGCGCCGTCTTGTGCTTGGTACCGTGGTTGGAAATATGATATAGGTTTTCGTGGCCCGCTCGAAGCCTTATGAAGCGCAGCATCTTTGCCGGAAGCACAAATTGGCTGGCTTATCAGCATCAGCCTGTTCAAGTTTCAATACATTGAGCAGACTTCGTATCAATCTTGGACGGGAACCCTCAATATAGCATCGCATTCCTCCATCCTGCCTGTAACCCTCCCGCTGAGTCCCCGTCTCCCTTTCTCTCTTACCCCTCAAGCGATGGATGCTCGGTCGACCTTCAAGCGCGCATGGGATAGCTACCTATCGAGCCTGCCGGAGAAGAAACGCAAACGAAAGTTCGTCCACGACTGCTGCCTTGGTGAAAACCCAGCCACTGCGGAAACCGTGAACCAAGCGATCATGGCTCTCGAGCAAAAGAGCGCCGATGGGCGAGGTAGAAGGGTGGCTAAGAAGATCCTGGGTCCCGTCGTGGCGGTTCTCCAAGACTACTCCGATATCATTTGCAACATGGGTACGCGCCTTCGTCGTGCTGTGTCTGAGCCTCAACTCAAGTTTCCAGCGTCCGCGGACCCTATGCCCACTGCGCTGATCTGGGGTGCTTTGAAAATCGCCATCGATGTGTGTCAGTCAGCCAAGTCATGGGCGCTCTGATTCGAAGCTGTTCAGGGCATCCATCGTTACTTCAATCTGTTCGAGACCATCAAGAAAGAGTTGCTGGTGCTGTCTGAACAGATTCGGCGGATCACTTTCTATGATGAGCTGTATGATCATTCTGACTTGCTTCAAGAGATCTTCTTCAGATCCTACCTGAATATGATCCGATTCTGGTCCCGTGTGCGTATGCTTGTTTCCAGGTGAATGCGTGTCCTAACCGCTCCCTCGTCAGGTTGATAAAGAGTGCGAAAGTTCTTGCAAGTGTTTGACCACAGGGCAGCGAATCGTCGCACTCATTGTTTCTAGGGTATGGGAGCCGTCTCCTCAAGGCTGCCACTTCCTTCAGCACTATCAAGCTGAACAGCATCATCGACGACATCAAGGACGACGCCGATCAGATCGAGAAAGTGGCCGACATCCTCGAAAGAACGCAAGGCAAAGCAGAAAGACAGGCCGCAGAGCTCGAGCGTTACCAACAAACTCGGGAGAGGCTCGAATCCAAACAGGAGCGAGAGGCGCAATCCACGTGGCGGGAACAGAACGAAGTGGACCGACAAGGTGAGTCTATCACTCTGTTTCCGATCAATGTCACGCCAACTCCGGTTCTAGGAGAACGATATCATAAGATATCTCAATGGCTATCCGTACGTTCTGGAGACGAGAACAATTCGACCCGCCTCCGCAATCTATCCAGCCTGCACCTTCGGGGCACTTGTGAATGGATCTTCGAGGATGAGACTTATCGGAAATGGGATGCCGGGGATATCAAGCCCTCTGTGCTGTGGGTCCACGCTCCACCTGCATCCGGCAAGTCCACCCTCTCGTCCTGCGTGATTCGTGCCATAAGTGGCGCGGCAGCCCCCATTGCCTATCACTTCTATCGATTCGACCAGGCAATGTCGGCCTCAGAAACGTTACGACTGCTAGCTAGTCAACTCTTCGATGCGTATTGGCAACTCAATCAGGTCGTTTCCGAAGAAATCTATCTCCGCACTCATCATAGTGTCTGTTCTCTCGATACCGTTCAGCAACTCATCACCGAACTAGTCAAAGCGCTGCCGACTTGTTACTTAGTTCTGGACGGCATGGACGAAGAGTGCTCTGATTTCATGCGGTGGGCCGAAGCTGCCACCACTGTCGAATTCCTGGCACAACTGGCGAATCAATATCCCCGAGTGCGGCTATGGTGCAGCAGCCAATATCGCTCCATTCTCAACGAGCAGCTCAAGGCATATACTGTGCTTGATATCAAGGACGGCGTGACACGAGACGTGTCTTTATTTCTGTCTCGAGACAATCCCGAACTCATGGATCTCGAAGTCTCGGACTCCGACAAGGACGACGTGCTCAACAGTCTCAAAGCGCGCGCCGAGAGCAACTTTCTGTGGGCGAGCCTGATGGTCAAGAGCTTGAAGGCAGGTCCTTTTACATCGGCGAGATATCCACTCTGATGCTTTGAGGACAGGAGACTAGTAGCTTGAGCCACTTGAAACAATTTGTCGCCGATGGCCTCGCGGATAACTTGGACGAGTACTATCGAAAGATCTTCAGTCGCTTCGAGAAACAGAACTGGTCTTTGGTCAGGTGTGTGTGTGAGCAACTAAACAATGGCGATCGGCTCCTGATGCGAGGACGTAGCAAAGTGTTTGCTTTGGTCGCCTTCGCGAGAAGACCGCTCCGGATGCTCGAGCTTCGGGAGGCTGTAGGTCTACTCCAGAGCAAGAACCCCCTGGTACTTGAGCAAGATAGCCTTCCATTCACCAAGCACCTGCGCACTTTGCTTTCGCCGCTCATAGAGATGCAACCAGCCGGACACGAGGATGATCCTGACGACTACACTTGTCGTCTCTTCCATTCCACACTGCGCGATTTCTTGCTCCGGAATCCGACGATCCTGCAGCCTGTCGCAAACGACGCTAAGGATTTGGTCATCGACCAACGCGTTATCGCAAGGACATGCTTGATGTATCTCTTCCAAACTCGGTATACTCATTTGTTGAGAAAGACGGATGGGCACTGGGTCGATGCACAGGGCATTCCTGCACACCAACACCAGTTTCATCTCTACGCAGCCAAGTACTGGGACAAACACCTCTCGGAATGCAACAAGACAGAGGACCTGTCCCATCGCGTGAACAGGTTCATCACTTCGCCCAACTTTCTCACCTGCATCCAAGTGCAGAGCCTGTGGATCGATGCCCAGTTCGGTGTATTCTCTTATACGGCACAGAAAGATGACAGAGTCTATCTGCGCCGCATGTTTCCACGTTGGTTTGTCAATGACACTGCAGACGGCAAGAAGCTCTGGGAGGACCTCCGAGCGTTCGTGCATGAGTGGAGGTATTTCCTTTGCTCCTCACGACTGGAAGATTCGCAATCGGATACACTGCCATATGCAGGGGAGCTCGACAGATGCTGGTGGAATGTCTTGGGGCCACAGAATTTTCTGTCCCGAAATGACTGCAGATACGACACGTTTTCGTTCCAGTCGGACGACTCCCAGGGGCTCGCTTTCGGCAGTCACTTCTTCGAGGGGCTGAGCTCGGACGGAAACGAATTGTGCACGCTCCGGCTGGTGTATGTCGCGTTTCACCTGCATCGTCATCCAAAAACTCAAAGTTTGTGTCAGTTCTCGAAAACAGGCACAATACATCTACTATTGCGAGCAGTGGACGTGCTCACTAGAGGGAACAACCAAAATTCGCAGTCAATACATCTCAACTAACGAAATTGACACGAATTCGCGGCTCTACAGCACACGGGATAGCAACAGTAGCAACGCGAGACCCGGCTCTGCGACTCTTGTAGCCTTCTCTCCATCCAACGAGTTCCTTCGAATCGGCTCTCAGATCTTCAAGCGCGACGAGTTGGGAGACTACGCCCCGCTTGTGGGACTTTCGGCTCAGGCGCTCAAATACCCAGAGGCTCCGGAGGAGATGATCGCGCGGGACAACATCGTCGTCTTGGCTAGTAGGCGCGTGCCGGTGCATGTGGATCTTTACAGCACGGGTCTCTCAGATGAGAAGGTCGAAACCTTGAAGCCCTTCCTCGACAACGCGGTGAAGGCGGAACGAGAGGAGGATAGCGACTCTGACGGCGTCGAATTCGAGTTTTCGAGTTCAGAAGAGGACGAGGACGAAGCGTATGAGACGTGGTCAGAGGGCTCGACTGAAGAGTCTGATCGCTTCGCTGACGATATCATTTCGCCATGGGCCGGCCCACCGAGTGACCTTGATTCGGATGATGATCATTCATCTGCCTCGTCCGACTCCGAGAGCGTTGATGGCAGTGAGGAGGAGGATGAGAGCAAGACTACGGAAAGCTCCGACGGAGAGATCGATCCGTCATCAATAGTCGGATATGGCTACCCACACAATGACGACCGAGACGGCTGGCAGAGCGAAGATTCAGACAGTGACGATTCGGGCAGTAACGATTCTGGGTATGCGCGGTATCCTCGACACCGCTTCGGTGCTCCCAAACCCCATCCGGATCTCAAAGCCACCCTCGACGTGTACGACTCTCGATCTTCTACCCGAGTTTTCCACTTCTCTCGACCTATTCCCTTTCTGTTGTATGATTCAGCGCCCGCCATCCATCCTTCGAAACCACTGGTTGTGTGGCCTCTCGGCGCCGGGGATGTTCTATTCGCCGATTACGCCGCAAATACCTTCTTCATCCGCAAGCTGCGTCCATCGACCTCCTTCAGTCAGTGTTGTGTCTTCATCTTGAGCCATTCATTCACTGAAACCCTAACAGCCCGGCATGTATTCATGAAGGCACACTTTTCACCATCGGGCGAACATCTCCACTTCGCGTCGCTCGAAGGACAACGCAAACCCTCGGACTCACACGGAAAGAACAAGAACGAGACTGTGCCCGTGCGACTCGCGCTCCTGCTCTCGACATATCGTCTTTCAAAGAGGAAGACAACGACCAGTCCGCCGTCTCTCATTCATCGCGCTCGAGTCGAATTGGGCTCCTGCCTCAGCATCTCCGTGTCATTTTTACTGTACACTCTCACCTGGACACCCACCGAGCTCTACTTCACGCAAAGCTCCAATAAGCTGCGGGTCACGCGGCTCTCGCTGTTTCCGGTTGCAGAACACGTCGCAGCCCCAGTCATCCGCAGGTGTCCGGTCCTGATACCCCGAAAACCCATTTTCCTGCCGGACAGCGCTCAGCGAAGGCGCGTGTCATTCTTTCCCCCATCCGACGGCTCCACGACGGCCAAGATCATTGTCGGGAGCGATAGTCGAGGCAGGGCCGCCCAAATTCTGCAACAACTGCGGCATCCTACTGCACCCGACGACCAAATCCCTGGGAAAGGTGACAAGAAATCGTTGGTCTCACTACACTCCGTCAAGCATCTGTTCAAGGGAATCCAGCCGGTGGGCTGTCTGGTCGACGAGGAAGCAGATCTAGGAGGATGGAGAACATGCCATAACTGTTGCGACCTTCCGGACGACCTGGGGATCGCGCATCTAGACGACAGATTGGAGCGTTTCGACCCGAATGATGATTGCGACTGTGAGTGGTTTTTTCAGACTATCGAAACCAAGTAACTTGAATGCATGCAGTGGAGCCATACATCGAATGAGCTACGGTTATAACGACGCAAGTTGTCTTGTAGAACGGGAAATGACTTTGTGAATCAATCAGTTTCGGCAGGTTCCCAATCCTCGATCCAGTCTTTGATAGCGGCAAGACCAGCCTTCTGGACAGCGAGAACACTGGGGTTGGCAGCAGCCTCGGCGGTGGCTTCCAAGTACAATCAGCACACGATTCGTGGAGACAGAACAGCCTAGACGCACAGAGATCCCCGCAGTGGAACCCTTCTCCGATTGCGATGGTTAGCTCAGATGTGCTCTTCTTCGTCACACCTGGCGCAGAAAGTGTGGCATATCGCCAGGGATCACGTTTCCCGTTGGCGAGGAAAAGATTCGAGACGGAGACGTTCCAGCCAGCGTACAAGCTGTTGGTTTGCGCGGTTTTAACCGATTGAGCCGTGGGGATAGTGGGGAACGCCTCGGGGAACATCAACTGACATTGCCGCTGAGAGACTGTCAGGATATTGTCTAGGCAGGTGCAGAAAGTGGCTCGCACCAGGTCGTAAGCGGGCTGTATCAGCCTCGAGACCATAGAAGGCGTTCCTTTAGGCGAAGCATCCTGAGAAGATTGTCAGACATGACACTATCAGTTCGGTTGATTCGCACCTGGAAGAAGCCAACTTCATTGCAGCTTCAATAAAATCAGAACCGGGAACCGGGAAGAGAACGTAACCAACACAATCCATTGCCCTGAAGATTGGTCAGATGTGTTTCAGAGATGTCCTGAGCTATCACGTACATGATCTACCAGCGTTGTCGATCGTGATGTCGGTGTAGTACGGTTGCGTCGGGTTATAGGTATCAAAACAGTCTCTGCAAACCAGTCAGTCAGTAATTTAATCGCACACGGACACTTACACAGCGGTGGCGTTACCACAGACTGATAAAGGGGTTAAACGAGACGGAAGGGGAAGGAACGAGCAATCTCACTCAGTGCATAGTAGGTCTGATTCCAGTACTGGCCCCACGCATTAAGGGCATGTTTCGCACCCCAACCCGCTGCGGGAGCGTTCACTCCGTTCTTCACTTCCAGCGCATCACAGAACTCAAAGAACCGGCCGCCGGCGCCACCACGCAGCGACAAGGCCTGCCAATCCCAAAAGTGGTTGCGCAGCGCACTAACAAGATCGTCCAGGTGTGTCATTGCGCCCATGCCGAACGTGTTCTTGATGGCCTGGATAGCCGTGGTGTTGCTGCCAGTGAATACCTTGTCGATGTGGGAAATGGCAGCCACAATATCCGCGGAGCAATTGGGTGCCATGTACTGACGCGAGGGCTCGAAATACTGCCAAAAGTCGAAGATCGTCTGCACTGTAGCACTCGATCCGTAGCCAGCAGCGAAGAGGCCGGGTTTGTTGACCATGGTATAGCTGGTCAGGGCACCAGAGTAGCTCCCTCCAACAAGAATCCAAGGTGTCGTCGAGGGCTTGAGGTTTCCTCCGTTGGGCATGGGCAGCACCACGTTCTCGGCAAAGTATTTGAGATCCTCGATTGCTTGCTGAATCGTGTGCAGACGAAGACTTGCGACGCTCAAATCCGGCAGCGGGTTGCTGCGAGATCACTCAGAAGCGTGTAGGAAACCAAGACGCTCATTCCGCACCTCAAACCATAGAATCGATGTTCCAACACAATCGCCGCGCCGTTCTCTTGCTGAGCGATCTGACCATTGATTGTCCCATTGGTCAGATAACCAAGATAAGCTGCCGGGAGTGAGATGACGTGGAATCGTCGAGGATCCCAGAGGCTCACGAGACGCGTTTATTTCTCCAGGCGTAAAGAAGATGATAGGCCCGCCTACGGCGTTTCAATCGGGATATCGCACATGTGGAGTGCCTGAATTCAAGCTTACCTGGCTCATAAAACTCGTAGGTGTGCCAGTAGCGCTGGCTGAACGTCCCGAGAGACGACTGAAAAGAGTATGGTCAGGAAAGTAGACATCCGACACCGGGTTACCGCGCACATTGTTGTGATCGATCAACTGCTGGAAAGTGTAGGTCGTGCTGTACGGTGGCAAAACGGTCCCGTTCCGGCTCACGACCGGTCCCATGTTGTGAACGGGCGGGATCGGGACGATAGGTTTGCGGCGGAAGTTGGCATCGCTGGGCCTGGAAGCGCCTTCGCCACGCGACACGCACAAGAGCAGAACCGCCGTGACGAGTTGAGAAAAGCTGAGCATCTTGCGAGTGCTTGCCTGAGGCCTTTCATCTCAGTCTCTCTCAGCTTTATAGCCTCGCGCTTCAAGAAGGTCCGTGATCTTCCCCGCCCGGTAGCACAAGCGAGGGAGAAAATCATCAGCCAAAATAGCGAGAACGGCCTCGCTAGCAGAGGTGACGCGTTCTCAGAACCAATCTTCCTGATATCGAATATGCGAAGTTCGAGTCAGGCGAGCGGTTGAGGTCGAGAGCTGAGCTGTAGTAGTAGGATGGCCGCTGGTACCCGAAAGCGCGATTATATACCAAATGAGACAAACGAGCGCTGCGCTTGATGTTGAGCGTTACCTAAGCTGACTTGCTCATCCCAATTCGGCGAAAACGGTCTTCCGTACGAAGATCTACGAGGCGCCAGGAATTGTGAAAGATTACGCCAGCACCCACATCAAGTCACCGGGTCTTTACACATGACACTTGTACGTTGGGGCATGCTCTACCATGCCTAACCGTCCATTGGCGCATGTGGAGATCTATGCAAGCATGCAAAAGGAAGCCAAAAGCGAGTCTGGATGCATACCCTGGTTGGATTCTGGGCTAAAGGATTTCAAGCTCATGTCCTGGCCCTGCATGTATTCTCTTCTTTTTTACTCACCAAGTCGTGTCTCCTGTGCAATCTGCCGTAATGCACGGAAGAATCCCCCCAATGTACTTATATGTGGGATTGCGGCAGGTCGGCTCGGCGGACTGCTGCACGTGTTTGATTGATGTTATTATGTAGCTAGCGAGAGTGGCTGCAGGTTTCTTTCCGCAATGGAGACTATTACAGTGTAGTACAGTTGTGTGGATGGAAAATTTGATCTCTCTGGTGTACATGAATGTCAAGATGTAAGTTGGCGAAACAAAAAAATATGGGATGATAGTAGAGTCCCTCGAGATGCTGAGTACCAAAATTTAGGCAATAGAATTACTACTATTGGGTGGCTGCTTATGCCACTAAGCAATATTGTAGTCACTAGTCCATTCCAGCAGAATAATTGAAGGATTTTGAGTCCTCGGACACTTTGGAGGCCTTCAGGGAGCTGCACAACATCTAGGAACTGCCATTTCTTCCATGTTTTCAATGTGTTTTGAGGTCTCTGTAGACAGTTCAGCCATTAATACTTCAAAAATGACCTTTTAGATATTTCTAGTGTATATGAAGAGACGGCTGCAAGCCGATCTGAAGTCCAAGCACAGATGCTTTCGAACGAGCGCAATCTATTCCCCATCATTATGTATCAGGCAATTGGTCACAAGTGACAGCACCGCCACAGACGTTGGTTGGTCATGAATGAGCCCTATCTTAACACATGGGCCAAATAAGCAGTTCAACCGGATTTCGATCTCGAACCATTCTGGACTTGGGGCCTCTCAGCGATCTAAAACGGACAAAAGAATCATAGTATGAAGTGCAGGACGGACAACAGCGTAATGGAACTATAGCAGCATGCCATGGGTTACAATTCAGAAAGAGGTGTGTTGTCTCATGGACAGGGAAAGACTTTGTTTGATGATTCAATCGGTCTCACTAGGCTCCCAGTCCTCGATCCAGTCTTTGATGGCGGCAAGACCAGCCTTCTGGACAGCACGAACACTAGGGTTGGCGACGGCCTCGGCGGTGGCTTGCGATTATAATTAATCAGTACGAGTCAGTCAGACAGAATAAGCCACACGCACAAAGATCCCCGCAGTGGAATCCTTCTCCCATCACGATAGGCAGCTTAGATGTGCTCTTCTTATTCAAACCAGGCGCAGACACCGTCGCATACAACCAGGGATCACGTTTTCCGTTTGCAAGGAACAGATTCGAGACGGAGACGTTCCAGCCAGCATACAGGCTGTTAGTTTGCGCCGTTTTGACCGATTGAGCCGTGGGGATAGTGGGGAACGCCTCTGGGAACATCAATTGGCATTGCCGCTGAGAGAGTGTCAAGCGATCGTCCTAGAAGGTGCAGAAGGTGACTCTCACCAGGTCGTAAGCGGGCTGTATCAGCCTTGATACTGTAGAAGGCACTCCTGTGGGCGAAGCGTCCTGACAACACAGTCAGAGAAGTCATCATCAACTCGGTGATCCGCACCTGGAAGAAGCCAACTTCATTACAGCTTCAAAGGAAGTTGAGAGATCAAAGAATGCATAACAAGAAGAAGAAACCAACACGATCCAGAGCCCTGAATCATGATCAGATTCGTTTCAGAAGAGTCCAAAGCAAAGCAATCACGTACAAGACCTCACTTCGTTGTCAATCGCAGTACTGGTGTAGTAGGGTACTGACGCATTGTACGAATCGAAACATTCTCTGCAACGGGTCAGCCGGGAAAACCGAACACATGCAAAAACCTACACAGCATTTGCAGTACCACAGACTAACAAAAGGGTAAACGAGACGGCAAAGGGGAAATTTCGATCTTACTCTGCGCGTAGTAAGTCTGGTTCCAGAACTGGCCCCATGCGTTGAGGGCGTGGTCCACGCCCCAGCCTGTTGCAGGGGCGTTCACTCCGTTCTTGACTTCGAGCGCATCACAGAACTGGAAGAAGCGGCCACCGGCGCCGCCACGCAACGACAAAGCCTGCCAATCCCACATATTGTTGCGCAGCGCGCCAGCAATATCGTCCAGATGCGTTATCGAGCCGAAGCCAAACACGTCCTTGATGGCCTGGATAGCTGTGGTGTTACTGCCGGTGAAAACCTGGTCGATGTGGGAAATGACGGCAATAAGATCCGCAGAGCAATTAGGCGCCATGTACTGACGGGCGGGCTCGTAGTACTGCCAGAAGTCGAGGATCGTCTGAACGGTTGCGCTTGATCCATAGCCAGCAGCAAAGAGACCGGGTTTGTTGACCATAGTGTAGCTGGTTAGGGCACCAGAGTAACTACCACCAACGAGAATCCAAGGCGTCGTCGAGGGTTTGAGATTGCCGCCATTAGGCATGGGCATCACCACGTTCTCCGCAAAGTATTTGAGATCCTCGACAGCCTGCTGAATGGTGTGCAAGCGGAGACTGGTGACGCTCAAATCCGGAAGGGGGTTACTGAAGCACCATCAAAAGACGACTAGGAGACCAAAATCTGCACACAGTACCTCAAACCATAGAATCGATGCTCTAACACGATCGCCGCTCCGTTCTCCTGCTGAGCGATCTGACCGTTAATCGATCCGTTGGTCAGATATTTCTGGTAGGCTGATCGCTAGAGGTGAGATCATTTTATATTGACGAAGGTCTGGAGGGCTCACAATCCGCGTTTGTTTCTCCAGGTGTGAAGAAAATGATCGGTCCACCTGATGCTCCCATCAGGTTGCAGAAAATGAACATAAAAACTCGAACTTCCCCGGCTTATAGAACTCATAAGTGTGCCAGTAGCGCTGAGTGAAAGTCCCGAGAGACGGCTGGAGACAAGGTCGTCAGGGACGTAGACAACACACGGTGGTACACCACGCACATTGTTATGATCGATGATCTGCTGGAAAGTATAGGTCGTGTTATACGGTGGCAAAACGGTACCGTTCCGGCTTATGACCGGTCCTGTATCTTCCAACGGCAAAACAGGGATGAGCGGCTTGCGGGGGAAGTTGGCCTTGCCACCCATCGCGCCATGGGACCCGCACAGAAGCAGAACTGCCGCGACAAGTCGAGCAAGGTTGAGCATCTTCGAGTTCTCGTCTTGGATCCCACATTCAAGTTCGTCTCAGCTTTATAGCTACGCGCTCTAGAGATTCCGTGATCGTTTTTTCTCGGTGGCACAAACGAGAGAGGAAATAATGCGCCGGACTGGCGAGACAAGGCCTCGGTAGAGGAGATGACGCATTCTCGGTACCAATCATCTTGATATCAAGCATGCGATGTTCTCGTCAGGCGAGCGGCTGAGTTCCAGAACTGAGCTATAGCGTTACGAAGGCCGATACTGCCCGAAGGAACGAATGTGGACCAGAATGAAAGTGACGGGCGCCCACACACTGGTCGTTGAGGATTACCTAAGCTAAAATACCGCGCCACCTTCCCACAAACACCGTGACCCATCTTTCTCCAATTTTCCTCAATTGAATCTAAACAATGCCAGAAACGTAGAAAAAAGAACGTCAGCGCGCATGCTGCGTCATTTCCTTTGCCATGCTTACCCTGGATCATGCCTCATCGTCCAATTCACGCATGTGAAAATACACACTGCTCGAAGCAGGGAATCACCCCCATCCTGAATTCGCTGTATGAATCTACCACGCTGTCCGTGTAAAATCACGGAAACGTACCCGGGATATGGGTCAAAGGCATTTTTTTCACTCGCCGAGTCGAGCATCCTGCCGTTACCCTCAGTACATATGCTCACACCACGGCCAAATGCCCGAGAAGGGTATCAATTTCGCAGAACGGTTCGTCTTGCGCGTAATGAAATCCACCGCGGAACAGAAGTGGATTTTGAAGGATCTGCAATCCGTTCAATCACTGGCCGCCGTGGAATTGACTATCATTGCGTTCCGCGAGGAGCAGAATCTACAGTCAAAGACTCGCGGAAGACTGAGGACTGACTCTTCTCGGGATAGGCTTGTGCCACCAGTTGTTGTCAGAAGGGAGGTTCCACTTGACTTTTGCCCAGGCGCAAAGACGGCAAACCACCAGATGCACGGTCCACACACTCAGAGGATAACGTGAGCTGTCTGATCAGTGTCAGACAGTGTGACGGGATTCCAATGGGCGCTTCGGCTCGGGACTCATGCAGCAGCTCAGCAACAGGGAACGGAGAAGTCTTGCGCCCGTGGTTCGGAGAGAACCTATGCAAGGCGGATGCTCGCCCGCACCGAAGATCGGCGCCGAACGCATGCCAAATATTGACGCTGGCGTATAGCTCGCTCTCCATGGGAGACGCACAGCCGTTCGACGGACAAAGCTCTTTAAAACTCATCCGCTTAGACGGGGAAGGGAGAAAGATCACAAATTCGAATCAGTCTGGGCTGGTGGCCCCAGGTCCGGGACTCGGTTGCTCCAGCGCGGCAATGGGAGGATCTGCGAAAGAATCCAGTTTGGGAGCTGAAGGGGATGCATCGGTCTTGATATCGATGGTGTCCATAGGTTGCAATTGCGTGAGGGCAGTAGAACCCGAAGGTCTGAGCTTCCAGTACCAGGCCTGAATCGTATTCTCGTCAAAGCGTCTTGTCAATCTGACGATGACAACCACAAGCACAGAGGACGATCGCGCATGACCTTGATCGATGAAGCCTTACATACAATAGACTATGATTAGAACGACGTTGGTTGCCTAAACCATCCCTGTATCGGCTTTGAAAGAATTTCCGGATCGCTTCGTTTCACATTCGCCGGTTTCCAAGCTGCAATCCAGCCTTTGATGGAAGCAAGGCCAGCTTTTTGAACGGCAAGAACGCTGGGATTGGCCGCAGCTTCGGCAGTAGCTTCCAAGTGCGATCAGTAATAGTGTTTGCTCAACGAGGAAAGGCGCACAAAGATCTCCGCAATGGAACCCTTGTCCGACAACGATAGGTTGTTCTGCTGTGCTCTTGGTTGTTACACCTGGCGCCGACAGTGTAGCATATCGCCAGGGATCCCGTTCTCCGTTTGCGAGGAAAAGATGCGGAACAGACACGTTCCAGCCAGCGTATACGCGGTTCGTCTGGGCCGTTTGAATGTTCGGAGGACTAGGGAAAGCTTCGGGGAACATCAACTGGCATTGGCGCTGGAGCAGAGTTGGAATCAGTGCCAATTGATTATACATTCGGTGCTCACGAGGTCGTAACCGGGCTGCATCAACCTAGATACCAAGGTAGGTTTCCCAACAGGTGCCGCTTCCTAGCGGCAATATTAGACTTGCGACGAGAGAAGCGCTCGTAAGGTCGTACCTGGAAAAAGCCAACTTCATTGCAACTTTCGGTTGATCAGAGACATAAAGCATAAGACCAATCAAAGCACTGACACGATCCAGAACCCTGAAAACAGTCAGAATCACGCTTGTCCTTGAGAGCCCAAAAGATGACACGTACATGATCTTCCCGCATTGTCGATCGCAGTACTTGTGTAATAAGTTTGGGTTGCATCGTATGTTCCAAGGCAATCTCTGCGACAATTCAAACAGCATTCTTCACCCCACACACAGTCACGTACACGGCACTCGAATTCCCACATACTAGCAGAAATCTCAGTCGATACAGAAGCCGGAATATGACGAACTCACTCGCTGGAAAATAAGTCTGGGTCCAATACTGGCCCCAGGCGCTGAGAGCGTGATCCAAGCCCCAGCCACGTGCAGGTGCATTGACTCCATTCTTGACCTCCAGCGCATCGCAGAACTGGAAGAACCGGCCGCCAGCGCCTCCGCTGAGCGACAAAGCCTGCCAATCCCACAGATTGTTCCGTAGCGCACCAGCCACATCGTCCAGGTGGGTCATAGAACCCATCCCAAACATGTTTTTGATAGACTGGATGGCGCGGGAATTCCCACTGGTGAACACCTGATCGATATGGGAAATGACGGCCGCGACATCCGCGGAGCAGTTGGCTGCCATGAAGATGCGTTCAGGCTCAAAGTACTGCCAGAAGTCCAGTATCGTCTGCACCGTGGCACTGGATCCATAACCAGCAGCGAAGAGACCGGGTTTGTTAACCATGGTGTAACTGGTGAGGGCACCAGAGTAGCTCCCGCCAACGAGAATCCAAGGCGTCGTCGAGGGTTTGAGGTTCCCTCCGTTAGGCATGGGCAGCACCACATTTTCCGAAAAGTACTTGAGATCATCGATCGCCTGCTGGATTGTGTGCAAGCGAAGACTTGCGACGCTCAAGTCCGGGAGCGGGTTGCTGCAGGTGACATCAGTCAAAATAACCAGTCACAGCCAAGTTTAGCTCACCTTAGACCATAGAACCGATGCTCCAGGACGATTGCCGCGCCGTTCTCCTGCTGAGCAATTTGACCGTTGATAGTCCGATTGGTCAGATAGCCAGAATAGGCTGATGGGATAATTTAGGTTATGATAGGTGAAATGGAGCGTGGACGACTCACGAGCTGCGTTCGCTTCCCCGGGAGTGAAGAAGATGATCGGGCCGCCTGGCGTCGTGATGAGTGCAAGGTATACGAAGACCAGACGAGAGCTGACCAGGCTCATAAAACTCATAGGTGTGCCAGTAACGCTGAGTGAAGGTCCCAAGCGACGGCTGGAAAGAAACTGAGCGAGAGGGCGGACGATAGGAGATTTAGACGCACATTGTTATGGTCGATCAGCTGCTGGAAAGAGTACGTCGTTGTGTACGGCGGCAGAGCGGTCCCGTTCCGACTTGTCACCGGTCCAATGTCGTGCATGGATGGTATCGGAATTACAGGCTTGCGCGGGAAGTTGGCATTGCCGGGGCCGATAGCACTCGCGCCATGCGACGCGCACAGGACGAGAACGGCGAGTAGAGCAAAGTCGAACATCTTCTCTCCCTGAAACCATCATACAAATCCCACACCCAGCTTTATATTAACGCGTCCGGAGAAAATCAATGATCGCTTTTCACGGCCGCGCAAACGGGTGAGGAGATAACATCCACAGACGCATCGAAAGAAGTAAGATGACGCGTTGTAGCCAATTATCATGATACCAACCATGCGGCTCGCAGTCAGGCGAGCGCTTGATGGTGAGATCGGCAGCTATGATAGTACTAGGAAGCCCGACGGAGTGCGAAGAGATGGATAAGAGGAAACCACGCAAATCCCCATCGGTGCCAAGTATTAGCTAAGCTGTGCGCCAACCGGGCCGCAACTTGCTTGCAGCTTGCTGCTCTCAAATAACATCACTGCGAGCCACGGAAATCTAAGAATGTCACAATCTAGGCCAGTACCCATACCGCGTCCTTTCCCTCGCCATCTAGACGCTGGACCACACCCTCACCCTCCAATTTGCGCATGTGGAGATCAATGCCGCGTGAAGCAGGAAGCCACAACGACTCCGGATAAGCTGCATAGATCTGCGCTACAATTGACCACGTCGTCCACGGTGTGTTATCCCCAGGTCTTGCCCCGATGATGCCCAGAATCTGAGCTTCTCTGTCCATCCGGTGCTTAATATACGTTTCGATGACTTTCGGTCCATCGTAAATGACGGGTCCATGCCCGGGATACAGAGTGAACGCCTTCCTCTCGTTCACGTAGTCCAGCATCCTGCGCAGACTCCCGATATACGTCGCAAGATCCTCGAACACTGCGGTCCCTTGTCCGAGAACGGTATCAGCCGTGTAGAACGCTCCGTCCTGAGGGAAGTAGAGACACATGGAATCGACCGTGTGTCCCGGAGTGTGAAGCACATGCAATCCTGACAGCACGTCCCCGTCACGTAGATCGTGAAAGTGGCTGCCATCGGGCGCGGTTACGAACGAATTCGGGGGCAAAGATGAGAGGATCGCTGGAAGCTTGCTGTACTGGGGGCATGTTTGAGTCGGAAATTTGTGAAGACGCGGTGGTTTGAAAGAGAGAGTGCCATGACGTTCGTGCCAGAGTCGTTCGAGGAGGGCGAGAACCTTTGGAAGGCCGCCGACATGATCCTCGTGCCAATGGGAGATTATAATGTCGGAGATATCAGGCTCGGAGGACTCGGAGATTCCGGCCCTTCTGATGATAGCTTCAAGCAGAGCGGTATATTCATCTCGCCCCTCGCCGACATCGAGCAATGTGAACGGACGTTGCTTTCCCACGAGATATGTATTTGTCCTTGGGCTGTTTATCGGACCAGAGGGTTTGCACTGAGCTGGACCATCATACCCTGCAATGTGAATTTCCCCGGGTTCTGTATTGCTTCAGATTCTGATGTTGTAGAGAAACGAACCGAATCGTATCAATCACCTGGGCCAAGATTCTGGTGACGCTCTCACTGAGCTGTGCCGTGGTTAGTCTCGACTCTGCACAAGGGCAAGACCCACCCTTGTAACAGGAGCCAAGACTTGCAGCTTGTCCATGGTAGTCCGGTAACAAGGACGAGGAGAAGCCGGCAATTAGATCAGCTGGGCTCAGTTGTATATCACAGGCTATCGATTACAGACATTTTCAGTGGAACATCAAATTCAAAGTCGATGACAGATGCTCATAAATAGTTTGGAAAGTAAGTATATGCATAAGTAACACAACGTCTACTGCGGTACGCATGATCCCCGGGTTCCGAGTACTATACATGTCAAGATAACGATAGACAGGCCGGATTCAGTCTACACCCATTCGTAGTCTAACAAGAGAACGCCTTCCCTTCGAACTGTCCAAACGGTGTGAAGATACCCGCTTGGACACGAGGCTTGCGCAACAAGTCAGTCACAGAGAATTGGAAGCTCTTGCGGCAATGGATCCGAGTGAATCTATGCAGGGTAAATGCGCGCTGGCACCGGTGATTAACTCGAAAACAGACTTCGCGTACTGAGTCTTGTGATGTTTTTGGCGTGAGAGGCGTGGAAAGATTTCAAGCGACAGAGCTTTGGATTTGATGGAAGAAATGCGAATGGTGTTCGTAGGAAATATGGAACAAGAGCCATTGGGTAGAATTGGGGAAGAACACAGAATCGAAGCATCAGTTTGCGGTGGAGTGCTTGACATGGGAACGGGCTCGGGGCTAGATGGGGATGGCACAGTGAGTTGGGCAGATGGCATTTTGTCTTGAGCAGAGCAAGAATGCAAACGGGCGCGCTTTGACGGTCTAGGGTCAAGATCAATGAGAGATTGGTCGTGGAACTCTGAGTCCAGAGAACGCTTGAGAGGATTTGCGGCTGGAGCAAGTTTGGGAGATAGAGGGAACGCTTCGATCATACGCATAGGTTTTGACTGCGTGCAGGCCGAGGAATGCGAGGGTGAGCCCTCCGAAAGAGACCGGATCTTCTCCTCCTCAAAGCGTTCTGAGAAAATGACAGTGGAAAACACCCATGAGTGCTGAAGTTGACAGACGCACCATCGAGTATATACTTGGACACTGGAGCTTCTAGCCCTTCCTCCGCTGATACCGAAATCCAGCTCGCATGCCGAATCTGATCTCATGAGTCACACGCAAGATATGGATCAGCAAGAACGAGAACGAACCATCAAGCCCATTGCTTTCAGCCTGGCAGAAAGTCTGCTTCAGTCATTTACTTTCTTGATTTAAACTCACTGTGCAAACCACACGTCTTCCAATCCTGTACAGAAGAAGTATCGAGCGCGGAAGAATTCGGCGCTGTTCTTAGCGATGGCACCCCCGTGCTTCACTGGAGCGAGGTTAAGAGTATTCCACGGTGGTGAGGTTACGACGCACCCCAGATTGACCGCAGAGTCCCACGGACGTCCGGGCTAAACACAGCTAGACATGGTTTTGGTGGGAAGGAGTCCGCGAGTGGGGAGAAACCCAACCTATACCCTCGAAAAGCGTTCGGATCGACATGGGAGACTCGGAGGGAATGACCGTGCGAATACTTCGCGTCGGACTGGTAGAACAGGGTAGAACTCGCGACGATATTGATCCGGAAAGCTTGGGGAGGACGGACCGACGTGGACGCTGATAACGGTCAGCTGACCAGCGATCGGGGTTTCGGTCCTCGATTGATCCACCCCAACACCTCACGAGTCGCAACCGTAAACGTTCGCGATTATACTTGCTTCTCCGACTGCCATGACGAGCCCAACTATTTCTCAATCTAGGGAAAACACGATGGCCCTTGCTCGGCATTCATACTCTCAGTCGTCTGTCTCCTTGCTATCGTCCAACCACGCTACTGCCGTTGATGTGTGCTCCACAATGTATGGCGAAACACACGCCAGTCCGGACGCGGTGGAACGGCTATACGAATCCAGTGCCAGTGAGTCCTTGAATTTCGGCGTCCTATTCTATGACTCAAGTCTGGCGTTTAGTGTAAGTTCCCTTCTGCTACTCAATCGGCACCGGTCCAACCCACAAAGATACGAGAACCCCGTTCTGACAGCGACCTCGCGTTCTGTGATCACCGACATTCACCAACTTTCTCGTCACCTCAGCGTCATCGACGTGCCTAGGCCCATTGCTCTTCTTTGCACCTTGTTCCGGTTACAACCTCCGAGAACAGGCTTTTTGGCACGGCATCTGGACGAGCCGTTGTTCGAGGCGTTACGAGTGTGGACCGAGATTGGAGATATCTCAGAGACAGAAAGCTTCGGTCTGTTCCTCCTTCTGAGTCCTATCTCACTGTATTGACGTCTCGCTGCCCTTCAGATGGGCATCGGAAGACAATAGTAGAGCACACTCTGAACGTGCTAATCCTGCCAGGAATCCACCGTGATGGCCAACACCGAATACAGGCTCCATCAGAATCTCTCATACTAACGCCGGGGCCCTCATCGCATTCGCTTCCTACCTCGCATCCCGCTGCGCCTGGTTTGGGTATACCAGGGACATCCCTGACCATTCCCTCGCCCTTGCACTTTCAACTACACATCATCACGCGGCTTTCGTTCAATGAACAAGGCCGGATAACACATCATCGGGACTTTTGGGACATCAAGGATGTGATGGGACTAGTTCCCGGCGTGTCACTAGCTCAATGGATCGGGACTAGGCTCGCTGCGAGAGGGCTGACGTATGCAGCATCGTTTTTGTACCGACCTCTTGGAATTGGAGCGCCTGATGAGACAGCGTCCGCGAAGCAGCCTTTGTCTGAACAGGATGCGATGGAGCTCGGGATGGTAACTGATACGAATGTCAAGTAATTCAGCTTGAATATATGCGCTCTACAACGGATGCCCAGAGAGGAGGATCGATATGCAAGTAAGTAACACAAGGTAAGTACAAAGAAACGGTGCACATTATTTTGGATTGTTCAGATACATGATCACGCCGGTTGAGTGTAACTCCCTACCGAAGGTGGATTAGCCGTGCATCACAGGACACCGAAGGGGAAAGCTCACAAATTCTAGCGAGTTTATCTCCACTACCTGTCGCAAACATATTAGCGGTTGGGTGCAAACTAGTGGAGATGACTGGAAGAGCGTGAGTCTCATGATCAACTTGGTATCGATCTCACACACCAGAGTTCTTGTGGCCCTGCAAGACTGCCTCGACAACTCCATGCGTATTCCAAAAATGGACTCCACGGTCCTTGGATCCCGAAACAATCCATTGCGAGTCTCTTGAAAGGTGGACAGAGAGCACGTAGTCCTTGTGTCCGTTGAAAATAGTGCATGGTACGCCTTCCTTCTTCGACTTGGCTCGCAGATCCCAACAACGAATTGAGTTGTCCAAGGCGCCGCTCACGAGGCCTCCGCCGTCTTTAGTGAACACAACACTGTGGACGCTGCTGCTATGTCCGCGGAGAATGTCCACGAGATTGCCCGAGGTCACGCTCCAGATGCGCACAAGCGAGTCGACACATCCGGCAGCGATCATCTGCCCATCTGGCGAGAACGCGACAGCCATCACACCGCCTTCGTCCTCGATAGCGTCAAGCTCGGGGCTTGCGGTCAGAACACGTTCAATATCATATGTGTCCATGCTCCAGATCCGGACTGTCCCGTCGCCTGACCCGGAGGCAAGTCGTCGCCCATCAGGAGAGAAGTGCAGCGAATAGATATCTTGACGATGGCCCTCGAAAACCGCGCGGACGGTTCGCTTGTCAACTTCCCAGATCTATACAGGAACTCAGCTCAAGTAGCACACATGTCTAACAGAAGACGCACTCGAATCCGCTCATCTTCTGCGCCCGTCGCCAAGAACCGGCCATCTGGACTGAACCGCACGCTTCGGATGTAAAGATCCCCAGTTTCGCTGGCAGTCTCATCTGCCAGCGTACTGGTTCGACGATTGACGTGAGAACGCGACAAGAAGTAAGTGTCACCAGACATACCATATCCGATGCCCTGTCAACACGCTAAAAATCTGTGCGGTTCTGTTGCACCCTGTGGCCAGAAATTTGCCGTCATGAGAGAAGTGAATACAGCAAACAACACTGGTTTCAAGGGTGAGATATACTCCAAGGGAAGTGGAGAGAATTACGCACGTTTCGTGAACAAATGTATGGATAAGGTTCACATCTAGCACCCGCTTCACCTTCGGATTGTAGATGGTGAACCAGTCACTTCCTTCCTTCTTGAACTCCGGATGCACCGAGATCGGCTCTAAATTATCGAGGAATTCATTCATAACTTGCGCCGAGGGTTGAGGGGGCAGAGGTGGTGGCAGTGGCAGTGAAGCAGGCGTGGGTGCGCGGCGGGAGGACGGACTCGAGCCAGGTCCTATCAGAGGCAGTCGACTCGCCTCTGCGACAAGCCGCGGTGTAAGATCCTAGCGACGATACAATTTGACAGAAGCTAACGCACCGGGCTGATCGAGCTTCATTCGTTTGCTGTTTCCTTGATCGAGGAATCGAGCCCGCTGGCTGTCTCTTTCCCTGTCTCTTTCTCGGTCGCGTCTCTCCGAGTGGGGATCCATTACGGGAGACTGAGCGGCGGAACCGCCCAGGAAGACACTGGGCGAGTTTATCGGTGCTGTGACGGCGGAGGATGGGCGCGCCTGGCGAGCGTTGTGCGTCTCGGACCGAAGCATCCGTAATTCGTATTCGTACTGTTGTCGGACCTTATTGTGCTGGGCCTCGAGCTCATGCAATGCCTGCCGAATCTTTTCCAGCTCGTCGGCTTGAGCTGTGACTGCAGCGCGGTTTAGACGCGGATAAAGACGAAGAATAGGCTGGGACGCACTCGTGGCCTCGTATCGTTCCCGCTGCTCTCGCGACACGTTGACCTCGCCTGCGAGCACGTCAAACTCTTGCTTCACCCGATCCAACGTGTCAGAGAGTGCCCGAGAGTTGTAAACCGGAGCATCTGCTGGACCCAGGGCCCTGTGCTGTTACTTCCAGGTGAGTCGCCAGTCGTGTGGAGAGGAGAGGGGCGGTGTACCTGGTACATGGGATTGGATGACATGGGATGCGTGGCAGTGAGCGTACGCTCTGCAGTGCGGCGGACGGTGTGAGGAAGATGGTCGTCAGAAGCGGGGGCCTGGTTGTTGATGATCCTTCAAGCTGCTTGCTGGTTTAAACCAAAAACATTGCCGGCGGCAACTTAAACGGGAATAGATTTGATGTCCTAGACCGTGGGAACCGGATTTCGCGAGATCCTCTTGGGGAGACTTGTCCCGATACGGCTCCTTTAGGGAATGGGATTCCGTTGTTCTGGACCATGCTGTGCTCTATGATGAGCCGGAAGATCGGGATGTCATTGCGTTCCCCGCATCTGGCGTCACTAAACAAACTTTTCAGGTGCACCAAGATCAGCATTCGCATCCTGTATATCCGTCGACGTCAGCCCATGATGGTCTCCGCCCTCTGATGGAAGAGAACATATCGCACTCGCCTTCGACCGAATGATGGGTAAGCTCGGGCCGACCGTCGGAAGAACAGGTGGAACGGTATTTCTATTTTTCAGGCTCCTCAGCGAAGGCCCCGTCCTCGTAAATAAATGCAAATGAGGTTGTAAGTTAGGCCTCCCTCAAGCCTCCGAGTCCACACCGCTCATCCCTAGTGCTCAGTGGGGATAAGCGGGTGTAAGACGGGAATTCTCAATCGGGTGCTTTCCATGAGGCAAAGTGTATGACACTCACCAGTCAGACGAATGTAAACCTCACGTACTCGACTTTCGCGTAGATCATTCTCAGCCGCGCATCCAGGCCAAATTCGGGCGACACATGGCATAAGTGGCGGTGCGTGTCTGTTGCTGCTCTGACATCAGTGATGACATCAGGAATATTCACGTGATTGATAAAGCTCTATCCCGAACATGGTCACGTGTTGAGGTTGGTGGTTTGTCGCGGCTCTTGTTTCTGACCTCTTCCTTACGCCCGTTACGCGCTCTTCACGCACTCGACGCTCCCTCAAGACACAGCACACGAAATCACTACTATGATCCCACTCATCCCCGCTCTCGCTCTCGCTATCCTGTCCTTCCTATGCTCTGCCTTTGTTATTCTACGTATAGTACTTCCCATTTTACCCCCTCACCCGTGCGTGGTCTTCTCGAGGCTCTTCTCTACCCATCCTGATCCGCGTATAGACTCAGCCGACGTGTTTCTCCGTCCGAATTCGGGCTTCCCAACTACAGGTCTTTGACTCCGTCCGACAAGAGGTAAGCTTGCTTTCTTCTTTTGACGTACACATGGTCACGCATTTTTTTCAGCCACCTCTGGTTGGCAATTCTGGACATCCTCGCTCTCGCTTCTTTCGTGTGGCAGACAGTCTCTGGTGCACCAACCAATGTGACGACCGCACTGGATCCCATGTCAACGTTCAGGCTGTGGTTAGCCATGACACTAAGGCAATCCTGCCTTCTCATTGTGGTCGGGCTCACACTGCTTCATGTGCGCATGGCTAAGCCCATTTCTTTCGGCGCAAAGCACTGGATGCTCTGGATGCCGACCACCGTGTT